GGCACTTTCACCGACCAAACTTTTCTAGCCGGCTGGGTGTACGCGTTATCTCGCTGATGTCGACGGGCATCTCACACTAAATATCTGTGACCTTGCTAAGCCCTCGTGATTCATTATCAAAGTCACAATTCTTCAGCCGTGTATGCTGTATTCAGGGTGGGAATGTTGCTGCAGACGGGACCTGCAATTATGGTAACAGCAAACCTGGCATTCCAGAGAGATGCCGTGATGGATGTGCCAAAAGTTTCCTGACGCCAATAAAGCTGTTAGCTGTGGTTTGATGCAAGGTATGTAATGGGCCACTTACGCAAGTATACCAACCTTTTGTACGGAGTATATGAGGCACCTTATGTGCTTGACACACATAACTTTTCAAAGCGAGTTCTTGAGGAACCTGCACAGTTCTTGTATTTTTTAATACTCATCTTTTTTCGCGTTCCTAGATATTGGGAGCTATGAGTGCGAATACAGGGTGCAATTGAATAGCTATATGGGGGCGGGCGTTTTCACTTCAACCGTAATTCACCCAGATTGGTTGAGAATAGTTGATCTTCGCAATGCAAGATAGAGGAAGCTTGTTCAGCGTTTCCTAGAAAGAAAGTATCTAAACATATGCAGAGTGCGGAAAGACATGCAAGCAACAGAGTCTATCTAACTATTCCACAACTTTAAGCCAAAACTTATATTATGAACGCTGAGTGAAACATAGCAGAAAAATATCATAGACTCACGGCTTTCGCAGCAATGGAGTTCGTTCAAGCACTCGATTTTCATTATCTTCCGAGAAGCTGGGTTCAGCGCGATTCTCATAGGGTAGAGTGACCGCGACCCCTCCTGAATTAGTGCCTCCCTCCCCCTTTTGAGGATTAAGGTATTCGAAATATATTCCCATTATCAAGAGAGTCCCTTGCAAAAGCGCTGTGACCACATAGACCCCCCATGTGCTCCATCCTTCAGTTCCCAAGCGGGCTGCCAGAGAAGCTGCCCACACAAGACTGCCGGGGGTCTGAATACACATCATTGGGATGCTCAAGCTACCTACACGGCGTAAGACGTAGGTTGTATATATTTGAGGGAAATATTGGATGGACGACAGGATGGTTGCCATGATGCCAAAAATATTGGCCCAGAGCTGGCGGGAGGACGGGTATGCAAGCGCTATCGTGACACCCAAAACCACAGCAGCTACGGCATGGATTATACATGCTGCGGCAACTAGAAGAGCAGTACGGAATGATGGCGATTCACGTTTTTTTGATGTCGCGGTGGTATCGGGGTTGGTGAAAAAGATAACAAAGAGTGCAAGGCTAAACTTCCCGGATCAGCTTTATTGTCATGCCAATGCTTCCAATTTTACCATTTTATATCCCAGTAAAAAAAACCTTTTGTAATTTTTTTTTTGGGAATAATGGAAGTTCTTACATGATAACGAAGCATACTGCCTGCGTGCCGACTTGTAGGATTCCTAAGAGGCCAGCAAAACAAGAGAATCCGCTGATTTCGTCACAGCATGCGACATCTTTGGCACTCCGAGGGAGAAGAAGGATATTTGCAAATCCGGAGGTCCCTGACGTTGTACCTAGGAGGACAAAATATGGAGATATGCCAAAGGACGAGCGCCGTGAGATGATTCGGTGGTGTTGTGGAACATAGGATAGAAGAATACCGAGGAGAATCAGCCTAGAAACAAGACATTGTTAGAAGATGGCAAATTTAAAAGATGCGGATATCTTAATCCAAGGTGTAGCTGTGCTATTCTTACACTGAGAAGGAGAAGTTGACGATGCTCGGGGAGGATAACTGTTTGCAGTGTGGATCCATCGTGATGATCCTAGCGAGGTTGAGTCCTCCAGAATCCCGGTCAGAGCCTAGCTATTGTAGAGATGAAATATCACAAATTGTCCATTCCCCTCAAAGCAACTCAACAATCTAACCAAAACGCAGGGCCAACTCCCCGAGAACAGCCCGTGTTGACTGCCCGTCGACAGCCGCAGCTGCAATACCTGTATGGCCCGTGTGACGTGAGCTCGAAATAAGGTTAGCTGGATCCCTTCCTTTCCGGCTTAGCGCCAGCAATCGGGAATGCAAACATCGATGCAAACACGCTACACTACGTCACCCCACGTCATAGCACAATTACTGCTCTATCAAACAGCTTTCCCTGCTTCGAGTCCGGTGCTGGCATCGACATGGGCATTAATCAATATTGCTCTCTGACATATTCAAAGTCAGGCCAGTTGTTCCTCTAATAGCACGTTTTACAGTAACTTGCAGTGTTTGTTGCTGGTTTGCATTCTAGTTTGTTTGTGTTTACGGAGTACTCCGTACACTAGGCAGATATTTACGGCATCAACTAAAAAGGCTCTCTCAACATGAAGCTCTTTGCAACGGGTTTGGTCCTGGCCCTAGCAGCCACCGAGGTCGTCGGATCTAGCAATTGGTTTACCAGAGCTGGTGCGTCCGAGGACATCACATACAATGGCAAGATTGGTTTTGGCTCTATCCGGCAGCTTTCGCTATCCTGGGTGCTAACAAGAACTTTAGTTTATAATAGGTGGCATGAAACTGAATTGGAACGGTGGCTGTCTGATCATGGTGTGCTACAGTTAGTTTTAAGCAGCTCTAATGCAGAACTGACTCGAAAATAGATATCCCGTATCCAACTTATGCAGACCGCAGGGACCTGGAGAATCTAGTCAAAAAAAACTGGGACGCATATATCCAGGCTCCTATAACTCATACAACGGACGCAGTCAGCGATTCTTATGAGCAGGCGAAAGAGTGGATTTTTGATTCGTACGTACCCTTTTTCGAATGACTTGAAACGGCATTGTTACTGATATAGAGCAGATGGAGTGAATCGCATTTGAAGGCGTTTCTGGACAGACATGGGATCCCAAATCCTCAACCAAGAAAGCGGGACACTCTTTTATCCGCCGTAAGGGATAACTACGAAGCAATTGCACATAAGCTTGGCCAGACAACACAGTATCCTGGGAACTGGTTGTATGATCACTGGTCAGAGTCCGACTTGAAGGAATATCTCGACAGCCATGGCTACGCCGTCCCACAACCAACAACCCGAGATAAACTGATCGCTGTAATTCGACGGAATGCGAGACGCGCTAGTATTGAATCCAAAAAGGCTGCTGCTGCTGCATCTTCTTCGGCTGCCGCAGCACAAGAGAGCCTAACTGAAGCTTTGTTCAACGCCTGGTCCGAGTCAGATTTTAAGAAATTTTTTGATGAGCATGACATCAAAGTCCCACAGGGTTCTCGACGCAATGAATTGGTCGCATTGGCACGTAAGCACCGCAAGTCGCTTCTGCAAGAGCCAACATCCTCCATCACGTCGTTATATGGTGCAGCGACTTCGAAAGCTGGAAATGAGTTCGCACGAGCAACAGAAGATGCCCGAATGAAAATAGATGACCTTTTCAACTCCGCTATCGAACAGTGGTCTGATTCCCGCCTTAAGGCATATCTAGACGCCCGCGGCGTACCCGTCCCCCAAGGATCAAAGCGCAATGACCTTCTGGCCACAGTGCGCTTGCATAGCCATAAGGCTGCCACCGGATATTCCGCTTGGACCTTTGATACTTGGACTAAAGAGAATCTCGGGTAAAGCAACCATTGGCACTTGCACCGTCCACATAGTTTTGCTAATAAAATTCTTGTCTAGAAAATACTTGTCCTCTCAACATAAGGAAGCCCTGCAGAAACTCGAGGGGAGCAGAAATGATCTTTTAAAGCAGGCTCAGGATGCATACATCAGTGCCTCCAAGACTGGTGGCGATAGCTACGCATCAATGACCTCATATCTTGCTTCCGCCACCGACGCAGCAAAGGACATGAGCTTGAACACTTGGTCGAAAGACGATCTCCGGAAATATTTGGAGTCGTATGGACTCAAAATCCGGCGTGACATAGAGATAGAAGAGCTCCGTGAAGAAGCAAGACGAAATGCGAATTATTTCATGTATGGCACAGTCGTGCAGGAAGCGGGTATTTTGGATCGAGTGTGGAGTGCTGGGCAGTGGGTCTGGGACCAATTGAAAATTGGTGCCCTGAGTGGGAGATCTGAGGGACAGAAGGCGGCCGATGCGGTAAAGGAGAAGGCAGCGGACGCAAAGAAGAAGGTTGACTTGTAATGGAGGTGCGAGGGAGACGGGGAAGATGTTAGCAGGGAACATCTAGCGAGAAACCTGATTGACCTCCACCCTTCTCTCTATTTGCGTCTTTCTTTTCAACCCCAGTTTCATCTTGAATTTTGACACGATTTATGACTTGCTTTTACCTGGGACCGAGCTTTTGACAGGATAACGAGGTGCAGGGTTATTTTGCCGGGTGGCAGGTGTGATGCGTGAATTTTTTGACGCTTCCCTTTCTTCTCCCCTTCTTCTCGTCTCACCGACTATGTCTTGATGATAAAACTAGCCACTGATCATTTTAATTGACTCCTCTGCACGGTAGGATACTTACCTTATTATAATATCTCTCTTTACCTTCATCAGGACTTCTGCGCCTCTAAACTCAGTTAACCCACCTTCCAGGCAAATAATCTGTTATTAGCTTGCAGTTAACGATGTCAAAATAAACGACGACCACGCCACAAAAAATTTCGGCTCTCCGTCGAACGATACGACAGGACTAGGATTGTAATCCTCGCAAAAGAGAAACAATTGTGGGCATCATACTGTTTCAAAACAGATAAAAGACCCTGGTCCAGCCAAGATTCATGAATGGAAGAGGACCCTTGTTCATATTTGCATGACAGCCGATGCTGCAAAGCAGGAGTGAATTACTACCTTCGTGAAGAGGATGCAGGATAGCTCTTAGCGCTTGCTCCTATTCTAGCAAATGAGATGAGCGGATGGGATGGAAGAAATACTGGGGAGTTCTTAGTTTCTTCAACCATGGTTTTGATGATGTATGAGTTATGTTTCGTACCGGCAAAAGGCGCGGGGAATGAATAAAGCAAGTAAAAAAACAAAAGAGAATAAACGCGCCTAGACTAATCTTTATTTATATTTCCGCTTTTTAGATTAAGAACAAGGAGAAAAATTTATATACTCGAAGAGATTAACTAAAGCCGATAGAGGCCTTGTCGCCCATAAGACCTGCAGCCACAGCGAGTAGTAGGAGAAAAAGTGAGAAAGTCGTGGCAGAAGTGTGAATCGGAGTACATCTGAAGGTAGGATATGTATGAGCCGGCCAGCAAAATATACACAAGAGCTAAGATTTAGGCAGAAGGAAGTTAGTCATGACGGAACGGAGGTATAAAGGAACCAAGAGAGGGAGAGGGAGAGAGGGGGGAAAAAGTAGAAAATTCGACGAAATCTCGGGCGGTATTCATCTGGTTTGGTAGATGGGTGTGGTTGTGGCGCTGTAGAGGAGAGCAGTTGCTAGGAAAAGCTAGTTAAGGTGCAGAAACGACAGGAAAATGTATAAACCTCTCCTGGTGCCATAAATGCCGGAAATGCAAAGCAGGGAAGAAGTCTGGAAAGAGACGGCAAAAGCCCGTTAATGAAGTAATGGTATCCAAAATGCAAACGGATGGAAAGGGCGACTCAGGCCGATCAAGGTCGGCTGCTAATCAGCAAGATCAAAGATATAAAGAAACTGAACTTGGAATCATGAAGCACAAGGGTGTGCACGAAGACCTTTAACGCCAGGTGCACCAGTACAATCCCGAGACGCAACAGTAAAAACGCCCAATCGCTCTGTATCCTGATAACAGAGGCAAGAATCAATCATAGAAATACTGGCAAAAACAACCAACATCATGGAATTTACCACGTTTAAATAACCCCCTTTCGCTATCCGATGCCAAGCCCGCATCCGTGTAAGTATAGATCTCGTCGATGGGAATTTGCTCCGGGGATAGTCGATTAACGTTTCCATTGTCTAGAACTTGCATCTGTTCACAATACGCCGTTTGTCCATGGGATTTGTAGCGTTTCTCTTCAATCTTGATAACACGCGGGGAGAAATTTTGCGGTGTCTGCGGAAGCCTTACACCGCCGCGTTCCCCAATGGTCTGTTCAGGCTCATACGCGTCAGACGTTGCCGTCCCTGATGGGGATGGCGATGGAGAGTTCGCGGCTTCTGTTGCCGAGCTCATCTCGTTCGCATATATGAAAACTTCAATGAGAGTGTTATTCCACCAGCAAAACCAAGGTTTATCGCCAGGGGAGGACGACACTCTTTCAAAAAGCCTAGGCCAGCGTTGTAGCAATCGGGATCCATCCACCCCTCTTTTCGGGATTGGGCGGGGAAAGGCTTCGTCTGGAATAATCACAAGCTTGTCAAATGCGGTGAAGAAGAAGTATGCCGGCCCCAGAGACACGTTCGTTTTATCAAGCATCAGCTCAAGTGGATGATCCGGGTCTCTAAAGATGGGTGGTTGAGCGCCATAATAAAAATGCCCGGAGACATTGTATGAAGTAAACACGATCATCGCATTTTCATCTTCGTCTTTCTGGATTTCATAATTGAACATGCCAATGGCTCTGCATTGCCAAGATCTTTCGTACTCCGAAGCAGTTACGCAATTGCTCGAGTTATCCTGAAGTGTCCCCGCTGGAATGTTAAACTGTCCTGTGGGAAGTGGCAGTAGGCTACCTGGATCTCCTGTTGGCAGAGGAATTGCATCCAAGGTACCAGCAGTGACAGTGACCGTGGCAGTCCTATAAAACGAGGATCAATATCAATCGAACAATGCTGTCGCGAACAGGGAAACTTACGGCGTGCTAGAAGCGGGGGGGTCGCGTTTTGCCCCTTGCTGTGAACCCAAAAGACCACCGATGACCCCTCCAATAACCGTACCTAGTAGCAATACCGCAGCGACAAGGAAGAACATCCAGAGTGGGACACCACAGCAAACCTTTTTCCGCCCTTTCTTGGTCAACTTTTCTTTGAAGCCTCCACTAGTATCATTTAGACTCAAGTTTGCATCTTGTCTGTCTTCGCCTGCGTCGCTACTTCCGGCAGGTCGAGGGGATACGGCTGTTTCATCCGTGGTTGGAGCGGTGTCGGTGGAGACATCTTCGTCCGAAGCCAGTTCCCGTTTGGCAGGAAGGCTTTCTGGATACCTCGAATAGGGGGGTAATTGTTCCATATGACCATCTGGGCCCACAATATCTCCGACTTCGTTGGGCGCCTGGGTCGAGGGCACTTGGTATGGCTGGGTTTGGCGCGGGAAACCGATCGGTATAGGCGGATTCTGGGCCCCATCGGCTTCCTCCGGGACGGTATTCTGGGAATACATTGCATATGGGTGTTGTGGAGCAGCTGCGACGAAATTACGTTCGGGCGGCCGGACGGTTGAGACAGTGGAGGTAGATGACGATCTGGCGACACCGATTCCTTGGGGATACATGGCATAGGGATGGCTCGGTCTGGTTTGACCTCGGTAGGGACTCATTGCACGCGGCATCGAGAATCGAGAAGAAGGACTTAAACTCCTTCGTGTAGAAGACTGGTTGCTTGTCGTTTCTGATGAAACAGAGGCAGCTCGCGCGGCAGGGCTTGTTTCAACTGGGACATGTCTGCCTTGGTCGGAGATTATGGGTGGTTCGCGTGGTGTTTGCATCACTATTCTCGACGAATCCGAGGAGTCGTCGAAAGGGCTGACCATGGACGATGGCCGCGCTCCGTCCAAGGATAACGGGGACGGTGGAGAGTTATCTGTTAGGGTCCGGGTGGTAAGAGAACTCCGGTTGCTACTAAACTGGTCAAGTGGTTCCAACGAAAATTCATCGCTGAATACGTTTTGGATTGGAGATCCTTCAGATGAGCTCTCGAGGCCTGAAGATAGCGAGCGAATTTGTGTCGTGTGGGTATTTCTTCGCGATTCGTCGCGCTGGTCGGATGGGAGCCGTGAGGACGGCGGTTGAGCCATTGTGAATGGGTTGTGTGGACTGCACTGCCCACTTGGGGATTGAACCCCCTACCGAGTTCGACAGCGCGACCAGATTGACTGGAGTCGGATTTTCTCTCTTTTTCGAAGTAAGGTAAAGAACGGAACTGGGTGAAATGGAAAAGCAGATCGCATCAACGAGGGACTGGTGAGGAGGAGGGTGGCCTCTTGTGGAAAAACCAACGGTGAAGGGTGGATGGGGAGACGGAAGGCTGTTGTTCTGCAATCGACCTGGTTAGTAATAATAACACCAACCGCACGGGGCAATTACAAAGTCGATACGGATACGGTACGGAGCCAATACGCCAAACTCTTGGCGCGTGCCCAAAAGGGATGTAGTCACGTGAGATTCCCGCCTGCCGCCACCGCGGACCGACGCACTCCAGCAGCCAGCGACGCTGTTCCCCTGAGATCAGGGCAGGGTGACTGGCGGACAGCTGGTATTGTCCGGCTGATGGACTGAGATCCCACGAGGCTTCTGTCGAACTTCTCTATAACTACCACCGCTACGCACCTAGATGACATCATCCTCATGTGGGGAGAAATACTCTGCCGAGCAAAGGATTGGACCAAAGCCGCTCTGTCCAATCAGATGGTTATCGATTGCCCTTGTTTTGCCCGCACTTTGGCGGATTTGCCAGTTTCAGGGCCATGGTTGGCGCCTATCTCATCTGCAGCTCGGACGATCTCAGGTTTTGGACTTAGGATGGGCAATTTCGATCCTTTTTACGTCAACTCTCAAATAACAACGTGAGAACTACGTGATAGAACGCCCACTCGATTTCAGATATCATCCTGGTTTCGATGTTGGGTGCCGGAGCATATGCAGTTGTCTCCTAACCCGTTTGGCTTCCTTGTTATGGATCCGTCCCTTTTTCGTGCGGTCTAAGTCCTAACTAACTAGTCTCTTGCATCGCTTTCGACACCGCCCCATCCTCGGTGTCTAAAATCCCTGTCCAAGCCAGGCTTGCAACCGAACCGATCTTCATGTGCAAGGTGCTGCATCTGACACCTCTGAAGACTTTCAATTGTTTATACGACGCAACGTGACCTCGACTTGTCAACGCAACGCTGTCCTTTAGGCCTTTAACTGGTTACACTTCTTGAGCCATGGTTGAGAATCACCATATGGGGGTTTCTGGTCGCGGAAGATCTTTTTATCCACATCAAAAGGTTTCGCCTTCGTGCCGTGGAGCATATGTCTTCTCTCTTGTTTGTGGGGGACGCCTCCATTTTCTAAGGAAGTGGTGCTCTATTTTCCCGCTGTTTTACAAAGTATCATGGAGTGTTTCGGCTTTGTGGCTGCTAGGCCCAGCTGGGGAATTGGCTCAGACCATCAATTCTTAGTCACGTTGTGTCTCTTGCATCTTTTAACTTGCCATCCTGTTCAATATCTTCCTCGTAGAGGGTGCATAGTGGCCAATATCCTGCCATTCCTCCAAACCTTACAACACTATGTGCGACAAATTCAGAAGGTAACGATTTTTATCCGCCGTCTGTCCGGAGACGCTACATATTCGTGTAACCCTCTTGAACGTCATATCTGCTTTACGGCCAGTCAAAGTATAATATATATATATATTTAATTCCATTTCGATATAGTGTTCCGATGAGCATCGACATTAATTATAGGCAAAAGAGCTGTGTAATATTATACCGAAGTGCGCTTTCCAGGACTTTGCGGCACCGTATGTTTGATATGAAGTGGAAGTCGACTTGATTCTATTAGAGGGTCAATGAGTAATGTCCGATTTTGCCATTCTACTTTCAAAGTGTATGTACCCAAATGGTATCAAAAGCGATGAAACAGCGAAAATAGATAGATCTCATTCAATCTTCAATTGGTGGATAATTGGTGTAGTAATCTAATTCGGGAGGTTTGGCAAGAGGTTTCATTTCATCATCACTTTCTTAGGGCGAGAATATCAGATAAGTGAACTCTCCCTTTCTGACCCCATCCGGCCGGGCCGGCCTGAACATCCGGTCTAACTTTCAAGTACCAAGCCCACGCTCGCCTATCCAACTCATACTTGCTCAGCGTAGATGACCAAGACGTACAGAGTAAATCAACGGCACCGAGCAGGAGTCCGAGACACTTTTCTTGGTTCGAGCCCATTTCTGCCGGGTTTCCCCGTTTCTTACTTTGGGCCACCGAAGAGTCTTGCTCATCGAAGCTGAACGATTTTAACAAGTAGTCACGAGCAGATTCTGGTCTGTAGATTGGAAGGATTGAAGATTGTCCCCTACTTGCGCCTGGAAGTACGGGTCCATTTGATTTTCGCAGGGCCTCCAAGTCCAGACCCCATAAGGACGGAGAATTCTCGGAAACTTTCGCTTCTTCTGGGAGTGTGATTGAAGACGCTTGAGAACCCCCATCCTCCCCCTCCGGGTCCCCAAAATAGCCCAGTCTCTTTAAAACACTAATCTCCCTTCCAAGAACTTTTACTGAAGGCTGTCCCTTTGCCCAGCCTTCCTCCTCTGCGCTTGGACCTTTCTCGATGCCCAGTTTAGCAGCTTTAGAACGACTATTAGCACTGACCACGGCTTGAGCAAGACTGAGTCTGCTGGAAATAGGTTGCTCTGGCATCGTATACTTTAGCAGCACAAAAGCAAAGGCAAGCACCAAAGGTGCCCGGTTGGTGACGACAATGGTTTCTGAGATTGCGTCCGCATCTGTAGAAATAGAAATTGCTAAAGAGGACTCGAGTTGCGCCGGAGTTGCAAGTCCCTCCGGCCCTTGAGTTCTTCTGGACCTTTTGGGCGTTGATCGGGTTAAATCTCCGTCTGCAGAACGCTTCTTTACTGCTCGCTTCGCACCATTAGATACTTGTTTTGCAATCTTGGCGTTGTTGAATATAGTCTGAAGCTGTTTAATATCCGCTTTTGCGAGAGCTTCAATGCTATTTACTGGTCAGTTTTCACACAAATAAGCGAGAGCTTAGATGTTCAGGTGAAGGCGTTTGATACTTGAGTAGATTGGAATCCCGAAGGTCTTTGACCTTTGCTATGGCAAGCGCGAGGGGAACCTTCGATTCTTGACTGAGAAAGCGTAGTATTGCTTGAACCTCTGCTGTAGTCGCCATTCTGCATGGGAGAATTCCTCAAACCGAATATTGCATTCGTCTCATCATTCTGCGCACTTCTTGCAGGGCAACCCCCTTGGGAGTTCCTCGTCTCCTGGGCATTGTGCACAGGCATCAACACACTAAAGGCTGGGCGAGAGCCACACACCAGCCACAGTGCTGTGATTGATCCAGGGACGCAGCTTCAACTCCGCGGAACCCCGCAGTCCATTGTTAAGCGAGCGGAATACGAGAAGAGATGCCTGCGTCAATGCCAGCATGGCAAGCATCCAAAGTCCATCAGAGCACCGAAACTTCCTGGCCGAAATTTATTTCCAAGTGATTCGAGATTACGATCTGCTTGGCTCAAGAAGCTTCTCCGGCGTCAGTGGGAGAAGGCGAGTCGTTTGAAACTGATTCCAGATTCTAGACATTTTGAGAGGTTGCAGGATGTTATGGGGTGCCCCTATACAGCTGCTCAAGTACAGAGTAACTCTGTATGTGTATGGCAGTTATTGTGTGGGAGCTTTTTGTTGACCAGTATCTTTTCTCTAAATTGTGCCAAGGTGTAATTAATCTGTGGCAAGATGTGGGCTGCAATTGTATTTGAGGAGTCATCCAGTAGTGTTTCCAATTTGCTATAGGTAACTTCAAGTGTTCTGATTTTTTCTGTAGGTCCTGGTTCTCTACCTTTTCTACTGCTTGTAGCTAGCCATTGCGACCACCTTTAATGATCTATACACTTGACTTGAGTGCAACATCCATGTGAACTCTGAAGACTTCATGCGCTCCCTTGTGCACGCAAATCCCTGTCATGTGTGGGAAACATACACTGTTGACAGTAGCTGTGTTGCTCGTTGTATTGTTATGGGCCCAAATGTGTGCGGTAGGAATGTGAATGAGCTCACCATCCACATTTTGTATTATTTTCTGAAACTTGTCATTCTTTGTGGACTTGAAGTTGATTATGGTTGGAGTGGATAGGAAGATGGAGCATTTGAATGGTGGAAGCTGACTGGTCAGACTCTTAATTCTAGCTTCGTTTTATGTGCTAAGTACAAAGCAGCAATGGCTGCCTCTTGTGAGAAGGCAAAGATCCTGTTGAATGGATCCTCTATGGCCAGGTATGCATCAAGAAGTTGTGACCACCAAGATAGCTGTCTAAACTTTTGATGCTGATGTATGAAACGAGCTTATCTGTGGAGGAAGCAACTTCATCAAGGTCTGGATCAATCCGGGAAGGCAGGTGGCCCTCTACACATTCATATATATGGCGGTCCTCCCCGAGCTCGAAGCGGGGAGCGACTGTGTCAGAAGTTTGAAGAATGAGTGCTGACTATTCCTTAGCCCCATAGGTCGAATGCGATGTGTGTAACTCACCTGCGTGAGTTATAAATATCTGGGCCTGGTGGTCAGCAATCTGTCTTTCTCAGATGTTTTGGCGTTATTATCACTCACTTGTGTGTTGGCGCCTTGGAGGAACTGCACTTTCAAGAGCTGTGGGTATAAATAAGGGTTTGCCCCGGGACGGAGCTCCTTGGCCAATATAGGATCAAGGGTTGCGTCTGACCGCGAAGGTTCACGGATGTGGATTAGAAGAGAACCAGGAGCTGAGACACTCTTTGCTTCTTAAGCCTGCTGGTGATTCATCTTTGAAGATACTGATATACGTGGGCATGGCCGTATCTACTGCATTCAACATGCTTCCTGCTAACGGGATCACCGCACATTGACTGTTTTGCGCCAAAAGATCTCTCTAAAGGGGGATTGGACACGGGCATGATAAAATTATCCGTTCTAAAGAGAATATTTGCTGGCTACTATTAACTGCATGATATGCGGCACCTATTACGGAGTAGTCCGTACTCCGTACAATGTTGATCATTCTATGGTTCTGGTCTCCATACCCCATAAAGCAGCTGGTTTCGACAAAGTTCCTTTTAACATGAAGCGAGGTGCGCGAGAATGGTATTTCCAGAACATCCGCCGCTACTCTCTAATTTACCTTACAGACAATATTCGCGCAGATGCTACGCAGCGGATGAACGACCTGCCGGGTGACCAATTCGCAACCACCATGGACCACTCAATTTACATGAGTGTGTCGTGACTGGGATGCGAATTATCCGACTATGTAGTTATACCTAAAAGGCTACAACTACCAAATTCGGAACATCATTGTTGATTTGAAACTGTCCTTTAAGGCAAAACCTATTCCCTGAAAATGCAAGGAATTTATACTCGGAGATAATCCACGGATTGTCGCTCCGTGGCAATTTCACTTCAGCCGCGTTTCTCGGGTCCTGATCTTGCGACATGCGAATTGCTTCCAGGGGTTGTTAGGCAGGCTAATCTTTGCGTGCTTCTCGACGTTATGACTACATGGCTGGGACTTCCTTTTCATATTATTAAATTTTCCGCCGGGCAATGCCGGAAACTTATTAACTTCTCCTATCCTGACAGCTTGTTCCTAATAAATCTTGAAAACGTGCTCGATACAGTCATGGGAACAAAGATCCCTTGACCCCGCTGGAAAGTAACAGCTATTCTTCGCCTGGCTGCCGTTCTCAAGAAACTCTCAATAGCAATGACACAAGCCATGACGTTGCTATCATTGGCTTCTCTTTCCAGTTCCCTGGAGCCGATGCTCTGAACTCTCTTTGGGAGCTCCTGTCTTCTGGAGTCTGTGTCGCTTCTGAGTTCCCTCTGGACCGACTCTCCGTCACTAGATATCATGCCGTCGACGATTCTCGCCCGGGCACAGTAGGGAACCACCGACCTTGTGTATAATCCCACGTTACCCATGTGTAACTTCAATTCCGGCCGCGAAGGCCTTGCTTTGTCAATCGCGACACGGGCACTTTCGATTCTAAACTGTTTGGTATAACACCAGATGAAGCATTGGGGATGGATCCTCAACTAGGAATTGTCCTCGAAACCACATATCGAGCGCTTGAGAATGGTCCGACTCTTGCCTACCCCTTTCTGTGTAAACCTTCCGGGTCAAGTTTGGCACATCGCCAGCCGGCAGATCTAGCTAGACTACTACGCCCAAGATTACTGGCTTGGACACGTCCATTCACACCGGCTGCTTCACTGGCGACTGCATGTTAGCCTCAAATGCCTACAGCTTATGCCGACACAGTCGCAAGTTATCAACAGCCTCAAACTTCTATAGATACTAGCAAACGTGACCTAGACGGTATATACCAGATGCAAGAGCCAATTTTTGCCATTCTCCACTAGATGGGTTCGTCCACGAGCACGAGCGATAGCAACCGTCGTAGTAAGGATGGTAAGGCCCCAGATCTAACAGAGCAGCTCGAGGAAGCTACGCCTCTAGCTGAGGCAGCCGATCTTGTGGCCAACCAGATAAGCTATGCCGAGCTCTTTTCATATCGCCGGCTTCATTTGACGTGGCTCAGCCCTTGCATATCCACGGGGTGGAATCCCTGATAGCGGTTGAGATGCAAAACTGGTGCGCGCGGTTTCTGAAAATCGATGTGGCCATATTTGAGATTTTCGGCAGTGCGACTGCCTGGACTCTAAGGCGAGCCGTTGCTAAGGAAGTTAGAGTCGAACAATAGGAGTGTTGATTTAGGTACAAGTCTCAAGGTCCCTGGTCGCTGAATTCTTCGTTCTGCTTGAACCTATAGAGTCGAGTAGTTGGTTCATGAAGGGCTGAGATCGGCATATCTATTCCGCCCTGATGCTTGAATCATGAGAATGAATGGGGACGATAGGAACATACGTATGTAGAAACCCAGGGGCAGCTATTGCCTATCAATCAGATTTCATATGTAGTTAATTTCATTGAAAACCGATATCACTTTACGATTCCTGCGAGCTTAGTTTTCTAACAACCAAGAAGATTTCTCGTGCTCCAGCTCCCTTCGATGCCCTGGCAGAAACCAGCAGGACGAATAAGGTTAGCCTAGCCCAAACAGAGCACCAAAGACACAATACGGCGTATCTGTACTCCGTACTCCGTAAATACAGTACAACGAGCAGCTTAGCCAGCCAATCAAGTGTGTAATTTTTGAAGCCCCAGCAGCTGCCAAACCTCCATCCATTGAGGCGACCAAGCATCAGATAGCTTCACGCTCACCCCAGCTTTATCGCAAGCAGCAAACTATCCGTGCCCCGAGACAAGTCGGCATTGAAGATGCCTGACGATCAGAAGACCAAGCCCTTCCCTGAACTTTCGTCCAAATTAACTGCTCCGGCGAAAAAGTCGTTGTTCGAACGCCAGAAAGCGGAGGCGGAAGCGAAGCGTGCCAGAGAAAAAGCCGAAACCGCAGCTGTGTACGAAGACTTCGTGAAGTCATTTGAGAACGATGGCGATTCTTCGGCACCATTTGCTACAGCAGGCAGATCGAATACGTATCGCCATGGCAATCTGGGTGCGGTGCACTCCGTTGGCGGCCCAGCGAGACGGCATTTCACAAGCGGGACCATGAAGGGCTCAGCAATTGGGAGCTTGGGTCCTCCTCCATCCCAATTTTCCAAAAAGAGAACATATGATGGATATCCAGCGTCGTCTCGCGACCGTGACACGAATCGAGGACTTTTCGCCTTCGAAAATTCATCTGGGCCGGTTGACAGTGCATTTCGAACATCCGACGACGAGGAAGAGAAATCTGCGGAGAAAAAAGAAGAAGAGAGAGCTGCCGCTAAACCTACTCTACATCTTTCCTCGCTACCTCCAGGGACATCGCCCGCGGTAGTCAAGGCTCTTATTCCTCCGGTTTTGGTGGTTGACAACGTTAAGATCATTCCGCCTGCCAATCAAGGGGGTGGAGAGCGCAAGGTATGGTCAGCTATTGTCACGCTGGCCAAAGAGACCGCTGCTACTGATATGGATACCGTCGTGAGCTCTTTACAAAATAAGTATCTTGGATGGGGATTTTATCTCTCAATATCTCGCCACCTCTCTTCTGCTTCAATTAGCTCTGCGATGCCCGTTACTCCTGGCCTTGCTTCTCTCACCTTCCAGCCTTTTGGAGCGCGACCATTATCACATGGACCTGGAACGTTTAGTCGTGGCCCACCAGGGCCTCATCGTTCAGGCTTCGCGCCTCCAGCCTCATACGGCGCTAGTTATGGTTCAAGGGGTCCCGCATTACAGGTTGACGTGAAGCCACCTTCCGACCTAAGACAGCTAAAATTAATACACAAGACGCTGGAAAATCTGTTAACTTATGGACCTGAGTTTGAAGCTCTTCTTATGAGCCGTCCACAAGTGCAGAAAGAAGAGAAGTGGGCATGGATATGGAATCCCAGGAGTGTGGGCGGTGTATGGTACAGATGGAAACTATGGGATATTCTTACAAATTCAAAAAAGAATAACAAGACGAATCGGATACGCGGTGCTCCAACGTATATCTTTGAAAACGGTCCAAGCTGGATTGCGCCGGAAAAGAAATTGAATTTCGAGTTCATAACCCAATTAGACCAATTTGTCTCCGATGAAGATTACGACTCTTCTGAAGACGATGAATCTGATAGAGAAGAGGAGAGGCGGATAGCAGAGGTATCGAATGAATCCAATGACGGAATCGGTCACTTGAATCCGCTCCAAAAGGCGAAGCTAGTTCATCTGCTTGCAAGGCTCCCGACGTCTAATACGAAGCTTCGTCGAGGCGACGTCGCGCGCGTTACGTCATTCGCAATTAATCATGCGGGAGAAGGGGGCGATGAAGTGGTCAATCTGATCGTTTCTAATGTTAAGCACCCCTTGGCTTATACTGCGGCGAATCCCGACAGACAACCCGATGAATCCGAGGCCCTAAATGCAAAGATAGACGAGAATATGCAACTTAAGGAGGGCGACGGGGACGGCGAGGCCTCTGAACAAAATCTGAAGCCTGCATCCAAAGAGAAGCTAGACAAGTCACCAGCCAAACTAGTAGGGCTATATATTATATCGGACATCTTATCTTCGTCATCTACAAGTGGCGTTCGTCATGCTTGGCGTTACAGACAGTTATTTGAGACGGCGCTCAAGAACCACAAGGTATTCGAGCATCTCGGACGTCTTGAAAAGGAGCTAGGATGGGGACGTTTAAAAGTAGAAAAATGGAGACGGAGTATTGGGAATTTACTGGGCCTCTGGGAAAGTTGGTGTGTTTTCCCCCAATCAAGCCACGAACACTTTGTGCAAGTGTTTGAACAGCCACCCCTTACTGAAAAGGAGATTGCGGAAGAAAAAGCGAGAGCAGAAGCCGAGAAGAGTGCTGCTGCGTTTGGTGGAAAGGGGAAAAGCAAGTGGAGGTCGGTGGAAGATGTTGGCGGGAACACGGATACAAGCGTTGTTGAACCAACCATGGACGACGAGAATATAGATATGGATATCGATGGAGCGCCGATATTGGATGAGGAAAGCCTTGATGCCCAATCAATGTCGGACATTGACGGTATTCCTATGGAGGACTCTGATATGGATGTCGATGGTCAGCCTTTGAATGATGAATCCCCTGAAGGCCAGGACCAGGGTTCTGATATGCCTGTGGAAGGTAAACAACCCTCTAAACCCGAGCCGACAACACCTGAACCTCCAGCCAAACGCCGTCGGCCCAAGGCAGAAGATATGTTTGCAGATTCGGATTCTGAATAGGGGATTGGTGAATCCATTTCTTGATACCCTTAGTTATCATTATGAGTGAAACAAAAAAAAATTAGTTAGTATTTTTTTTTATTTGTCCCTTCCGAATTTCCCATTCCATGTAACCTCTCAAGAACTGTCGAAAGTAAGCATAAGGTTTTATTTAGGCCGCAAGGTAGGTACATTGATAGGTATCGTCATCTCTGGGCATTGTAGCCTTGGGAAAAGATCCCGCCAAGCGAGTTTGGATGTTGCGAAAATCCCACCCCACTCAGGACCCCGCCATCTCGTCCTCTCGTCGTCTTGAAGTTCACAAAGCTACATCAACACCCAAAACAAGCTGATCGGCAAAGTGTGATTACCAGGGTGATTCGTGCATCATATCAAGGCAAAATGGCAGGTGAGTTTATTCCTTTTCCTGGATCGGTCATCTTTGTCCGTCCCGGTCCTCGCGGAGCGCTCGGCGCGATTCGCAGACTGTGAGAAAATGGGCCTAAAGGGCATAACGATGAGATGCTGACGCCTGCCTTCTATGACGGTAGACTTCCAAGGCGTTGCTCGTATGTTGAATCCGTGTTATCTCCTCCGACATAGCTATGGGTGTGGGATCTGCCAAGGTTGGGCTCTAGCGACTGATATCAACTTGACTAGAGCAATTTGTTGAATTTTACTACAAAACCTTCGATGAAAATCGGGCGAATCTTACCGCATTATACGTATGATATTAGCTCCCGAGAACGAAAGATTTTATGGACAGAAGGTGGAATACTTACACAATGAATAGCGCCATGAGTCTATGTTGACTTTTGAAACCTCCTCAGTCCAGGGTGCTACTGGTATCGCCGAGAAGTTGGAAGTCAGTTCCCAGCATATAGAAAAATATGATAGTGGGATATGCATTACTGATATTGTTTGTGATATAGGGCCTCCCATTCCAGAAGGTAGCCCATCGAGTTTCAACTTTGGATGCCCAGCCTACCCGTGACGGCGGAATTCTGGTCATGGTCACCGGTGCTCTTTTGGTGAGTTATAGCTCTGTACCTGTTTAGAATATATAGATTCGAAAGTCGATTGAATAGCGTGTGGATGCTAATCGCATGGTCCTGCAGGTTGATGAAGAGCAAAAACCTTTGAGCTACTCCCAGACTTTCCAACTTCTGCCAGACGGAGCTGGAAGCTACTTCGTGCTTAATGACATTTTCCGCCTCGTCTACTCATAATAGCATGATTGGAATTTTATGCGACACGGCGAAGACTGTATAGAGAAGCGACCGGAATGGGATTTATCAGTAACCCCCATTGACCGGCGGTCACTTTGGAATGGTGTGATGGCAAGCTTGGCCAATATCGAATCAGTTCCCGTGACAAACAGATCCTTCAATTTCCACTTTGATTAAATATGTGCAAATACACCCCCTGTGTGTCATTTACATTTCCTTTCCAAGCACTGGTGGTCTGTCGCGCTTCAAGGCCGGAATGATCGTACATTCCTGGAGCAAAATAGGGACTCCAGCAGCCTATCCGACTGGGATCAATATTTCACTGAGCACGCTTTTCGACGAACTATAGTTTCTACCAAAGCCCCTCGCACTAGCATTTACCTTCAAGCCCTGGCCCTAGCCCCTTAGCGACTACTGTAGTTAACACTCACAGCCTTATACATTCGTCTTTTCTTATATCTGGTATGGGCATGCATCTAATGGATAGGCTTCAAATGTAGACCCAGCGATCTTAACTAAAAAGATTCCAATTATCGTTATGATCCTTAGTTTGATGTACAGGTACGAATGCTATCATTAAATAACCCGAAGAATTGACTCAAGAATCTTTTAAACTAATGCATAATATTCGCCTTGGTCCTGTGACTATTCTAGTAGTTAGTTGCCAGACAGTAATGGTGTTCCCAATATTTCTCCGAGCTATCCCAATGCTGCGAAGATACAGCGGAGGCTGTTGAGGTTGTGGAGCAAAATACGCGCTTTCGCTCGTCGGCTCGCATCTACTGCTTGAACATTTGACAACGAAATTCAACCCTAAGGTCGCCCTTTTGAGGAATTTTGCTCTATACAGCCCATATCTGTGTTTGATTTCATAGCCTACCGAAGTATCAAGGAGATAGGCATAACACCAGAGCATCATCCCTGACTATGACTGTTCTCGTGACGGTCGGGGCGTGCTACATTGACACAATAATAACGTGAGATGACGCATCACCAGTGCTTCCCAATTCTGTTACTGATATTCACTTTGGATACAGAGTTGATCATTACCCCAGTGAAGATGAGAAGCTGCGTGCGGCGAGTGTCTCACGACGACTCGGTGGGAACACCGCTAACTCACTGGTCGTCCTTCAGCAGCTACTTGAATGCAGACCAAGCATGGGTGTTCAACAAATTCATATGCCCCTTTATGCTGTGGCAGTGTTGCCTGCAAAATCCTCGGCTGCCGTAAAGGTGGTTGAGGCCTCCTTGGCTCCGAAGGTTGACCTTCAGCACTGCATATACCGTGAGGCGTTCAGCGAGCCTGGGTCCAGCTATATCATTCGGAGTCAGTCTTCTGGCACCAGGACAATTGTCAACGACAATCAACTTCCAGAAATGACCATCAATGAGTTTACCCGAATAGCAGATAGTCTGCCCGCTGGTCCAAAATGGTTTCATTTTGAAGTGAGTGGTCTTGGGCACATTTGATAAGCCGTCAACAAGAGGTCCTAGTCGTCCCAAGTACATATTGATTGCCATACTAACTTTCTTCCCCAGGGCCGTATACCGGATGTGACTTTGCAGTGTATACGACATATCCGTCAGAATTTTCCTGCTGACAAGATCAGTGTGGAGATTGAAAAGCCAGGTCGTGCAGGTTTGCAAGAGTTAGCTGTCGAAGCAGACGTGGTCTTCTATTCTAAAAGCTGGGCTCAGGTAAAACCAATAATCCTAATTTCTCATTGAACAGTGGGAATATGGATTTACTAAACTATATCACCCATCATAGGGCCATGGCTATCAATCGCCCGACGATCTCTTGCAAGCACAATCATTAGTAACATCTAAATCGTACGATTCTTCTTATCCAATCACCATTGTCGTGCGCTAGGGCTGTATTATTTCGGGGCTGATAGTGATCTAGTTCGATCTTGTGCTGTACATGGGGCGAAAAGGGAGCTGTATGTCTCGACAAGCGCTGCATGGAGTATATTCATTCGCCCGCATATATGGATGCGAAAGTTCCAATTGTTGAGTACGTGGGACATCTTTGATTCCTTAATCCTTCTCCTCTGCAGCTAAAAGACAAGCTTTCTTACTGTCCTCCTTCGTTTGGCAGCACGGTCGGGGCGGGCGACACTTTCATCGCCGGCATGCTGTATGGATTGATTTGCCACGAGAGTGACTATAGCCTTCAGAGAACGATGGCCTTCTCAAATCGCCTTGCAGGACGAAAGATTACTCAAGAAGGCTTTGAAGGGCTGGGGAAGTACATGGCAGAGCATCTGTAGTAGTTGTTCGCGGGTAAGTGGCTGTTCTCGACCCGGGAGGATGTTTCCGTCACAGAATCTCTTTTGAATTGGATGACATCGACCGTTTATTTCTGTTTAAATACAAAATAGACTTGCTTGAGGACTGGCTGAGCTCGACCACTTTGATATTGATCGTGCTAGTCTGGCTCGGCCATCTGTCCGAGGAATGGCAGGGTTGTCGTTGTTCAACAATTGAGTTCCAAGCTATGAGGGTATCAAATTCTGTGGCATATTTCAACCGCGCCTGGGATATTGTAGTTGCTGTAGCTCCTTCACCTCGGCACAGAGAGAGGAAATTTTAAGATGGATGATATCTCAAAGTTAGTGGGTCCTGCTGTGACATTTGGGATTTTCCCGTCTGCCCATTGAGAGTGTCGGTGACCACATCCTTTCCCCATAGTCTCAAGGATTCACACAATGAATGCGGCATTTGTTTGCGAGTCAACCCTGCAACGCTTGTCAAGCCGTGGTCAAAAACATGGACTGCGGAACCAACAATGCGCTAGTCCCGATTTAGGAAGTTCCGCCGAAGGTGCCAGAAGGCTTGGCGCAAGAAGCAAGCGCAAGCTGTGGCTTGGTCGGAGAGGTCATCGTATCTCTTCCATGTCACGCAGCGTTTTTGTCTCAAATTCAGCAACGAACAACGTCCGGAGGACTTTCGCAAAAAGGCAGCCCTCATTTTGCAGGCACTCGTTTTTAGCCCAGTATCTTGTGATTTCTCTGAGTCCTAACTGAAGATTCCGGAACAAAGAGCTCCTTTCCGCACCAGTTCAAGCCACCTGGTCAGATATCCGGCTCGGCGATAACCACTGGAGGCATCAGCGATCGCTCGTTCCTTACGAACAAACCAGCTCCACGAAATTTGCACGTCCTTTCTGTACCTTTTCTTCCGGCTGGACTAGGTAGGCGCTCTCTGTATGCATTTCCTGAGAAGTCTGCCAAACGTTGCTCCACCAACAGCTCACTAGCTGACAATGCAACCCGACCATCAAGTACTCAATGCTAATAGACAAGCAGTTGGGCCTACACATCTTCGCATAGCTACGAATCTCAAGACCTCTGACAACGACTGTAACGATCGCCACCTTTTACTTTAGCAGGCTTGATAGCTCGAACTTAGGCCAGATCGCATTTTCGTACCGAATTTATTGCAGCACCTTTGCACTCATCTTCCGTTCACAATGAGTCTTGCTGAGGAGTTTAAATCAAGAAACTTCAGTGAGTGCCCTTTCGCCAGCTGCCTGGCCCACCAAAGTCCGAGCCGGTTCCTCTACTTTATGCCGAATATAGATTGCTGACTATAATCATGTCGCAGGCATCTATGGACAATGGTACACGCTGAGCTTCATCCCCTCTCGTTTCCTTCGGTAGATTTACCTTTTGCTGACATTAAATTGGTACCCCAGGACCGGAGTTATTTGCATAATACTCTCCTTTGCAATTGGCCTTGCAAGTGTTTTCTCTCGTTTTATTGTTTTCGGCATTATATCCCTGTTAGTATCATATGCGACCCATTGAGACAATTCCGATCCAACTAACAGATGCTACAGGGTTTACTCTCCGCTACTCCTTTTCATCGAAGTTCCGTTCCTCCTTCGCATCTGTCCCACGTCCTCGAAATTTGATGCCTTCATTCGTCGCTTCACCACAAACTTTATGCGCGCCGCTATTTATGCTGCTATGAGTGGCGGCCTTTGGATAAGTCTTGTCATTGATCCATCGAGCTTAATTGCTGTTGCTGTCTTTTTGGCAATTGCTGGACTCTTCTATCTTCTGGCGGCACTGATGAAGCAAGAATTTACGAGCAGTAAGACGCTTGGTGGCCAAGGGGTCGCTCAGATGATTGTCTAATGCCGATTCTGGATGCTAAATGCTACGCCTTTGTATGATGTACTCAATAAAGATTGGTGTCTAACATATGTGAGATGGCACTGGAAAGTAGTTATAGTTGCCGTACTGTTTATTCCAGCATACTTTTCTGGTTTTCAGGCTCTTGTTTGGGATGGTTCTTTTCTTGTTTTGACTTGTTTTTTCCAGTCCAGATGTATAGGTAAGATACATGATTTTCTTTTCTTTTTTTTTTTAAATAGCTTGTGTTTGAGACTAAGGAGGATAATTGGTACGGAGTAAAGCACCAAAGAATGGAGATTTGCTCCACACTCTGTAGTATAATCTTGCTCAAGCTAACTACTCCGTACTAAGCTTGGTTTTTCAATATTCATGTTCATGTCTTACCTTGAATGCGGAATCACCCATGCTCGCGGTCAGGACAGCCCCTCTTTCGTGCTCAGATGGGTTTGCATCCGTCCACATGGATTGAGGGCAAAGTTGCAGAGCTCTACCAAGCCTTCGAGTTGTGTGATTCGATCTTGCGCTTCTTCCACCTCCTGTTTCACCATCCACAGACGGCATTAGGTGCGTCGCCACAGTTGCCGGGCCGTCATGAACATACTGTACCTGAAACTTATTAGCCAATCATCATTAGTCCTCATTCTTAATACGGTAACTGACATTCGATCATAACCCATAATTACAAGTGGCACACCAACCCCAAGACATGCTTATGTCATGTGGCTTGTCACCTTGCAAGCTTCGTCGTGAACCTCCGCCGTTGTGCTCAACCGATATCAAGACCCAGAACACAAGATATGAAGTTAGGAGTGGTTTACTTATAGCTGTACTTATGGATATGATATGCATCTCTAACAATCTCAACTGCATATTGGCCCTAAACTGCTGATATCGCTTCTTGTCGTGCTTTTTGGTTGCATATATACTTACGTCAGTCTGTTGCCTCGAGTCCTTGATTTAGGGGCCGTTTGCTGGTCAATCTTATATACGTAGGTAAGCAGTTGGGACTCATCTATGATAAGATGGTCTTTGGATATTTCTCTACATTCAGTCTCCCTCTATTGTCTCAAAGAAGATGCCACTTGAAAGTCGAAGCTCCACCATCCTTTGCTCTGTGGAACATCTCGAGTCTACAAAGCAGACGGCATACAAGCTTCACAACTTGAAATTTATGTCCTACAGAACCGGCAAAGAATTAACAGCATTTTGTGAGCATCATGGCTGCTAGAATTGCTGTGATACGGTGGTGGCACCGCTACATACTCAGCAACATTGATGCTCTGGATGGATTGCATTGTGCATCATTTAGTGGCTACAATCTGACCGGTTACTAATAACACCTAACAGCATCTTGCTTGTTTATTTAGCGATTCACAATGGCAACGAGGGTTCCTCCAACGATACCTCCTCGGCCGAGTCGTTCGCCAAATACCCTATCTCCGCCCAACGCAGATATTCCGAAGATTCCACCCCGCCCAGCAAAACGCCGGACCGACCAATCCACCTCTCCAAAGCCCGATAGATTTGCGCCTTCACCACTAAACGCTCTACCCGGAGAGGCTACCGCTTCAAACGATGACCGCCCTTCTCGACCCCCCAGTGTCGCAGCGCTTCCGTCGATTGGACAAGAAGGGATCGAATATGAAGGCGCAGAGTACCAGAGCATGCAAGGAGGTGAAGATGATGACCAGATACAGCAACCAGTAGAGACCAGGAGTGTTAACCGGGATCTATACCTCCATGCGCCGAGGCCATCTTTACCAGATACTAGTGCCAAGGCTCAGGTGGAAGTTGTCACCAGAACGGATTCACGACAAGCTGCAGCTGCAGGCTTCGGAAAAGCGGTTTCACCCAGTGACGAAGAAGTGAAGTATCTCGGTTCCCAGCGCGAACCGTCCGCTGAGCAACGCAAATCCTTACATCCAGGAGATGAACATGGTATTTCTGAAATTGGTCAACGGGTTCCCATGATACCGAATGCTGGTTATGTACAAGCGCCGAGCCCTGCACCTTTAGGCGCGAATAATGAGCCATTAAGTAGCGAGAGCTCCGTTTCTCAGCGACAAGGGCGACCGCACGCCCGAAATAGAAGTGGGTTGGAGTGGCTTCCACCTAGTAGTTACGGGCTTCACGGCCACGGAGTTCATATGAACGATAAGTTTGAAAAGGCTTGGTACGACAAACACCCTGAGGAGCTTACCCGTGAAGAACAAACTCACTATGGCCCTGGGAATGGAAGCCCCCGACCTGAGTGGGCTATGTCTAGTGAAGATTTAAATAAGATAGTCAAGTTGTCCGCACAAAAAACTATTGGTAAGGCTGTCTCGCCTTGTGCGTATTTAGCCCGAGCTAACGATGTTAGACTCTTCTGCAGAGATTATATGCACACCAGAGGAGGAGATTGGCTATATAGCTACTGAAGAACTTGCTTCACGCTTTAAATTGCCGTCACGTGGATCACCATTGGGCAAAAATGTTGCCCAAGGTCTAGAACCGGCTCCTGAATCGCTACGGAAAAACTCTACCGCCCAAGAAGACGATCACGGCGAAGAGGAGGTCAAAATCCATATAGATGAACCAATCCACCACCAGCACCACCCGGATGGGTTTATGCCTGCATCAGACAACCATAAGCCACATGGCGGCGATTCATTGGAGGAAAATGGGGAAGAATCACCGATACTTGCTGAAGATGAAGTCGATGAACGTGCTGAACATTTGCAACCAGCAGTCTCCCCAACTCAAGTTTCTCATATTATAAATTCACCCGAGCGCAAGACCCATACTCGGTCTCCTAGTGTTGGTAGCAACCGAGTACCGATCAAACCGCTTGCTAGCCCAACCTTGTCGTCATATAACTCACGGACGGGAGAAGGTGAAGATATGAGACAACCCCTGGAGGATGTCGAAGAGTATGAGCCACTCTTCCCCGACGATGGTAAGAACAAGAAGCCTTTACCGGCGGAGGAGCAACTCAAGAAAGAGCCGGAGTATCACCGACATAAATTTCCGAGCCAGGACATATGGGAAGATGCTCCAGATAGCTTACAATTGCAAACAACGGTCTCGATGGCAGAAAGCCCGAAAGATGAGAATAAATCCCCCGTCGAAATTCCCGAGGAAGAAATGGCAAAGCTTCGGCAGGGCATACAAAGGAAGCCAAGTTCAGCGTCAACAGGATCTTCAGGCCCGTCAGATGATGTGCCAGCAAGAGCTGGTGTTAAACAGCGCTTCCCAAGCAAAGACATCTGGGAGGAAGCGCCGGAAAGCCAACAACTGGAAGCCACTGTGCAGATTGCAGAACAGCAAAACGAAGCGATTCCAGCAGAAAATGCGGAGAAAGCGTCGCCTCCAGGAATCCCCGTTCGTCCATCCAAGAGACCGCAACGGATTTCGCCGGAGCGTCAATCTCCACCCGTCCAAGCGGAATCTACTCTGCCGCCAACCGATGCCAAGAAGCCCCCCGCCATTCCCGAGCGTCCTAAGCCTCAGATTCCGCCAAGACCCCCCAGACCCCTTCAACGAACTTCGGGGGATAGCTCGTCCAAAGTAAAGTCGAGCACGTCTAACGACACGGCCTCTCCGCCTATCGTGAAACCCAAACCACCGATTCCATCGCGTCCTCTTGGGTCTAAAATTGCAGCGTTAAAGGCTGGGTTTCTATCGGATTTGGATAATCGTCTGAAGCTTGGACCGCAGGCACCCAAACCACAGGAGAAGAATGAAGAGGAGAAACCGCAGGCCCCGAAGGGACCGTTGAGCGATGCGCGTAAGGGCAGGGCAAGGGGTCCTGCGAGAAGAAAGCCTGCGGTTTCTTCTCCCCCAGAGGATACGACGAAGGTCGAAGCGACCCGAGCTCCCCAAATGACACTGGTCGAGCCATGGAGCCTTTGGTCTATGCGACCCGACGGGGCGTTAATGTTGTGTCAAGAGAACGAAAAGCCAGAGAGTATTTCCAAGACAGGACCGTCTCCAGATCGGTCCAAGGAAGCTTTACCGCCGGAGCAACTGAAGGTCGAAGAGTCAGTTATCTTGAGGAGCCCTGAACCAGAATCCCAGATAACAGAGAACCAAAAGTTGGTGGAAGAACAAAAATCGCCAACATCAATGGATAATCCCGAGCCCGACCTTTCTGTGCAAGAGCACATCGAATTTCAATCACCTTTGCATCCCACTTCAGAACAGACGTCCCCGGAAACTAGCACGGGGCCTCCTTTTGAGCCGTCTTCAATTGATCCAGCTTCAGAGACGGACCTAAGAACCGTGCCACCAGAGAAAGAAGAGACGTCAAGAATGATTGATACCAAGAAAGACATGACCCAAGCACAACCGCAAGAGAAAGATATTGAGCCTGTCGCTGATCTCACCCCAGAAGTGATCTTGAAGGACCCGACGAAGGAATAGTTTCAGTCTTTCCACCTTAGTGTATTTTGTACTGAGTTTTCTGGCTCTTGATCCTTATGCTCCTTCCCATAGGTGACAGTTTTGCATTATTGCATAAGTATATAGACGTTCTATTCCTCCGTGTTGGTTGGCAATGCACGGCCATACGTGTGATAATACTGTATATCTAACATCCATGGCCTGATATATGCATAGGACGGGTTGGGTCGGATTCGGACACCAGACGTTTTGACATAGGTATGGACCAACCGGTATCAGCACGACCATATATCCGGAGCGACTGTTTCCCAAGTGAACCTTTTTCTTCAAAAAAGCCAATGATTCGAATAATAATTGTTTTCTTTTAGTTTCCTTTCCATTCCAAACCATAATGACCTCATGCAACCTTTAGCCATGGGATTGAATATCTGAACATCGCTAAGAGGAGAACAGAATCCTTGTCTAGTCGGCTAGGGGCTTAAATGACAAAATCGAACGGACCCACGATCCCCAGCGCCATCAAAGTATGCAAACGCCCAACGGTACTGTAACCAATATACCCCATTCACAATATGAATGAAAAAGGTAAGGAAAGGTATTAAAATCGGTATACCCGTATAATAGAACAATAAATAGGACATGGGCCAGAAATGGGAAAGAGACAGTGCCACAAGCCGAGAAGAGAGGTCAAAATGCGAAGGTAAAGGAATGACCCAATGTGCAGTTATCCTAGATGCTAAAAGAACTCTAGGACTAAAACGGGGAAATGCTCTCTCCTGACGCTTCTCTTGTTCTCATAGAGCCAATGGACAAGGCAGAATGAAAACATGAGCAATAGAATACTCGAGAACGTGAGAATTCCAAAAGAATATGCTTGACTGGCAAAACAAGAAGCTTCGTACGTGCTTAAATGCTTGGTTAATGGTGATCGCCTTTGGTGGACCTCTAAAAACGCCTTGCAGAATTCAAAAATGGTGTAAACGTGTGTGAATATTTTGATGCGAGGAGCAGCTTTCGATGCCATTTACAAGCACCTTATTTCCTAAAGCTGTCGACGCTTAACATCGGAATTTCAACTAAGTTATCACAGGGAACACCCTCGTCTTTTCGTCTCTGGAAGAAGCAATCGCACTCAGAGACGACTAATCCCCATTCTGCCAACGCTCGGCCAGCATATTTGCTTGCAACAAAACAGCAGTTACCAGTATGCTGGGGGTTGGATGATGATGAGATCTCTTTGGCGATGGGACACGCTGAGACGGCCCAGGGAGAGGCATTAAGAGCCATAGCGTTCGAGGATTCTTCCATGCAATCAGTATCAGATTCGAGAACAGAGCTGGTCTCAGAAACTGAATTAGAGACGGATCCCGGTCCGGACCCTGAACCTGATCCAGAGTCCGAACCGCCAACAGCAGTTTTGCGAGTTGCTTGAAGGTAGATTTGAGTCTGGGTAGGTAAGGATGGCGGAAAAAGCCTTCTGTTTCTCGGGAGGCACCGTTGACGATCCACCCACTCAAGACAGAATCGGAATGTATATGCTCTATATGGTTTCGAAGTCTCTTCCAAGTCAGATCCATTTGATTCGGCATGCCTCGGATCCGCTGACGAAGCGTTGAATTCAGACTTCGATCCACCCAGATCATCGGACTCATCACAACTACTGCCGGGTGGAGTTACTTCACCGGGCTTTGGGTTGGAGCTATTCCCGAATATCGACCTTAGCATCTTCCATCGTTTCTTTGCTGGTGGCTGCGACTGTGCTGGTGTAGTGGTAGCAGTAGTATTACTATCCTGGATAGGATTTTGTTCACTGGAAGCGTTCACGCGGTCTGTTGCCGAAGGAACATCATCCAAGAACACGAAAAGGCTAGTTGGCGGCGGAGCAGCATCGTCTCTTATTATAATTATTCGGCGTCCAGGGGCCGGGCTGCAGGGAACTGATGACAAGGGAGCCGTAAGCTGCTTTTCCGCTCTAGATTGGTAGGCAAGAAAGTAATTCCAGACATCTCCTAATCGGCTAGACAAATCGCTGTAGATTCGCCTACGAGGTTTTAGTACTCAGCGTCAGAACACACCGTAGTGCTGATGGGACATACCTATCTAGAGACGAAGGTTGATCGCTCAATCGCGCCAGCCTCCAGCATAGCAAACGGTGGAAATAAGCACGGACCATGGGGCTCCAATGGCTGAAATAGTGATGGAAGACTTGATGCTGTAATAATAAGCCTGAGCATAGCTGCTCTTTCCTTCGCTCGTCCCGGTTGATGGCTTCCCAAGCAGCAAATATAAAAGCAAAAGCCCGCACTTCTGTGACGATGTGCTTGCTCTTCATCATTTGCTTGCAAACCTCAAGCCAAAAATCCCAGTCCAAGATATCAGGTTGACCAGTCGATTGACAATAGGGAGGAATGATAGGCACAAGCTCTTCAACGAAGTCACAGAGAACAAAACATGGACCATGGTCAAAAAGGGAGGTTTTTCGAGCGGCCAACTTGAGGATCGAACAAAACGCCTCAAGGAAGAACTGTTTGGTATCCGCCGGGACTGAGTTATCGAGCAGAATATTCTTCAGTATCAATATGAGCCTATTTTCCGACATAATTCGCAGCGAATTAGTAGCTCCTAAAGGGAATCCTGTGGCCGTGGCTTCTGCCCCATCAATGAAATCTTCAAATGTAGTGGACGTAGCCCCATGGGCATTTTCTGGCATCTGTGGGTTCGACTGTTTGCTGAGTGTACTCTCTAAGACCGCGAGCATCTGAGCATGCACCAATACTAACCCAGGAACGTAAACACGCCTTGATAAATCCGTTCCTGCTGGCAAGAATTCCGCAGCAAGAATATGAAAGTGTTTCACGAAAACGAAAAACAGGTCCGTATCCCGTCCGCACCAGCGAGAAACCCACGGTCCAAACCAATTGATATTCGAAGCGGCCAAGGGAATGGAGACGTTACGCCGCAAGTTACGGACAAGAGCCGCATACGAGGTAAAACTTAGGGATCTTACAGCTGCCGGAAAGCAAGATACAATATACTCAGATATTGCGCTTCTGGTTGCAGGATTGCCTTCTGTTTTGAACTGGCTTGTCACCCTTTTGAGCAAATCGGGACCGGCATTCCACAGTCGTACGAGTAAATCGCACACGTCACGACAGAAAAAGAAGCCGTATGCACATGATTTTCCGGCAAAAGAAACCAGGCTTGCAGGGGTGTGCCTTGTGGACATCTTGTCAACGCAATAAGCCAGCTGTGAGAGCAGGTTTTGGGATAGAATGTTACGAATGTTATGATGGATTGACTCCACCAGAAAATCGGAACCAGTAGACTCGAGAGATGTGGTTGATTTCTGCGTGAGATCTGATTTTTGAGTTGGAGTTGCACCCGGAGAATTAGGGGAGGTTGGAATCCGCCATTCCGGTCTCATCATAATGGCTGTAATTGCTTCAAGATAGACCGGCCGGTCTACTCCCGTGATAGAATGGCTAGTCCTGCCACTGAGCGTTTCCAGCAGCCCAGTCCACCATTTATTTAAAATATTCACGCGGCGATCCAGGTCTTCGGGCCGCAGGCAGCTGTTGGACGGGTGTTTAGCATATCGTGCAAGACATGGAAGAAGGGACGAGCGGATCACGTTCACTTTGAGAGAGCTCGATTTTGATTGGTATCTTGGAGATGTTAGCCCAGGGGTTGTTGACGAAAGCCAGCTAGGTACATACTTTTGAAAATCCGCATCGAGACCTCTGAAAACATTCCATAGCTCATCCTTTTTCCGTGGCTGTTCCGGTTTTATTTTAGTCGCATTCGATGGAGGGTTTTGCGGAATTGGAGGGATATCCGTTTTGGACAAGCCGACAGATGCTGCCAACCTTTCTAAGGATGATTTTCGGCGTAACGACTGAAGGGACGGGGTCCTGGTGATAACTGGCGAGGCGTCACTCTGCTCTTTCGCTACAACCGTGCTAAGTGGCCGTCGATTCCGCTTTGTTAGGACACTGGGGGCCCTGGCTAGGTCGGTGCCTGGATATTTTCCACCTTCTTTGGTTGGTTCCGCAGGCGTGCCATCCTGCGCTGGCGGGTCAGATTCAAATGAAGTTCGTCCATTTGCGCGCCCCGGACGCTGTTTATCGTCTCTGTTTGTCTGAGATGGTGACGGCGACCTTGAGGATTTCCATGTTCTGCGAGTTAGACTTGCGAGAGCGCCCGTTACAGCCTTCGTCTTGCGTGGACGTTCAGGAGTTCTAGCACCTTTTTCGCTAGTAGAATTAATCCCGGTCTCGTCATCGACCCCCAGTGTAAATACAGGGTCTTTCTTGCGTTTAGAGCGGAGAGAGGATTGACGTAATACCTCTTTTCCGGATACAAAATCACCAGTGTGTTGGGAGGCAATCTGCTGGTCCGCGGAGTGTGTCAAATTCACTTCCGAAAGTGTCTTTCTTATGGAGTTGCTCTCTCCGCCTGGGTTCAGTTCTGGAACGCAATTATAGCTCGCTGAGCGTGTCAGCTGAGATGAACTACCACCATGTTCTCCACCATTTCTGAAAGAAGGCATCGTCGAACGACGATTGTGTAGACGGAAGAGGGGGAATTCAAAATCGTCAAAGCCTGGGCTTTGGAGAGACCCGCTCTCCAACAGTATGGCAGTGGACAGTCCACGTTCACACCATCGAGTTTGCTCTGTATTATGGAATCGGCGACGGTTTGGGATCTCCGAGTGAACCGCTCCTGTAGTGGAAGATGAAAAAAATGGTAGATCGAGCACAGGGCAGTTGAAAGAAAGTAAGATCGCGAACCAACGGGTGTTCTCAGCTATTAGATAACGAGTGATGACGGCCGTGTTCTAAGGGCAGGGTTAGTTATACACACTTTCAGGAAGGCCCACCGATCGATTCCTAGTCGTTACCGGGAAAAAGGAGATGGAGACTCTGGTCACTTCTCCTCGATCTGGGATCGTTTCATAGAAAACTTCAAGGACAAGCTTGGCGGGGAAATAAAAAGGACTGCAAGGGTGAGATTTAGAGGCGGGAAGCTGAGACGCAGGCTAGGGGCATAAAGCAACCCAGGACGCAACAAAGAGAAAGGTGTCGAGAGACCCAGCAACGATTACCACGAGTCCACGGAGGACTCCGGAGTGCTAGTTAACTAATTTCTATTGGGCCATATGTTGATAGGGAAAAAAAGGAAAATAAAAGCCTCCGAGAGTAACGAAAGAGAAGCCCAGCTGTCCAAACCTGTGATCATGGGAATGATGATGTCGAACCAGGAAGGCGGCCTATATTTAGACGTCAGAAGATCTTAATATTCACTCACCCAACTCTCGAACTTCAAGAAACCCGCCATTGAGCCTCACCAACTAGTGAGTCGCAGCAACGGACGCCACTCTGTTAGCTCGAGGAGATTAAGTTACGGGCTTGCCAATTGACTTCTTCGGGGCTTTTGATTTGATGAAAAGCCCACATTGGTGGATTTTGTCCAATGCTCGTATCTGCGCTGGGTGGAGAGCCATGTCATCATCATGGACAACAGCATCACAGCACTGACAACTCTGAAGCAGGAAGCAGTTCCTGATCTAACGATGGCCTCCGTTCATATTGTTCTTTTCACTCAACTCACTCTACACTCGCCCGCCCTGGGTTGCTTGGTGGCAGGAAGATCGTGACAATCGGGCGATTTCACAACCTTGCGGCCTTTCGCCAAGCGACGATATTACGGGGCTAAATGCAAGCCAAGTCTCCGTCCGAGAGCCTGATCTTCAGCCACATATCGGGGCTGAACGATTTTTTTATTTCAAATCAGAAGCAGGGCGGGTGTATCCTCCCGCCCAAAGGCGCGGACGGTTCCCAGAAGCGACCAATATGCCAATACCATGCAAGCCCGCCCCAAGGGCCTGTTTGCGGTTTTTGAGCCAGACAGCCCAATAAAAATTCCACGCGGGCCACTGGCCAATGAGAAGCGAGGAGCGATCTTATGTCGACGGTCCCGTTGCTGATCTTTGGAACTCGGTGAGACGGGAAAAAACACTTAGAGAATTGGTTTGAGGCACGCTACGGGGTACGGAGTGCGAGAATTTACCTGAAAGGACGGAGTACGGCAGCCATGATAACCTTCCGGAAGAGCCGTTTAATCCTCACCGAAAAAAGTTCATGCGCCCGCAAAAGCGTGGACATCTGTCCGAGTATTGAGGCGGTGCACCCCTACACGCACGAAAGGCCGACAGCAATGTATATTGCTCCATCCTGTCGAAATAATCCTATAACTCTACGGAGTAGCCGCTTGGTCAATCAAACTGTTGTCATTCGAGAGTTCCAAGGCTTGCAGGTCTTCTAGCCTCTGCGATTTAACATAAGGGCCGCGGGCACCTCTTTTTTTGAGGCTAATATCCAGGCATAGGTCCCTCCTCGGAAGGCCGACTCTGCGGAAAGTTGAAGGACACAAACATCGGCCCTCGAAGAAAATTTACTCGCAGGATTTGCAGCATAGAAAACCAAGAAAGGATTGTATCAACGAGTAAAACTGGAATGTATGCGTAGGGAGGCTGTAACTGTACAATTCTGGGATGCGTATTCCATTGTCTATCACCATCCTCCCTTTATTTTTACACAAGTATGTTTAGTGGGCGGGAGATGCTTCCTCTTCGGGCAGCTCGAACCAGTCCTCCTCAACGGCGGCCTCTCCAGGGGCAGCCTGACCCTCCACTTCGACTTCTTGGGTCTCATATGCCTTCAACTCCGCAGCAATGTTTGCCTCCTCTGGAGATGGAGGGGGTGTGGGCATGACGAATTTCTGCACGTAAGCATCAGCGTCGGATGGCTTCAACGGTGCGGGCTTATAGGCGCGGAGTTCGCGAAGATAAAGGTCCTGAACGGGATCGGCTGGGGAAGAGTACGAGTCAGCATCCGAGGGCGAAAGAGGAGTCTGTCTAACTCTTCTACCTTGTCTAGCGGACGAAGTAGCAAAGGTTCGAACGGCAACGGAGCTCTGTTGCCGAGCCACTCGGGTCAAGAGTGACCGCTACGTAGGGTCAGCATGGGTTCAATTGACACAAAGCGGGAATCAAAATGATGCTTACGGATGCCCGAAGTGATTGAAACAACATTGCAACTGCGATGGGATGATGAACGGACGATATGAGGGTCCAGAGGGGGGATTCAATTGCAGGTTCGACGTCAAACTGCAATATCGACTGGTTGGCGGGTTTGTGAGCGACCTCCAGGCTTGGCGTTTAGATTAGTCATTCGTGGTTATTAGTCATCCACTGCGAGGCTGCCGTCAAAAAGGCTCGCGCTCCCAGCTGAACAGCATTTCATCCTCCATCCAGCTCCAGGCTCCCTTCAGCGTCTCCAACACATCGGCTCTGAAGCTTCTAATCCAGGAATAACACCCTCAAGGAAGGTATTCTCACGGAGTAACCTGCTGAGACGCGTTCAGACGTTCGCATAGCCAAGTCGCAGGGCTTCTTCAGTCACTACTGATATTTGCCACTCTTGCGCGAGCGAGCTAGAAGGATTTCAACGCAGACTGAGAAGTCGGCTTGCGCCTTCACCTTTGCAGCGTTGGTTATCGCGCAAGGGAGCCCAAATTGTCATTCTTTTCGACATTTGGGGCGGAACGGTTGTCCTCACAAAGGTAAAGCTGTGATAGCCTTTGGGTTTATGAACACTTGAGCGCATCTACTTGTACAATCCCAAAGTGACTCTCTTATCTACCACCTGTAACTAATGGATACCACTTTAAAAGAGTTATATGATAATGTTTGCTTGACACTTGAGCTAACATGATTTCTAAAGACAGTGGCCACGGACTCCTGTGCTCTACCCCAGGCTTAACCGCGTGCCACTACCACACCTTTTTCATCCTCTTTGCGTCTTTGGACCCCGGGCATCATTGAAAACAAACCGGCAAGGTGTATTCGCCGTTGTTTATTCGCGCTTGCGCATCCCAACATAACCTTAGAGTCTCCTATAAATCAATCAAGAAGCGCCATACTGAGCGTCTGAGAACAAAAGAAAAGGTAAAGAAGATGGCGACTTTTGGGCCTGGAGTTCGCACCGAGGCTGCGCCGAATTTGTGGAAGGAGAATCTTGCAGCACGCTTAATCTGCCCAGAATGCAAGGAGAATCCCCCTAATCTGCGGACACCTGACTCTCATGAGACGATATGCGGCTCCTGCGGCCTGGTTCTTGCGGATCGAGAAATTGATCAGCATTCAGAGTGGCGCACGTTTTCAAACGACGATCAAAATAACGATGACCCATCTCGTGTCGGAGATGCTGCCAACCCGCTTTTAAATGGCAACCAGCTCGAGACCCAAATTTCATATGGGCAAGGCGGCGCTAAGACACGCGAGCTGCATCGTGCTCAGAATAAAATGTCAAGTGAGAAGACTAACAGAGCGTTGCTGGCGGCATACAAGGAGATTGGAGCACTATGTGACGGTTTCAATATTCAGAAGAACGTTGCCGACACTGCCAAATACCTCTTCAAAGTTGTAGATGATGCAAAAGCATTTAAAGGCAAATCTCAAGATGTTATTATTGCCGGATGTATTTTTATCGCCTGTCGTCAGTGCAAGGTTCCGCGAACCTTTACGGAGATTTTCGCTTTGACACGGGTGTCAAAGAAGGAGATCGGGAGGATCTACAAAGCTCTGGAAAAATTCTTCACTGCGCAGAACTTGGAGAGGATCAACTCTGTAGTTTCGAGTGGAGGTAAGAGTCTCTTGGTCTCTATCCCCGCTATTGTACACCCTGTGACTAATATCTATCATCAACAGGGGTCCCAGATCCCAACGAAACCTATACCGCAACTACTTCTACCAAGCCAAGTGATCTCTGCAACCGTTTCTGCAACTTGCTTGATCTGCCTTTCCAAGTCACGAACGTGTCATCTGCGCTTGCTGACCGAGTTACCTCTATGGGCGACCTCGCAGGTCGCTCACCTTTGTCAATCGTCGCTGCGTCAATATATATGGCATCCTTTTTGATGGGCCAAGGCAAATCAGCGAAAGAAATTTCCGCCGTTGCCCACGTTAGTGATGGCACAATACGTGGTGCATACAAGCAGCTCTATGCTGAAAGGGAGCGGCTAATAGATCCTGCTTGGATCAAGGATGGCAAAGGTGATATGAAAAATCTTCCGCCCACTTAGACCACGAGCGGAAAACGACCGTCCATCGGCGAATACTCGTGGAATTTTGAAATATACATTTCACGAATTCGCCGTTGGTTTCTTCGTGGTGTCTTGTCGCTTTTGGCATTGCTGTCGGCCGCCATGGCCCCGGGGATCCGCCCTTCAGCATCAGTTCACACCGCCAATGAGCTGAAAATAATTTTGAATATCTGAAGTGTGGGTGTTGAAAACACACATGTGGGGAAAAAAACTCCCAATGAAATTGAGAACCGAGCTATTGAATTCTAACTTTTGATACCGACTGCTTGTAATAAAAGAAAAGGAGCGGTGTCCGAGAGTTGGTCGAAGAAACGTTTTTGCCATGATTCCTATTTGAAATGAATCGACAACTCTTACTTTGCGATTTTGTTTGCCTTGTATAACATGTGTTAGGATGTATCTATAGAACAGCGGGCTCGGATTTGCCAAGTTATAGCAGGGTTTTAACCACTAGAAGAATGATATCACAAAATTACAATATGAATGCCTCGGCTCAGCCAAAGAAAACAGATATCTAGGAATACAAGTACCATACCAGTACATGTGGAACATGTACGGAGCGAAAGCTGCTAAACCAATAATGCCAGCCAAAACCACCAACAGCCCTTTAAAAAAGCAATAAAATGGCAAAGGACAACTTGCATGCCAGTCTATATGCGTAGAAAATGCATGGCAACTGCCCAGAGGCTCACATTAAACTGGGAAACATATCAGAACAACAAAAGTCAGTATTTGCATACAACCATACACTGGGGGTGGGCGTTTCGGGTATAAGTAAATCTAGACAAATTGGCCAGTTGTCTAAAAGGCCAAAATATACCTACAAAAGAGGCAATCAAAGAGTGCCTAGTAGAAGGATAATTTCACACATCAGGAAGACCTCTGAGATATGCAATAGGGGAAAGCCCTGTTATTCCCAAAGTTCGCAGAAGGAGAGGGAGGAAGGAGTGAAATTAAATTCAGTTATTCAATTTGATACTTGCTTTAGTGAGGATTTTCGAAACTTTATTGATCCAATGTTGCGTTTCGGTCCAGTTTCTCGAGTCGATGGCGTCCCTGATGGCTGGAAAGAATGCCTCGTCATAGCCTGACCACTTTTGCGGGCCAAAAATGATATGTTTGAATTGAGTGCGGTTGGGAACCTAAAAATAATGTAAGTATGGATCGAATATAACAACACGTGAACTCTTCGGAAATGTAGAAGCAGCTGTGGTTCTACTTACACCACCACCTTCCTCCAAGTCAAGCAGATTCGTTTCAAAGTCTCCCATATGACCATTATGGCTCAATCTTCGGATGCCAAAGATTTTATTTTCGAAACCATTGTTGGCATATAGCGTCTCATTCCACACACGTTCCCAATTATGAAAAATGCGGGCGTTCGTACGGAATACTTCAGCCGCATCATACAAAGGTTTGAAGTCAATATGTGTCCTCGAATCGTCCACACGCGCAAGTTTGGATGGCGTCAACGGAGCCGAGTTCTTTTTAGCGTAGTCTTGCAGGTTAGATACGTACTGAACAACAGCAGCAGCGTATGCTTCGAGATCAAATGGAAGAATGGGCCGATCGGACACTTCTAAGAGAAGCAAACCCCATATCTGTCCAAGGGCTTTATGGTATCTAAAGCCAGCATCACCAATGGTAGACATCCAGTCGAAGTTATCATAACAACTATGATATGGGTATGGGTCTCCTTCAAAGCCGAAATCAATGCTAGATGTGCCGGCAATGTCTTGAAAGGCAACGTAATCACTTCCAGCGCCTAATCCCTGAAGTTTAGAGCCCTTTTTGTCCCAAATACTCTGTAGGGTTTCGCCAGTTTTGGGATCGGATACCCGGCTCAAGACCCGTCGAAGTGAACGCTCAAATAGAGGAGAGGCAGAAGCCCTAAAGTCCTCACCCGATACAGCCACATCGACGTTGATGTAGGCAAAACCATCGAAACGCAGATCCTCAACCCTATTCTCGACATATTCGGTAGAGCCTATGAGGTTATATTCTTCGCCATCCCAACTTGCAAACTCGATAGTGCGCAATGGCCTCCACCCAAGAGCTCGAAGCTCCCCGAAAATCCGCACAATTTCCAGTAGGATAGCAGAGCTGCTACCTGGATCTGCAGCACCGAAACACCATGCATCCCGATGGCTTCCTACAACGATTTTTTTCTCTGGCTGTTCGACGCCAGTCATCCTTCCAAGCACATTGTAGATTGGCTGTCGTTCTATTTCGTCTTGAATGTTCATTAGATTGACCTTGGGGGAAGAGTCATCCCCCGACCACCATTCATCGACATTTGGCACACCACCGACCCATTCTTTTGGTACCCGTTTACCATGACCTTGGATAGCTTGTAACAGATGCTGCGCATCCCTCCATGCGATAGGCAAGCTGGGGATCTTTGGGAGACCAGGGCTTTCTTCGACTGGCAATCTCTTTTTCTCATCAGGGCGAGAAGCGAAACCTGGGCTCAGTACGTCTCCAACAACCCACGACATCAGGCTGACGCCTCCGCGCTGCACGCCATCACTTGGCATATATCTTCCTTTTGGCCAAGCTGGGCCCTTGACAAATCCGTCTTCTGCTGGATCAGAATAGATTATACACCCAGCCGCGCCAGCTAATTCAGCAGCTTTGATTTTCAGTGCTCTATCACCCTGTGAGCCATAGTACTTCACCAAAACTATTGAATCCATAACCTTCACCCCCATATCGGCCAACGCTTGGAAATCTTCTCTGGAACCATAGTTGGCATATACGAGAGGGCCAGTGACGTTTCCAGATTTTGAATGTCCATGGAAAACCAATGTCTGCTCCCTCGATCTCCTGTACACCTTTTCCTCATCGATCTTAGCTTCCCATTTCTTGTCTGCTGGCTCCACAATTGCTATCCTCCTGCCGTGTTTGGTAGGATAATTCAGATAAACATCAAACCGTTCCATTTCAACATTCTCGAGCCCCGCTGCTCGAAACCTTGCCTGCACCCATTCTGCCAAGGCATAGTTTCCTTCGGTGCCCGCAATATGGGGGAACTGTGTCAGGTATTCAAGGTTTTCAGCGATCGCCGTTTCATTCACCTGGTTCTGGACGAAATTTCGGACTGACTCGGGCTCATATAACCGGCCAAAATTTAGACCTCCTCCAAAGTTAAAAATATCGGAGACCACGATGAAATAGATGATCGAGACGACTATGAGGACCGCGACAAGTCGAAGGACAAGGATGCATTTTTGAGCGTCGCGGTTGCCAAACCCAGAATGTAGGAAGTTCAATCGAAAGGAGAACGTTGGGATGTATTTCCGCAGCGGGAAGTTTATGGAGGATAATGTTCTTCTGAGGTTGGCGAATCGTTTGGAAAAGGCAGAGCGGCTAGATCGTTGACCCGAAGGGTCCTCCACATCCATGTGCTCTAGCTCCCTTCGAAGGTTCTCAGTAGAGGCTCGAACTGATCCTCCATTAGAGAACGCTAAAAAGTCCACGCTCGATCGGGCGGATTCGACCGTGGGAGGGTGGTATCCTCGAGGATATCTCGAACTTCCCACTTCGGGAGCATGGCTGAGAAGTTGTTGCCTCTCGGCGTCATCGCTCACTTCTGAGGGGCCAAGAAGGGATTGTGATGATGAAGGACGTGCAGACGTAGCTTCTTCGTAGGTAGGGATCGGAAGGGATTCGTATAATACTTTATGGTCGCCCATTTTATAGAGTGAAGCCCCTTAGGTCCCCAGAAGTGTCGGGGGCGGACAGGCGGCTTTGAAGGACCGTGCTCATGTTCCATCAACGAGGGAAAGGAATTTCAATGATAGGCAACCCGGTATTTTAAGAATCTAAATCAGAACATGGCCGAATAAGTTGTCGATATCATCGTCTCCTTGTCGGCAACACCGTTTGAGCGGATTCCGCATCGCAATGCACGCTGATCGGCGGGCTTAGTAACAGGAGTATTTTACGCAATCGTGGGGAGGGTGTGGCGCTCTTGTTTTAGTAGAGTTTTAACCCTTTTAGGAAATATATCCCGAGAATTTATCCGAGAAATCGGGCCGATGATAATCCAGGATACCAAAACCCTCGAGCGGGTCTTCGCAACGTGGAGGGAGGAACAGGCGCGCAGAGCGAGCACAAGCAGCAGTCGGGCTCCGTGCATTGCATTAAGTCTGAAGTGCCATATGTTTCCAATACACTGACGGAGATCACTAGGCGACAATTCCACCCGCAATTGGACGAGGTGCGACTGCAGGAGCGGACGCTTGCGGGGAAGCAAATATCGCACGCACGCATGCCTGCTTGCTCGCTTGGTACCACACATCGAGCCACGCCGGATGTCCACATGTCACGCTGAAATGACTTTGCCTTGGATGGGATGAAATCCACAACCTCGTACTCCGTGCTCCCTGCTCTCTGCTCCGTTCTTCGGAATTCTGTTCTGCCTAGACTAGCTTTTTTTCCGCTCCGTACTGCGGCGGGAAGCTTACGTCTCGATCAAGCTTCATCCAAGCCAGCTTGTGTAATCCTAAGGCAGCGGAACTGTGGCTTGCGGAACAACTTTCCCGCAACCTTCTGTCAAAAATCGTTTCGAGAATTCATCATTCCCATTCGATTATTCTGTCGTCGTGATCTACATCGAAGTCTCAAGCAAAGAAGGAAAGACATCTGAAATGGCCGCGGAAGTTGGAATCGTAGCGGTGGAAGGTCACGTACAAAATAATAGGTGGTGCTCTTTTTCAGGAGGCAGTCTACAAGAGAAGAATAACAGGAAAGGGAGTATCGCTTGAAGCACAACCCGAAGACTTGATCATGGGTCTCATTGTAGCCATAATAGGTCGCCAATCTGGGATTTATCGTTACGCGGCGTCACGGCTGCTGAGCGAGCTCATCAAATGCTCCGCAAGGTATATTGAAATGAAGACTTTCCTGAGGCTGATTATAGCGACTTGAAGCTATGAAACCAAGTGAGCGTCGTGTACTAATTGTTTGGTGAAGGCGCATACCGTCGTAATCTGGGTCCACAAATATGGCTTCGTGCACGCGATAATTGTTGAGCTAAATAATAGCGGAAACACTCCTATTGAGCCGACGGATGTTACCCACAAGGCTCGCTGGTGTTTGCGGGCCGCGTGATGTGGTTTTCTCCAGAATAATTTGAGAGTGTCCGTTAGCTCATGAGTCGGCCTTGCGCATATAGCCCAAAGTCTGAAAAATTGGACATATATAACACTAAGACCAACTAGACTGATGACCATGAACAACGAGAGCATGATACTGCGATATCTCTGGGATTATCATTAGAGGCACATAGTAGATTTAGCGAGCGATTGAAGCGCACCGCTAGATACATAGACAACGGGTTCACAGCCGACTTGCATTAGTTGGTTTGGACCGGGCAAGCAGAGCTGACGAGGAACGCTACCAAAGCCGGGGGAAGATATCCTCAAGCGCCTGATGGATCGAGAGAGGATAAGAAATTCCCTCAGAAAGTAAGTTTTACGGCCTGGCGGAAGCATAGGATAACGGACCTACCAAGCTAGGGACTGTTTTTAACCACATTTCCAGCGAGGATGAATCAAAAGTATATATCTGTCCAGTTTTCCGGATTCGGATTGCCACAGCCACCTCGGGTTTGCATCCCAAGCTGAATTCAGCTGCTTTCGTCTAAAGAACGCTCTTCCATCTCTGGCGTTGTTGCGATTTTGCTCGACTGCTGTCCGGGTGACGCCTTTTACCCTGCAGGATCCCTTAAACACTTCGCGATTGTCGCAACTGTGGGAGGCCCGGAACTGGAGATTGAGAGTGCTTAAGTAGTTTTGTCTCGGGTTATTACAGTAATGTATCAGGCGACTACATATAAATCGTGGAGCCTTTGTTTGTTCGCTGATAACGTCTTACTTCAGCGAGCTTCAGCGCGAGAGGTTGTCATTTGTGGCTACATAAACTATAAAAGGTGTTGCGGTTGCTCGCGGACCGCCGCATCCAAGTTGACATTGAGGATAATGCAAAGGAAAGTCCTCTCATGGTCGCTAGACGTTGGGGTCATGCCGAAGTTGCGCTTCGGCTTCAGCTTCACATGGGCTTGTAATTCGAGTTCAGCCAACTTGCCTTGCGGGATTATTCTAGCGACTGTGTCTAGTGATAACATCTAATAGCATCTTCCGCGCGTGCAATCCCGGTGTACCCCAGCACAGTCTCATGGTAAACTCAACCCTTCTCGTCTTGATGATTAGTCCGTCATCTCCGCAGAAATGGCGTTCGGCCACAAAATCGGTGTTCATCAGATCGTCCCATATCAGAATCTGTTCATCTGGAAAGTTGGTCCACTCTCGAATCTTGGCCGGGCAGAGTTTACGGCCGGCGTTCGCGGGATTGCCCTTCGTAGACGAGTCTTTGTCTCTCCGAATATCCAAACCGAGAAATAAATGCGAATGGCAAGCATCGAGGAATTCGGGAACTGTGGTGTTTTGAGTCTGGAGCCTCAGCTGTTCCTCGGCTTGCTTTCGTAGTCGCCGTTCCTCTCCTCGCAACTGTTGTTCTTCCTTCGTCGGTACTATTCTTCTTCTCGCAGTCGCTGTTATTCTTCTCGTAGTTGCTTTTCTTCCTCCAAGCGCCGGTGCAGCTCCTGTATCTCCTGGATCTCCCGTTGAGACATTCTGCCCGCCGTTAAATGAGTTGGCGGAATCAAGATGGCGGAAAGAGATGTTTTGGTGAGCCGCTGGGCGGAAATGCCCTAACCATAAAAGGCTAGACTTTGTTTTCACCGCTTGGGGCTTACCCATGCTTCTGCCACGAATCCATCTCTATCGCGGGCAATCCGAGTCGAGACGAATGCTACTCTCACGACCCAAGGCAGCGTGACTGACCCGGTCAACCGGCTTTTCCCTAGCGGACTGTTCCCCTCCTCGGCTTGATTTCCCTCAGTTCCAGGAGTTAAGTCTGGAAGAAATTCAAGCATGCTCCTTCCGATAACCGGCTAGACTATGTCGCGACCGACCAATCTACTTTGCGAGATTTCGAACGAGATACAGTTGATAACTTTGTTGAAGAGATTATCGAAGCATTACAAGACAATGAAACTTTGCGACAGGAGTTTGTATTAAGAGCGCGAGTGGCATTTCATGACCAAACGAACTCAACTTCAGTGACGCGCCCCATCAACGACAAACACAGAACGCGGGATCACCAGATCAGTACAGTAAAGCCTCTATATAACGAATCAATTTGGGAAGCTTTTTTCAGTTCGTTATATAGAGGGATCCGTTATATAGAGCTAGCATACAAAATACGCTCTAATATCCTGCTGCTGCTGATTTTCAAGCCTCCGAGCCCCTAATCTTCTCTCATAACAATTTAACTGTTGAATTAGCTCTGTATCTCCCTTATCCTGCCGCTCTTCATACAAGCAAAGCTTTTTCACCATGTCATCAAGGCCTTGTTGGAGAGGGAAGGATTAAGAGCCTTGTGGGAGTGTAATTTCTTCTGCCCAATCAAAATTGTGGTTCGGCGGGGCATTTTGGTCTTTTTGGCCTTTTTATAACGATATATTAAAAAATCTTGGGAGATATTCAACGAATCTCGTAGTATACTCCGTACAGGTTAACGAATATTTTGTATGGAGATTTAATTTTGGAAGAGATTTTCGTCCGTTATGTACGGAGTACTCCGCAGAGAATTCGTTATGTAAAGTGATCGTTATATAGAGGCTTTACTGTACACACATTTTACCGTTTCCAGGTTAGCTAGATTCGTCCATCATCATCGCTGGCTTGAGGTCAACTACATAAGGCCCTCCCATATTCTGCACTCACTCAGTCGCACCATTTCAATCTCCCACCACTCTTGCTCCTCCCCTGATTTCTTGATACTACCCCCTTTCTCTCCTCGAAAGTCTCGGTTACGCCCTGTTCTCGTTCCTCTCACTTTTCATTTACCTTTCCCCAAGTTCGCTCGACTAGTGGAGCCGATTTTATCTCGCCTGTTTTTATCAAGTAATTCACGTTTCCTTTAATCGATAAAATGCACGAAACTATAGCCTGCCCTCCATAAGGTCGACACTAACTCAAACCTCGACAGGAAATGAAAATCCCACCCCAACGTCCCAGCTTCCTTTTTCGAACTTAGGTCTTAGACGTCTCCATGGACCGCCTTATGATTCCGTCGATCTTACGGCCAGATTATACCTGGCCATGGCGGATGCAGTCTGCAATCCAGCAGACCACCCCTCAAGTGCCAGCTGGACCCGGCAGATGCACCAGAATACTCTGGGGTATCGTTCACAAGTTCCTTTATTACTTCTCTCAATGGTACTGCTCTTGGTTCGGTCTTCTATTCGATGCAAATATTATTCAATTACCATTTGGGCTTGTTATGAAATGGACGGACCGGACGAGCGTCGAGGAGGCCGTTTCAATGCAAATGGCGAGATCTGCTGGAATGCCTGTACCCAAAGTCATCAGCTGTGGTGAACACCTAGATGCCCCTTTTAACCGAAGATTTTCTATCTTGATGACAAGGCTACCTGGTGTACCCCTTGAGAACTCGAACGATAGACTACAGATTGATGCCGAGGAGCCTTGGCTGGAAGAGTTGAAATCATGTATCACCTCTATGCGATCGTGGCGCTCTCCAGGGTCAGAGACGATTTGCTCTGCTATTGGAACCCGCCTACGGAGTTCACGTGTTCCTGGGCACATGATGGGTCCTTTTTCCAGCGTGGAGGCTTTTTACAACTATCTTTTCGCTCCGGCTTCAGCCCATGCATTCAAATCCGACACCGGATACCAAATGGCTCTGTCACGCGCAAAAAGATTACAGAGCCATAAACATAGGATAGTGTTCACTCATGGGGATTTCAAAGCGCACAACATTCTTGTCGATGACGATGGACATTTATCAGGGTTTCTCGACTGGGAATCTGCAGGCTGGTATCCCGAATACTGGGAATTTACTACGGCTATGCGCTTTGGGAAAGACAGCTGGTGGTTCCAAGTTGCCTCTTGGATGGGTGGAGCACAATATTTGGACGAGTTGGAATCCGATGTGGCTCTAAATCTATTAACAGTTGACTCTTATATAGCCCTTTAGTGACTGGGGCTTCTAGACATTAAGTTGGTAATGTGAAGGCTAAGAGGCATGCACACATTGGCTGAATGGATTCGGATAACGATTGCGAGTTATAAACAAGAGAGCAGAAAAAAAAAAAAAAAACAAATATCTGCAGCTCCTCTGCTAACGACGTGCGTTCCTCCCTAATTTACCTTCACAGACACAGGGTTGATCTTACTACAGGTCGTGGCTGGGTATTGTTCGCTGCTCCCGAACTGTATTGGTCTCCGAAAGCCATACATTCCTGCTGCAAACCTTCAATATTGCTGCAGCGTACTATCCCCTGTCGAATCAACTCTCGCAAGATGACCATTAGCCATACTCGGCAGGTTATACCGGGAATTGAATTGACGTCTCCATCGCGAGATCTCATAATCTGCTCGAGAGAACCGTGCTTTGCGTGTGGGACGTTTGCGATCTGGATAAGGACGCACAGGAAATTGGACTTGGAAAACGCCACCGGTTGGGCCATGATCTGGGATCCATCCTCCGCCCAGGTTTCTCATGTGATATTTCAACCCTCCCTGGGCGCTAGTGTGGAAGTAATATCCCCAGTGAAAGTCATTTGACTGGGGAGGGTCGGATCGTATGTAAAGAACGATGAAGAGTGTGTTTAGAGGCAATCGAGCGAGCGCGTCTTCCTGGGCCTTTTTGATAATCGAAGCGCGCTCTCTAGCAGTCACTGGTTTCTGAACGGCCTGCATATGTAATAATCGGGGAATTAGGGTGGATCAAAGAGGACTTAGAAGAAATTGATGATGGCTGCTATGATTGTATGAGGGATGGGAAGACTGAAGGCGAGATCCAAGTTTATATTAGTGTCTTGCTTAGTGCACATCCACTTCCTGCCCATGGACAACGACGTGGTCGCTGAACGGCCTTGGCGGCCCTTGGTGGCTGAGCCGCGAGGCTTTGCCCCGATTTGGGTTGTAAGAGGGAAAAATGATCCAGTTTAAAGCTAGCGTTTCGTCTGGAGGTTCTTATGCGGGGAATCCATCTGTGGAAGCAGATGTCCCACTCCACAGGATCAGCCAATCATGGCCTCCGCGCAAGAACACCCGTCCATAGTGCTTGCGGGCCAATAAATGTTGATTTACTTACCCCACAGTTCTGCGATGCTATTACCGCATCGAGGAGAGAAAGTCATCCAGTATCTCCCACAATGACCCGACATGTTAACCACGCCCAGCGAAGTTGGCCCCACAATAGATCCTGAAGTTGCCTAATTTCTTCTGACTACTTCTATTGTCCGAAATTAAGCGCATATTTGGATAGAAATAATCTCCAGGGGACACTACATGGTTACAGTGTCTGTGACGTAGACATCTGGTTAGGAAAGCTGACGTCCGTGGGGAGTCGGTGCCTAAGCCAAGAACCAGATCATGTGATCAACTGACGCGGTAAACAACCACGGGTACCACCACAACAGCTCAAGGGCCACAACCGTCGGAGTCACACACCATGACCAGTGAAAGGGAACACGTGCGACTTGCACAATCAATGATTCCAAACTCTCACAGCTTTGTCGCCAAAGGTTCGTCTTTTTTTGAAAAATGGGATCAATTACCCTCACCAGATGAAGTGCAGGCACGCGCTAAGGCGCAACATCTCGCCGGAGTGTATCCTGACCGAAGGAAAGTCCTTCCAATGGATGCTCCATATGTCAGACCGCCACCTGTCCTCTTCGAAGAGATGGGTCTCTTTGTTAAGTGGGGAAGCTCTGTTCAGATATCCGAAGCTCAGTGCCTCTATGCCGTACGTGAACTCCTCAAAGGGGATGTTCCTGTGCCCGAAGTGTATGGCTGGCGCACCGAGGGAAACGAGAAATACATTTACATGGAGTATGTGAATGGAACATCGCTTGAGCAAGTATGGTCAATCATGGGACCTGAGGACAAAGCCGGCATCTGTCGCGAACTCAGGACAATTTATCAGCGCCTACGACAGGTCGAACAGGACCCAGAGGACCCATTTGTAGGTGCGAATATCCCGCGTACCCTTTGGATAACTGATTGCCATCAGCTAATCTTTCTTTCGTAGGCAGCATTACGAAAGGACCGCTTTACGACAGGGCATTTCATGTGAACTATATGCATGAAGCAGGCCCTTTCGCTACAGTTCGCGACTTTCACGACTGGTTTACATTTCTTCACCGAAGACCGATGTCAGATCCGTACTCAGTTCCAGTGGAACCATTCCGCCATGACCTCCCGGACGACTGTGCAATCAAACTCACTCATGGCGATCTCCATCGCAGTAACATCATCGTCACACCCACACCCCCATACCGTATTCTGGCGGTTGTCGACTGGGAGCAATCTGGTTGGCTGCCTGAGTACTGGGAGTCTCGCAAGGCGCAATATACCGCTGACAGAGCTGAACCATGGTCCACCACCTACCTGCCCATGATTCTGGATCAATTTGCTAGTACTTGGGATCCATGGGACTACTACACAACGGCAATGGGATGTTGAGTCGTTACACACTGCTTGGATGTTCCTTGCGGCTTGTTGCTACTGATGGCTAGTCAGGGAGACTTTTATCCATCGTGAGAAAATCAAAAATCATTGATACCCGTCAGATCAGTTAATGATTTGTTACTTCATACAGTAGCCTTCCGGGTATGGAATAAGCAAGCCCCACCAAGTCCTTCTTTCAACAATTGTTATCAGCACCACTCAAAGAATCAAAGTAAAGCAGAGCCCGCAATGCGACACCCTGGTCACAGCAGTCTCGGAGCGCTTTGAACAACCGAGCCGGCGCCGCTAGCAACCAAGCCTTCGGCAATAAGTCTCTGGATATAGTCTCGCATCCAATTCTGGCAGTTGGGTGCCTATAACACTTATCAGTATGCATGGTTGTTCCAATGGTGACGCTGGCTTACCGATGGATCAAAAGGATTGGCGCTGCGTCCCGGAGGCAGCACAATTGTCGCAACTGACTCCAGTCGATCACGAGCAGTTGTGTCAGCGGACTGCTGTCCGGTGCCAACAGTATCTGTTATATACTGGGCATTGACTTGGGCAAGTGGAATGAGCTGGTGCTTCCGCTGAGTGAGACTAAAGTCGTAGTTCCGCTTGAATTCAAGGAAGAATCCCGTGGCGGTGGTTCCGGTCACATGGATAAGCTTTCCCACTTTGCCTGCATCACCAGTAGGGATGAAGACAGCATAGTGAGCTGGTCTGGCACCATTAGAGAATATCGCCAAGTGAATGGTGCGAGACATTGAGGGCAGCACAGGTGGAAAGTTTATAGAAATCAAAGACTGATAGATATTGGAAGAGTTGGATTGTTGGATGCCAATGGAGAGTACTAGCTGGCAAGGATCTCATTTATATGTCCTTCATAGCTATGGAAGACATGCAACTTTCAGAATTTAGATACCCGCAGTATTCCTGGCGCATAGTGGTGTTTCGTGTGAAGCCCCAATGGACGGTGGCTATTCGTCATCACGTATTTGAAGTCAAATGAGATGCCAACACCAGATGGTCTTTGATGAATGACCAATAACTTCTTGACCGCAACCGCACCAGCTGGAAGATCCAAATCCTGTGGGCGCTTATCTCCAACCCCTTTCACCTGGGTATGTAATAAAATATATACTGGCGCTTATTCTGAAGAGTCAATCTGATGATTGGATACGGGGAGGATTACCCATCATTCTTGAGTGCTCGCCGTAGTAGACCATCTTGCTTTGTAGATCTAGGCAGGATCTCGTGGGCGTTAAGCTCTCACCAGGTCCTTGTCTGTATAATGTGCTTTCGGAGATGGTTTCTAAATGTCCCTTATTTGGCACGCTAATGGCACTGAGAGTAATTCTCCAGACTGGATACTTATCACCAAGCAGTATACCGATCTTTAAGTATATTGTCATCCCGACTCAGAGGCACTTCCTGCAATCACCATTCCAACTGTGTTCATTAGTACATCTCCCAAGTAGGTGGATGAAAAGGAGTATTAGCTTGTCTTAAACCACCCTTACAAGTTTGCTAGTTGGTGTTATGAGCCGCAACACGTTGCTAATATTGATACTTATGTCGGTGTGGACGTTACGATTCATGATATGCGACGTGTGCGAAGTGACAAACATAGTTGGTCCGGAGGCTGAGATAGAAAGAATCATCAGCAAATGCTCCGAGAAGCCGGAAGATTCGTCCGAGAATAAGCTTGCTACCCTCCGACCGAGTCGAATTCTCATCCTCCCAACCTCTCCGTACAAGGTTTCATGTCTTCAGATGATAACGACACGCCCTTTCCGCAACTCCAGAGGTTTCGGTGAAACCAGGCAAATCCGTTGAACTGCTTGCTCCCCACATATCTCCATTCTCAGTTGTTGGCAGATCAGGCTAGGCCTGTGATTTGGCAGGGACAGGCGAGGAGGGGGTTACAAACGTTCCCCAACAAGCAGAGATAGGAAGTGAGAGCGAAGCGCTGTGAGCGAATCCTCTGGGATATGGAAGTGACCAGCGCACATTAGTACAGGCATCGTCATGACTGCCTCCCCTTGAGCTTGGTACTCCAATGTACCTGAATGGAGCCCTGGCTCCTTCCAGGGTATTGATCCGAAAATAACCTCGTTATATCAGACCAAGGTAGTCCCCGAGTATTCCTCAATTCTAGCAAAAGACTCTCCTCCTCTGGTAACCATGGCATCCCTTTCCTGGATTTTTCAAGGGAGCCGCTGTCATCCAGATTTCCTGCATTCCCTTGAGACGTGGCCCAGCGGACTTGTTTTCGGACTCCTGTATTGACTTTCCTCTTTGCAGGTGTGATGCTGGCGGTGATTTCAGGTCCAAATGTGCATTGTGGGAGTGAACCTTCAAATAACCAGGAGAGAAACTCTAAGCGCGCGTTTGTTGGCAACGACAAAAAGTGAATACGGAGGGCGTCGCAAGAATTCCTAGTTGGCGAAGATGTTGTTTCTTCAAGTCTTTGTCGCTTGTACGGTCGCCTTTTGCGTTCGTTTGACCCGGTTGATGGCTGCTTGCGCTGTCCAGCCCGGTTGACGTCACTACTGCGATGATGTTGCTGTGGGCCTTGAAGCGAGGATCCATTGCTTTGAGCATGACTACCTAGATATATCTCTCGATCGCGTTCACCACCATGACGATGGGTGCCTGGTCTATCCTCGTCGATCAGCCCAATCGGGAGGCGGTCATTGGTTGTTGACTGTCGAGCTACAGGGCTGGACGGCGGCACAAAAAGGGGGCTATAGGTACCCTCATGCTCTCCTGCGGGTGTTTGCACGGGAGTACGTGAAGACCTAGTTTGGGCGATCCCTGACCCAATGACTGCTCTAGAGATGCGCAAAACAACCAGCTCTCTTTGAGTAATCAAATAGCCGTATCTGGTGTTCCAGGTTTTCCCAGAGTAGTTGATGATCTGTGCAAAGGGCCAGAAGTAGTGCTCCTTTGTGCTGTCCCCCGTTGACTGCCATTTTGTCGAAAGTTTGGTATCTCCAGGACAGCGATTTACTTCTATTTCTTTGTTTGTGTGCATCTATCTTGCAGAGTAAAAGAAGCAATATGTAATATTATGGGTCAAGCTGAAGTTACTAGCTAAGACTCTATATACATGAATTTATTGCTTGAAGAAGAAAAGAGAATAGGCAAGCATGTGTACGGAGTACTCCGTACAATATACATAATGTTTGTGTGTGGTGCTAGGCCAAAAGAGGAATAGTGTGGAGGTCTTGCACAGCATGGCATCAAGGGCTCGGCCTGAGAGAAAAAAGGGGGTTCAACCCCCTACAAGTTTCATACTGTCTACTCCGTAGCAGAGCTCTTATTATGCTTTATATTGAATTCCTGTTCTTGTCTAGCATATTCAATCAGAATTTCTCAATAGCTTTGATATCTGCTTATATTTGGGTTGCATGGTTATGTATGCTTTGGGGCTGGAGGCCCACCCAAGGGGCAGTTTGGCTGCTTGCCATACTATTCTTGGTATTGGGTGATACCTAGGGCTCTGAGAGCAGATTGAGCCACTGTGTGAGCCAAATAGATCAGTGGTTGTGGAGATATTTCAAAAATTAAGTCCCAACAGCTGGAGGTTGTTTCAAGTTGGAGTTGTTATGCGCACGGCGGGTGAGTCAGCGGATGGGCCAGGGCGGCCGTTTTTGGTGTCATTTGGGGCCGAAAAAGGCAGCACCTGCCCAAATCGAAATACTTCAGAATTTCACGCGCGGGTCCGAAAGAGGAGCTCTCACGATTATCTGATCCCTGCCATCTTGCCCCAGGTGGGTTGAAACGCAAGGAAAAATTACCATGCCAAGCCCCAGAAAGTCCTCAAGTGGCTTGTGTGAGTAACGAAATTTCACGAGTTGTACGGGATTTTCGCCGGCTATTGGATGTTGCAAGCTCCGGGTGTTTCAACACGGTAACCAATTTACAGTAATATAATACCAGCCATTCGGAAGGTTAAAGTCAAGTGGAGTAATTCCTTATCAGATTGCTACCCGATCGCAGTGGGCTGCCGGAAGCGAAATCTAAAAACTCAGCAGGACAAAGGCGACAATGATATTTTTCTCAGATACATACGAAATCAAAGACACAAACTTTTGCTCTGTGCTGTTGGAGCCATTGGAGGATTGTCACTCTCCTCCTCAGCGAAGACTCAAAGCTGGCTCCCGTCAGCCAAAGAAAAGTTTCATCCCTGTAACGGCCAAGCGTTCTGTTGGCTTAGATTAGCGCAAACTCAAATTCAGTCACCGAGTGGATTGGTTGTACGGCCGCGAAATGTCCCAGGCGGCAGAATTTAAAAGAAAGGGTCAACCCCCAAACATCCATGATCATTTCCCTTCCTCAACGATAGCACCCTTGATTCTTAGTTCACGTTCATTCTTTCAAAGATACCATCCAAGTGCTCTCTCTGGTTTTAGAGCTCCAAATATACGTGGGTGGCACTGGTCCTGCTCTCATCCTACCCCTGGATCACTCCTGTCCGCGCGCTACTCCAATCTCCCCACCCAACACTGCTGAGAACTTTTGCTGACTTTGCTCTTGGGCTATGCGCTCTAGATACCTTGCCGAATTCTTGAAATACCTATTTCTCCCTTACATTTCTTTTAATCATAATACTTTTATCTTGGCCTGTTGAGCTTACGCCTGTGCGCCACCATGTCATCCCGTCCTCAGAATATTGGTATCAAGGCCCTTGAGGTCTATTTCCCCAGTCAGGTAAGGCGGAGAAGGGTGTTGTGGGTGCAATTGACTGTGGCTAAACCTTTCTCAGTGCGTCGACCAGGCCGAACTTGAAAAGTTCGATGGAGTCAGCCAGGGGAAGTACACCATTGGCTTAGGCCAGACGAAAATGAGCTTCTGTGATGACAGAGAAGGTAATGAGTCCTATAAATCTTCGCGTAAACGTCGGGTAAGAGCCAGGGCTGACACAAGAGAAAAGATATTTACTCCATGACTCTCACAACCCTCTCGTCGCTTCTCAGCAAGTATAGCATTGACCCGATGTCAATTGGCCGCCTTGAAGTGGGAACTGAGACTATTCTTGACAAGTCCAAGTCCGTGAAGTCGGTTTTGATGCAGTTGTTTGCCCCGTCTGGTAATACAAACATTGAGGGCGTGGATACCGTCAATGCTTGCTATGGTGGTACTAATGCTGTCTTCAACTCGATCAACTGGATCGAGTCGTCCGCGTGGGATGGAAGAGATGCTATCGTAGTAACCGGAGACATCGCCCTTTATAAGAAGGGCAATGCTCGTCCTACTGGCGGTGCTGGTTGCGTTGCAATGCTCATTGGTCCCGATGCCCCAATCGTTTTCGACAGCGGTTTGCGCGGCACTTACATCACTCACGCTTATGATTTCTATAAGCCAGATTTAACAAGTGAATACCCATATGTTGATGGCCATTTCTCCATTAAATGCTATACTCAAGCCGTCGACGCTTGCTACAAAGCGTACAATGCTAGAGAAAAGGCCTTAGCCCCGACTGTCAACGGAGTAGCGAAAGCACCCGATGACGAGTCGAAAACTCCTCTTGATCGTTTTGATCATATGGTTTTCCATGCTCCAACCTGCAAACTTGTCTCGAAGTCCTATGGCAGACTCCTATACAACGATTTCCTGGCCAACCCGAGCCATCCTGCCTTTGCTGAAGTCCCAGCTGAACTCCGCGACCTTGACTACGATAAATCCCTATCCGACAAGAGTGTCGAAAAGACTTTTATGGCCCTCACCAAGAAGCGATTCACTGAGCGGGTCCAGCCTTCCATTCAAGTTGCCACCATGTGCGGTAACATGTACTGCGCTAGCGTGTATGGAGGCTTAGCTAGCTTGCTGTGCAATGGCACATTCGACCCTGCTAAACCCAAGCGAGTTGGAATTTTCAGCTACGGTAGTGGCCTTGCCAGCTCCATGTTCAGCGTCAAGATCGTTGGCGATGTTTCAGGAATCGTTCAAAAGCTGGATCTGCAGAAGCGCATTGATGCCAGACGAGTTGTTCCGCCAGAAGTTTATGACGAGGTAAGCTTGCGACCCTGCTGCTGCGAGTGTTTCATGTTTTGTGTTTTGTAATGAAACTGACAGCTATATTGTAGATGTGTCTCTTACGCGAGAGAGCTCACTTGAAAAAGGACTTCACTCCTGTCGGCAGCATCGATTACCTTGTTCCAGGAACCTACTATCTGACCAAGGTTGACGACATGTTCCGCAGAGAATACGCGGTCAAAGCATAAATTTTCTTTACGGGGCGTTGTCAATCCGGGCAATCTGGCGATCGCCCCTACGTCTAAACTCGTTTATATTTACTTCCTTTTCTAACACCGTCAGTTACATAATGGGTCATTGCGCGTGCCAGGTACCTAGACGCTGGGGCATATAGACTTGTTGGAAAAGAAATTCATTTCATATTTTTTATGCTGGGAAATACTGATAATGGCCTTCTTTTAATACGATTATGCGGTTTTAATTTATGCCTATGTGCTAGATGGAACGGAATAGGATGGGATTGCGGGAAACTAAATCAGCTAGGAAAGAATCAGATTAATAAATTATCGGGGTCAACACTACTCGCATACATCCATTAATATTACACCTATTCTATTCTCACACACTTGTCTTGTCATTTAGTACACCAGAACCTCGAAGCAGTTTACGGGGCAGGGTTCGGAGTCCGTGGGTTTCTCATCATGAAGACAAACGTCTGCGTTCCCTCGCCCCCAAATGGCACATAGTTAATGACACATTCCTCAACGGCTTCCCATCCGTATTTCTGATACACCGGATACCCCGCTGGGGTAGATTCAAGATAAATCCTCGCCCCCTTTGCATCCGCTTTTGCCATTCCCCACTTCAAAAATTGTTTCCCAATCCCTCTTCCTTGGTATTCCGGTAACACGCAAAGCATGTTAAGGACTGATCAGAAGTCAGCTGGTTCTATTTGGCAAAATCGACTTGATACGCAGGACTGGGTACATCGAATGGCGGGGAGGGAGTTGCTCATACTCATATCATCCTCTCGGGTGTGCACTTTCTGCTTCGCCTTAAGAAGCGATGCAAACATGTCATAGATCTCCTTATTCGTAGACTCAGGGGCGTATTCCAGCGCCTTTGCCGCTCTTGCGGCGGCCTGACAGGATATCTCAGCTCGAGGTGCGTCTCCATATCCGTACGCCGTGGGTATTGTCCAGCGGCAATATGCTACGGTCTGATCCGTACTGGGATCCACGGCTACGAGGGCGTGGACCTCTGGGTTTGGCAGTGACCCGCCTAGCAGAACTGACTTGAGGTTCTGCAGTACCTGCGGGTCGGCATTGGGAAAAGTGTTGGAAAGATATTTGGAAGTTGGGAATGCAACAATCTCAAGGTGTCCAAGGGAAGGGAGGTCGGATTCGGCGGCGTATCTGATCGAGAGAGGCGCTGGTGCTGCAGCCATTTTGTGATAATGGCATGGATTTTGAAGTGTCGATATCAAGGCTTACGAGACGATTCCCACAATCAAGGTATTTATTACAGAAGTATTCATTATGTACAGAGTACGGAGTAGTTATCTCCATATAATCATGTCACTTTCATGACGCCCAGCATCCGTTTATTTCCGCAGTTGGGAACTCATACTACGGAGTATATCCTACGTAGATTTAGAGTGATTGGGTAACTATACACTCTGAACAGGCCAGTGGCCTCAATCGTCTGTAATGAAGCAGCAAACATTGATAAAGTCTTCGAAGATACTATACTTTTAAAAGCTACTCACTAGCGTATATTCGCAATGAAAGCGCCCGTGAGCATCCGTCGTCCGAAAAGTTTGTCCCATAGCCAAGGGACAAGCTGAAAGCTCTCAGGTTCACGAATCTTCTCGAGCCATCGCAGGGTCTAGATCTCCTTCTCAACAAAACGCAGCACCTAAACCCCACTAACAGCACGTATTGAGGGCGGTATGACACCTCTCGCCAACGGTCAAGGAAAAAAAAATTTTCGTCTCCTCCCCTCTTTCCAAGAGTGCAACCCTTCCTGAGTGGCTAAAATTCGGCGGTGTGGACAGGCCATGAGATAATCGAGAGACTGGAGGCGAGTGGCATTCGATCGGGAGACGATGAAACATGTTTTGAAAACGCACGGAGCACCCGCAGCCAATCGTCTGGTATGGAACCCACTACGAGCCCGCCAGATGACACGCAGCGACGTGGTGTTGCCGGGCGCGTCCGGTTGTCGGTGAGCGGTGTCGGTGCGGGCTGAGAGTCTGCCGCTACTTCGAGACGCGCTCGCTGCTCGTGGTCACGGTACGCGCCAGGCTGAATCGGGACTAGCGCTAAGTCAGGACTCCTGATGGAGCGCGCTAGACGAGATTAGGCTAGCGTGATGGATCGCACGCTTGGCCCCGGTAGAGCGAGAACCAGCGCGTCAGCCAATCAGAGGCCTCGACGCCGGCAAACTGGCCAGACGCGCCCTCAACCGCCGCGTCGATCAGCGCGCTCGCCAGGGAACGTCATCTCATCCATTCACCTCTCGTCAAATTGCCCAGCGCCAACTGCAACTTGCGTGCTCCCCTCCCTCCCCTCCACAGTGACACTCAAAAATAGTACAGTATACGGAGTAGTCGCCTGCTGCTTCACGCCATCCCCTGGCGCTTGGAAAGGGACTGAGAATCTCCATCGCTCTCCAGGTTCAGTGTTTCCCTAGGCGCCTGGCAGAAGGATTCTTTGGGGCTTCCCGGGCAAGCGCCGGCCGGTGTTGCCATCGAGATTGACCTCGAAATACCCATCATGTACCCAAATATATCTTACCGAGGGGAGTCCCCGTTGGAGAACAAAAAAATATGAAACCCCGTAACTAGGTTTGTCCCACTCAGCGGAGCCAGATAGAACCTCTCCGAACGCTCCTCAACGTGATATCCGGGATTCCGCGCGCGCGTAGGAGCGCCATCCAGCAAATGCCCTCTATGAACGGAGACAGGATTAGCTCCAAGCTCATCGGCAGGAGGTGGGAGCCGTGTTTCCACTCCAAAAAAAAAAAAAAAAAAAAAAAAGGTTTCTTCCTTCTTATCATACCTGGTTAACTTGTTTCATGTTGACCGTGTTCATGAACCTCTCTTTGGAATGCCGCCGTCGCTTTTCGCGATCAGGTCTGGCCGTCGAGGATTTAATATCCTCAATGCCCGTCCTGATCTCTGGTTTGTGCTTTCATTTCATTACTTTCCTCAGCTGTCAGGTTCCTCGTTTCCTTTTCTCTTTTTACTGGTCAACATTGCATCCCTTTTGAGAAGGGCTATCACGAATCTCCTTTGTCAGTTTCCTTGCTTGTCCGTTTGTTTCTTTCGTCTCTCATCAGCAATTGCAGGAAGCTGGCCTTCCTTACTTCATTCACTCTCTCTCTGATTTGTGTTCTCCACCTTCATCTCCTAGTCATCCCGCTTTGTCTTTTCTTGTCTGATATTTTCCACACCTGTGTTTGATATTTGCTTTGCCCTCTCAGCTCCCTTATAATTTTGCACAGATGGCTTCACGATTGTATTACTATGAGCCAACAACACCTCCAACTTTCTTAGGGGGTGAAAACTACCCTGAGACTGTGCACAGCCGTTCCACTTCAGGATCATCCTCGCTATACAACCTGGACTCCTCTCCTGACTCGGTGATCACAAATGTTACCACCCCAAACCGATCACCTGGTTACTACCGACATGGCCGTGCCCTCTTGCCGAAAATTCGCCCCCAGGATCTTGTGGATGAACCAGTCTCCCAGAGGGGTCCTCAGCGCCACCGGAAAGCTCTGGCTAGCACCCTCAATCCTCCTGGCTACGCTCCATATCCAGTTTCTAGACCTCCAGCGCAGCGAGTGGTAACTGACTCCGCAGGCCCCCTGGTTTCCCCAATCTCAACTGCCTCATTTCTTGGCTCTCATTTTGGGTCAACCCTGCCGTCTCCTGTCACTGTTCCCCCGGTAGAATCTCGCAAGCGTCCTAGTCATTCTCGAAACGTTTCCGTGTCTAGCATAGATGAAACAACACTGAATCGCTATGGATATCCAACTTATCGGCAGCTCCCCAAATACGTTTCGCAATGTAGCCCAACGTCCCCTGTTTCGTCGATGGCACCATCATACCTGAACTACCCTCCACCTAAACGTGAACCCTTGAGCTATCAGCCATATGATAACACATTGGGAACATATTCACTTTCAGGTGCCACAGGCAAAACCCTTGGTGCTCCAGTCAGCATCGAAAGTCAAGTTGACTATGCGCCTCCCTCCACGACACTTCTCGAGTATCTTACTGCTCCCACTCAGGCAGTCAACCTGGTTCAAAACGTCGCATACAATGCATCTCGCCTCAACCAGACTCATTTCTGGTGGGATGTTCGGAATTTGCGCCGATGGTCGTCTTTCTCCCTTGTTACATTGAACGAGATCCCAAATTTCACCAAACTCCTCACGACGGAAATTCCTCAAGATCTCGCACCGCGAACCCATGTGTCGTCATCCCGATTGGCACCGGATTCGGAATTCGCTCTTGCAAATCTTGTCCGTGATATCTATGCTCCGCGGGTCAATGCTGCACTCCGTGTTTCCCAGGGTCGCGACTCCATGGCTCTTTATCCTGCCCCTGACGCTGTGGCTGATCATGAGAATGGACCACATTTTCTTGCCAATTATCCCTCTGATACCGAGGTCACAGCCTCAGGATCTCCTCGTGGTCGAGTTGTTGGCCTGGTCAAAAGTTTTGACCGCTGGAACACAGGGATGCGTAATGAACAACCCCATCGTCGTGTTGAGTATCTCAATGGCCTTTCGCATCTGCAACGCTGCATGCGTGAACACTCCTGTCGATACGGCTTCATCATGACAGAAATCGAACTCGTCTGTGTTCGGGCTGGCTGCGATGAAGGTGACGATGTTCCTTACTTTGGATATCTAGAACTTGCTCCTCCAATTGCCACCAAAACATCTTCGGCTTCTTACAACTCCCTTGGTGCAAGCTCTCTTGAGCGTACGTTTTCTTCGGATTCATACCAGTCATCTGACTATTCTGGGTCTTCTCGGTCTGTTTCCCCAGAAAACTACCCGTCTTCGGCCGGATTCTCCGGCCCTCTCACAGCTACATTGGCATTATATTACCTGCTCATGCTTTCCAAGAGGGTTCCCCTCCCAGGTCAAGCATCTTGGCACCTGAATGTTGGCGGAACAGGCGCCCTGACTCGTCAACGTATATTGCCAGAAGGAAAGGATAAATGGATTCCGGAACCCCAACAAAGGGAGCGCAGAGAGGCAAAGAGAATTCGAGGCTGGGTTATGCCGCAGGATGCCTGGCATCGTCGGGAGGGTGGAGGAGCGAGTCGAACGAAGGCTGCAAAGGCAAAGAAGTGGCACAAGTGAAGTAATCTCTCTTTTGTTTCTTCTCCTATGTTCTTTCTCCAATGCATGTTAAGGTCATCACATTGCTTTGCATTCTTGGCGTTTGGTGCTCAGTCCCATATACACTACCTAGTGTTTAATCATTGCCCTTCTCTCCTTTCCTAGTTCTTGCTTCATTTGGTGGGTTTTCTCTTGTTGACCGTTGCATTGTTTGTCTACTCCGTATATGCTCTCAATTTCCTCAGTCTAATCGCAGCAAGTGGACCAGGCACATTGGCTTCTTTTTTTTTTTTTTGGCGAAGGTTGAAAAAGCATCGATTTAAAACATTTTACCGTACAAACGATGGGCATTTCGTCGGAACTTTGAGCTATTGGGTTCTTATCTTTTGCATTATTACGCATGGAAGAAGAAGGTCCTGCAAAGGCATTTTAGATAGTGTATCGCTTCAAGATTTCTTTTTCAAAATTCATCAAATTTTACTATTTAACTCTCTATTGCCTTATTTCTCCTTTTTCTTCGGAAATTCCGATTAAATGCACGGACCAATTCCGGAGTGTAGACGCTCTCAAAGCTCTATCAAACCGAAGGCCTAGGTTTTGTATCCCATCATCTTCGGAAAAACCATACTATCCACATGCAAGCATACACGCGCAAGCGAGGCAGCGATGTCTAGTCTTGGCCAATTGTAAAAGAGGTATTAGCTATTGCTTTGTCGAGAAGCTTTATTGTCACGATGCACTACAGTCCAAGTATTGTAAATATGTGCAGCCACCACTCAACCTCTTGAGTTTAGCGACATCGATGTTTCGATCGACTAACTGGCGGGACATGGTGCAACCGTTGCATCAGAGCAATTATCGAGATGGAGAGACCATCCATGAGATCACCAGCCCATTATTTGGCAGCCTTGACGGTCGACTGTTGACACGGAACAAGATGGTTTAGGCTCCCGCTGAAGTAGTGACATCTACCAAAGCAGGAAGACAAGAGCCATTTATATAATAGAATGTGGCTCGTTCACCCCGCAGTGACGAGGCTCAATGGAAGGGGTCTAAATCTCATCAACCACGCCTCTCTTTTCCCCCATCACCACTAACTCAACTCATGCTCCCTCACTGACAGCTTGAGCGACATCTCTTACAAATCACTTAGGGTTGATTTAACAATGAAACCCATTGATCTCGAGCCCCATCTTACGAGCATCACCCGAGTACCGGGGCCACTCAGGTTTCTCGTCATTGGCGCAGGATCCCGCGGCAACAGCTATTCTCGAGCCGTAACCAACGCTACACAAGGAGTGATCCACGCCGTGGCGGAACCAGATCCTTATCGTCGCGCAACTTTCGGCAAGAAATACATATGGGGCGACAAGACTCCCTCCACTGGCCAGCAATTCCAAGACTGGAAAGATTGGTTTGAATGGGAGATCCAGCGGCGGAAGCAAGCGGAGGAGGATGCGGATCGTCAAGACGCTATTCCGGGTGTGGACGGAGTCTTCATCTGCACACTAGATGAAATGCATGTAGAGGTTGTGAAGGCCATTGCGCCGTTGAAATTACATATCATGTGTGAAAAGCCGCTGGCAACGTCACTGCAGGACTGTCTCGCTGCGTCTAAAGCACTGATGAGTGTCTCGCCTGTCCCTGAGAAGGTATTTGCAATCGGGCATGTGCTGAGGTATAGTCCACACAACAAGCTTCTCAGGGAGTTACTTCTTACGGATCGCGTGATTGGGGATATAGTGTCTCTTGAACACACCGAGCCCGTGGGATGGTCGCATTTCGCTCACAGCTATGTTCGAGGAAACTGGCGACGTGAGACCCCAGGCCAGGATGGTAGTCTTCTTACAAAATGCTGCCATGACATCGACCTCATACTCTGGCTATTGAGTTCTCCTCCTCCCGGCTCTCACGTTGACCATCCCTATCATCTCCCAAAATCTATCTCGTCAATGGGGTCACTTACCCAGTTTACTCGAAATCGAAAGCCCCTCGCTGCCGGCGATGCAACAAATTGTCTATCTTGCCCTATAGAAAAGGACTGCAACTATAGCGCAATCAAACTATACGACGAAATGCATCTGGCTCGAGGCCACACTGGATGGCCTGTTAAAATAGTCCAGCCAGACATCGAGGATCTGCTCAAAACATCAGGAATGGAAACCGCCAGAAGCCAACTCTATGTATCCCTATCAGAAGATTACGACTCCCAAACCACATCCGCTGCTGAAATTGCTTCTCGCTCCTGGTATGGTCGCTGCGTTTGGGAATCAGACAACAACGTCTGCGACGACCAGTTCGTCACAATCTCGTGGGACGACGACGCAAAGGCATCCGGCAACACGCAAAACCGCGGCGCGAAACTCGCGACCCTGCACATGATTGCGCCGACGCAGAAACAATGCGAACGACGTGGTCGCGTGTACGGCACTCTTGGAGAACTCTCGTATGACAGCGAAACCATCACCGTCTCCGATTTTGGCACGAGCAAAACTCAGACCATCGAAGTTCCCAAGCCTCGACCCACAGAGCCCGAGTCCCACGGCGGTGGAGACTACGGCCTCACGAGGGCATTTGTACAGGCTGTTGATGCTGTGGAAAACCAGGGATGGGAGGCGAGCAAGGCTCAAGCAGAGATTTTGGGCGTTACGTTGGAGGAGGCGGTCCGGAGTCACGTGGTTGTTTTCGCAGCAGAGGAAGCGAGAAGAGAAGGGAAAGTAATCGATTGGAACGAGTGGTGGAAGGGCAAATCTGCTACCCTTTCCTCTTAATACGATTCCTAATGACGAGGATATGTTTGAGGATGATAAACATTTCGCTTCCCCTGAAAGAAACACAATCTTATATGTCGGAATTTTGTCGGCCCGAACCCTAAATTAAACGTCCTTAGGTGGGAGATCGTTGTCCAGTATACTCCGTCCATCCTCCGGACGTTAGCTGGATGCGAAAGTAAGTATCGGCAATGTGAGATATTTTTAACCTAGTCATCGAATTTTACTATTACGACTCCAAGTGCTAGCTGGAATTTGCTGATCATATACGGAGGTGTGTCTCAGAAGTCTTTACGCACGCTAGTAATTAGGCTAGTACCAGAAATACATTGAACCCCACCAAATTAGTATGGATCAGCCTGTACCTTTGATCAGGGATTCATTCCTCCTCTTGTACATCTTCCCAAGTGTTCATATCTCCAAGATGTAAAGCTGCTAGAGTCTCTGCAGCTTCTAATCTACTAGCTAAGCAATCCCTTCCTAGATCCTGCTGTTTTGAGATCTTTCCCTTTAAACGCTGACCTTTATACTCTCGAGGACCCTTATAACCACCCTCTCTATACTCATTCCCTCCCTCAAGCCGTATAATCTCTTGAATGTGATGTGGAATTTGCTCAATCCACTGTTGAATCTTCTCTTGTGAAAGCTCATTCCAGGCTTGCAGCCAAACCTCCCTTGCAGTCTTGGTTTCGCGTGGAGCTCCACAAGAAGTCATACACCTTTTCATCCACATCCAAGCAGGCTCAATTGCATTTAAATCTGGTGAATTCCCTGGCCAAAGCAGCTGCTTTATTCCATGTAAACTATATAACTTTCTCTGCGCAAAATGAATATGTGCTGGTGCTCCATCTTCTTGCACTAGAGTCCTCGGTCAATCTTTAAGGCACTCCTTTGCAAAGGGAATAAGCTTGGGATATACCAGATTCAAAGGCAAGAATCTCAGTGGATTTCTCTCAGCCAGCTCTATCCTTGCGAATCAAATCCAATATCTCAGATTCTTTACTGGAATCTATCTCTTTAGGGTGTCCTGATTGCTTTGCATCTTCAACAAATGAAATATCAATTCACTGGTTCTCTTGAGGCTTATAGCTGTGGTCTTTGGCTTGTTTTTCAATCGCCTGGAGGGTTCTAGCAGGAATTCCTAGAGCAGTAGAGACTTCATTAACTGGTATTCCCCAAGAGACTAAAGCTAGAGCTTGGATGCGAATAGCAATTGGATGAAACCGATTATTTTTAGGCATTGGAAATTATTTGAGATGAGATTCAAGCTGGTGATTGTTTTGAAATCAGAAGGTACTTGTAGGTCCGTAGTTATTTGGTTGGGGGGTATTGTACTTTTGATACAGCTATAATTACTAGCGTGCGTAAAGACTTCTGAGACGCACCTCCGTACTTCGTAACCGCTGAAAACTAGCTCAAATTGATGCTTTCTGAACGACAAGCCGCGCGGCGCGACCATTCTGCACTTGTTCCAGCCTAGTGGACACCATCCATATTCCTTGCTTCATATCAAATACCTAATGTCTGGCAATCAAGTTTTGACTGTGGGCTCCTCCCTTCCCACATACTCCTTCAATTTTAGTAATTTGACCGCGAGGTCAATGTTCTCCTTTAAATAATCTTGAGCATCCTTGGAGAACTCCTTTTCGTCTGATTCATGGCGCTCAACGTACAGGCGAATAGTGGCACCACTACTTCCGGTACCAGAGAGACGAACAACAATACGACTTCCGTCGTCGAATTTGATGAAGATACCTTGGTTTTTGCTGACGCTGCCATCAAGATCGGTGTAGGCGAAGTCATCCGCTCCAAGAACTTTGCGACCCGAGACAGTTGAGCCAACAAAATCATCTTTCTTCGTGGTAATGAGCTCTCTGAGGTGCTCTATGACTTTGTTTGCACCGGTACTATCGACGTTCTCATAATCGTATCGGGTGAAGAAAGTCCGTCCATATGTCTTCCAAAACTCGGTCTGGATCGCTGCAATACTTGCTGGCTTCTCTGGGTTGGCTTGTCCCACACCAGCTATAATGTTAAGCCACGCGACAACGGCCCAGACCCCATCCTTTTCTCGAATGTGGTTACTTCCTGTACCGAAACTCTCCTCGCCGCAAATCGACATTTTGTTGGTGTCCATCAAGGCGCAGAAGAATTTCCATCCGGTCGGAACCTCATAGCACTGGAGGCCTTGAGCTTTGGCAACCAAGTCAACCGCACCTGATGTGGGCATTGAGCGAGCGAGCCCGTGTACTCCATGTTTTTTGAAGTATGGGATAAGCTGAGCGTGATGTGCGATTATGGCCAAACTGTCTCCGGGAGACACGAAAGTCTTTGCCCCATATATCATATTGCGGTCACCATCCCCGTCACTGGCAGCACCAAACTGGATCTCCTCCTTGTCGACTTTCTCGACCAGGGAGCGGGCATAAGTTAAATTGGGATCTGGATGACCACCGCCGAAGTCGGGCTTGGGTTCGCAGTTTTGACAGCTAGATTCTGGCAGTCCCAGCTCCTTGATAAAAATGGCTTTGCCATATGGTCCAGTAACTCCATGAAGGGCATCAAACAGGACTTTGAAGTGGCCGTGGCTCCTCAAGAAAGAACGGATAAGGTCGAAATCAAATATCTCCTTCATCATTTCAACATAGTCGGCAGTTGAGTCGATGATCTCAACTTCTAACCCTTCATAATTCCCCGTTCCAATTTTTGTCAAATCGATCTTCGGCAGGCTGACAATGTTGTATACAGCGAGAGATTTGGAAACCTCGTAAATTTTGTTCGTCACAGATTCAGGGGCTGGAGCACCATTGGAAAGATTGTACTTGATTCCAAAGTCGGCGTTGGGGCCTAGAGATCAACAACATTAATTCACGCACGATCTGCAAGGAGAATGGAAGGGCTGATGGGAAGAGGCTCCATACCGCCAGGGTTGTGACTAGCTGTCAAAAGGATACCACCAGTTGCTTTCCTTTTGCGGATAACATGGCTGGCGGCCGGGGTGCTCAAGATGCCGTTCTGCCCAATCACCAGTTTCTTCACGCCATATGCGATCCCGATCTGCGCAATTAGCTGGATGACTTCGGTGTTATAGTAGCGTCCGTCACCACCGATTACGAGGAATGCTCCTTCAGCGCCCTCTGGAATTGACGTGAGGATACTCGTAATGAACGATTCGGTATAATGTGGCTGCTGGAAGACGGTGACCTTTTTGCGCAGACCAGACCTGTACTCAAGCTATTAGAATATCGATACGAGACATCTTTTCTGGGGGACGCTTACGTTCCGGCTTTCTGGTCTGAGAATGGTGCAATTGGAACAGAGTTAATGCTCATGGTGCGTTTTTTTGCAAGGAGGTTGGCTACAGCCGGAAATTGGAGCTTTTTCAGCGGTGGATAGCTCTGCTAACTAGGGTGAAGAGTCCGCAGAACGAGTAAAATCACTAAAAATTAAGGAGTATTGAACACTGCAAAAAATAATTTGAGGTTGGACTGGAGGGGTAAATGCCGCCGGAGTGTGTTGTCGTTTTATGCTCCCTAGTTACCTTGTTGACGGTGGAATCTTGCTGGCGGGGCAAACTGCGTCATAAGCTTTACACCCACCAGCAGCTCGACATCCTCGCCTTGATTGAAGCATCTCAACATATCTGCTTCTCCACTCAAAGCAATAGTGTGCTACATAGGAGCTTACTCCGGGGCATAACTATGTCGATTTCTGAACTGCAAGCGATTCCTTCGGACGCATAGCTTGTTAGTTGAGGGGCAGCTTAGAGCTCTAGCTGTGGGGTCCACTGGGGCTTTCCAGAACCATTGATTGATCTTCAGACCAAAGCGAGGATATTCGTGATTGAACCATCCCTGCTATTTTACGCTCCGCCGACTCGCCTCAAGAGGCTTAGAAAGCGGTCCTCTTGAACGTCAAGATGGCTCTTACGCGATCCAATCAACCCCTCGTTTGGATCGACTGCGAGGTAGCTCATTTGAACAACAAACCCCCTTTGCCCCCTCCCTTTGCAGGGTTTAATCCGCAAAAGCTGACTTGTCGTCGCGTCATAACCCACAGATGACGGGCCTCGACCCCGAAACGGACCATATCCTCCAAATTAGCTGCTTTCTCACCGATGCTGACCTCAACCTCCTCGAGCCCGAGGGCTTCCATGTCACGGTACACCAACCGCAGTATATTCTCTCGTCCATGAGCTCCTGGTGTGTATCAACGCACGGACGCTCAGGCCTCACTGCTGCTGTCCTTGATTCAACTACCACTCCATCCGAAGCCGCCAGTGCGTTGCTCGCGTATATACAAAAGTACATCCCTGAAAGCCGCACGGCATTGCTCGCAGGAAATAGTGTCCACGCAGACCGGGCGTTTCTAGCGCGAAAGCCATATAAAACGGTAGTAGATTGGTTGCATTATAGGATTCTAGATGTGAGTAGCGTGAAAGAAGCAGCGAGGAGGTGGGCAAATGATGAGGTATTGCGCAATGCGCCTGAGAAAAAAGGAGCGCATTTAGCCAAAGATGATATCCTGGAGAGTATAGAGGAGATGAAATTTTACAGAGATCGGATTTTCCGCGGAACAGGTTAATAACATTATCTATACAATCCCTTTTATTGATTCTGAGGGCATAGAAAAACTTTTGAAGACGCATCCTGTCCACGGCATTAGAGTTGACCCTATAGTCATAAATACCCGACTCGATGCCGGACTCGTATTATCTGAGAACCGCCTTAGGATCAACGGGTGCAATGATACCCAAAGCGCTCTCTTCATCACTAATATTCTTTAATGTTGCCAGCTGACGGTCAATATAAGCTTCAGAAGGCAGCTTGTCAGTTGGCTTGTCACTTTGAGCCTCACTGCTGAAGGACTTGAGACCCAAACGCGGAAACCACTTTCTCGCCAAAGGTCGAAGCATCGGGGTTGATGCGCATATAACAGCCAAGTTAACTTCAACGGCGTTCCATAACCAAATGTTATAACCTTCCCCTATGAGTTGGGAGAGTTAGTCACAGCTCAAACTGAGAAGGAAGCAAGTATGGCAATGAGAGGGCTTACATGTGGTATCATCTGTTAAATGAAAGATCACATGTGAGTAGTAAGCGCGCACAATAGAGGCAACGCATGAACTATAAAAAGATATCAATATTAGTTCTGCCATAAGAGAGTATGATGATATATAAGAGGATATTAGCGGGGGAGGAAGGATTTCTCTCATAGATAAGTCCCAAATTCATAAGAATAGCAAGAATAACTCTCTCGCGCGTAGGAAGACGCAGTTTACAGAGCGTCGGAATCGGCAAGACAAAGACAAGAATATCAGTAATAACATTGGTAATCGACCCGCTGATTACACGGGCGGAGTCCTTCACGCAGTGCTTGTCCGGACGATTGTGCCAGTAAAAACGCAGCGGCCTGTCCAGTAACATATTAGCGAAAACAATAAAATAAAAATTCCCATAGGTGTCTTACACGCAAACGAAGAATAGAGAGAGGGTGAGTGCTACAGCCCGTCAGAATCGTCATTGACTTCTCCATTATCAACCTCCCAAAAGCAGACGAAGTGGAAATACCGAGGCCCCATAATACAATCATAGTAATCATAACCCAAGTAGCTCGTCTGAAAAATTTGGTCGCCACGGATATGCGGAGGTACGAGACTAGGATCGATAGCTTGACGAGAGTCATAATGATGATGGAGTTCAGCTGACTGAACCAACTCGACTGTTGTATTAGATTGTAAGCATATATATACCGACATGAACATCGTCAAAAGATGAATAAGGTGCCTAGCCATACCATCCCGGCAGGTTCGGTCCATTCGGGTTTGTTATCCCACATATGATAGCCTAATCCGAAGTTCATACATCAGCACGGAAACATTGCGATCAGTCGAAGGATCGGGAACTTACCCCATCCATGATATGTGCCTAGGATCGATGAGGCAGTCCCTCCCGCAATAAAAGGCTATGTTTATATCAGCATTATGTGCGCGAAAGCTATATCCTTGCTCCTTACCAAAGTAGCCAGCATAAGCCAATCATCCCATCCAGCAGGTTTCTTTATACGAAGACGGACAAACATCCGAAGGCCCACGATAACGAAAGAAATGGAGGTAAAGATGAGGCTAACAATAATCAATTCGGGGCCTTTATGCTCAGGATCCACATAATTCGGCTCGGGCCACGAGTCGAACACCTGGGGAGGCGGTTTTCTCATCTTAACGATAGACAGGATGCCTGCACCTTTCCCCGAAAACGAAACGGTATCATTGAGCAGACATCACACATGCCGCGTATATGATAGCCCGCACGGAAAAGGAGTGCGCTGCTAATCTCTAGCAGCAGCGCACTATAACCGTGGTATATAGCCCGCAACTGGGAATTCGCCATTCCCAAGTGCGAAAACTCAGTTTTGACTCTTAAGCTTGAGCAAATGAGATCGAAAATCATACAACTATATACTTTCGTCCCGGCATTCCAACGTTGCTGACCTTGCCGAAAGTCTATGCTGCAGACAAGATCGCAAGTTTCGAGAATAGCCATCACCATGGTTGGACAATGCTTCTGGATTCTTCACTGCATCAAACTCTCCCGAGAGTCGAGCCGAGGGATAGTTCTTTTGCCTCCTGCATAGACGTTGGGTTTGGTTGATGACATTCCCTCAGGTGCTCCATACGGTGTAGCTTCCCCCCTATCGATCCGCTGAACGGATGAAATAAAAATCCACGAGCAAAGGTGTTCGATCCGGGTCCGGCTAATCTTGCTTCAGCCCGAGAATCCATTTAAAAATGTGTTTTTGTCACATCTTATGATCGGGGGGAGGGGAGGCGGTTTGTTTGATGATGTCGTCGCCACTGGCTTTAGAATTCGCAGGCGGCTCTTCTGAAACTCAATTTATAACTATGAATATGGCAGCAAACTGTGGGGTAACATGATTAAACCAATCTGTGGCCAGAACATTCTCGCGGAGGAAGAAGCCACTGATGGAAGGTGTAAAGGAATTCAGATATTTAACACGCTGCCAAAGTTCATCGCGTGCAAAGTATATTACTTAAGAATACTCCGTATCTAGGCAGCTAACTCCTGAAGACCACACTTCAGGGAAGATCTCCTATCCAGGTTCAAACCGAAGCCCCAAGTGTGACGAGCAAATGGGTATGCTCTGTATCTAGAAATAGATGAAAGCCATGAATAAAGGTAGAAAAAAAAACCTGAACGACTGGAAAACTTGAAGCCCGAAGGCCTGCATTTGCGCAAGAGATTCAAAGAAACACCCGCATGAGAAGGGAAAACGGAAAAAATGAGCACGGGTTCTTGGCTTGCCCCAGTCATGGCTCAACTGAATTGGAAATCTTTGTAAAAGTAAGCAAAGCAGACGGACTCCAAGATTAAATCTTCAACACAAAGTAAGCAGGATTCGCAATTTGAAGAATCCAATCTCGTCCCCATGATCAATTGAGAGTGGATAGCCAAGTATGATCATAACTGCTCCTCCTCAAGAGTGCCTGGCTTGCGATCAGCTTCCATGTTGACCTCCGTTGAAGCTCCCACGCCATTGTTCGCTTCCTGTGCACTGACTTCCATGCCTATGGCTTCTTGAATGCCTGTTGACATGCTCGAACCCAATCTTTGGCGGGGAAGATTGTCTGAGTTTGATAAGCTCGCTCGCTGCTTTTTGAGCGGGCTACCAACGAAGCCGTCATCCAAAGAATTCAAAATCGGGTCTTTCCCTGTCGGATTGTTCGGAGGAGATGAGTCTTGCCCGGACGGTGCCGGTGGCGTGGATCTTGACGCTGGTGTCGCAGATTTCGAAGGTCGAGTAGCATCAGCGTTACTCGCAATATCCGAAAGGGGATCAGAAGAATGTTGCCGTTTCAGCTAACAACCAATGGTCAACAAGGTCATCAGGGAAGTGCCAGGAATCTGGGTACGTACCTTTATTTGGCGGACCCCTTCGGCGAGCTCTCCTTGGAATCTCGCGTCTTCTGGAGAGAGGAAGGAATTTCCTTCCTTTTCCTCCTCATCTTCTGCCTTTCCGACTATAGGGCTAAAATCGTCCTCATCGTCATCGCTCTCCATATCGCTTGCGGTTCCTTTAGCTTTCTTCCGAGACTTTGAGACGTTCGCCTCGCCGTCTCGGAAGTTCAAAAATCCTGCACCACCTCCAGGCCTGAGAGGTCCAATTTTGGAGAAATCTGGCTGGCCTGACTTTCGTCTGGCGGCCTTCTCTGTATCTTTATCCTGTTGTCTGGATGACTTTAGGATACCCATCTTCTGCAGTTGCCCTAAAAATATGCCGTTAGATATGGATCCTCACGATCCGCATGTTTAAAAAAAAAAAAAAAAAAAAAAAAAAAAAAAGAAAAAGGAGAGGGACCAGACTTACGTTCTCCTCTGTACATAAATGTAAAGACGGCGTATGGTCTGTCTGCTGGGTCGATCCCGGTGACAGTTTGTGTACTAATGGACTTTGGGTCTAAGGATTTTGGCTTTGCAAAACTAGTCGTGTGGTCGATATCAGCATTGTTTCCACCTCCGTTTGCCGCTTGGGAATCTTCGTCGTCTTCGTGCGCATCAAATTGCGGCGAGTATTCACCACGCCTGATCTCCCCTGACGCCAACACGCGAAACAAAGCCACCTTAATCTGTCCAGCCGTCTCGGGAATAGGATCATCGTCGGAATCATGGTCAGAAGAATATATCTCTGTACCATCCGAGAGATCCTCAACTGGAGATTGTGCATCATCCCCATACCTTAGCACATCATGGTCACGCCTCGGCTTCCTGTCATCCAAATCCATCCCCACAGCGGTTTCGCCATCACTCCCGCCTCCTAGACGAGCAGCCTCTCGAAGCTCCTTTTTTTTCCTTCGCTTCTCCATTTTTTGCCGCCGCCGTTCGATCTTCTCTGCAGCATCCGTTCCCTCCAGGTCCAGCCCATTCAGCCATCTTTCCAATCCAACTTCACGGAAAAGAAATTCTCGCTCCGCAAGGCCGCCACCCTCTGACTCTGGTATGCCAACCCATCTCGAATTGACCCAAGTCTCCTCGCCCCTTCGCAACAATGTAGCTACTTCTTCCTTCTGTCTTCCATCGAAATATATATAGGCTGCGATTGTCTCGTTCGGAGAAGCTGTCAGAGGTTGGTAGGGATTGATCGAAGCCGCTGTGGCTAGTTGGCCTGGAATTCCGCCGACCGTCTTGGGCTTCGGGTGTGGGTTCTCGGGCGTAGGTTTCGGAGTGGAGTACGGGACTTTCATGCCAGGAGTAAGAAGGGTGATAGATATCGCGAACGTGGATTGTTCAGGCTTGCCGCTCGATAGATCGGAGATCTTTGGCGGCGGAACAGGTATGTAGGATGCAATGCGAGAGGCTCTCGATTGGCGTTGGACCGAGTATTCGGGGAGGGGTCCATCAGGGGTATGGATACTGACTGCAAGGCCTTTGAAGCAAGGCATGGTTAAAGTGGAGGAGGTGTTAATTCTAAAACCTGTAAATGAAGAGCAGAGAAAGGGAGCGACAAATTAAAATGGAGTCCTTTTTTTGTTTGTTTTTTTTTTTTTTTTTTTTTTGCCAATAGCACCGCGAACTCAGGGTTGCCACTGCGTCGGCACTGAGATAGCTCCCGCTCCGCCGCGACAATACAGGTGTCCACTAAGCAGCAATCTAAAGAGACGAGGAGATAAATCTGTTATGAGGAGTGAATAAAGTGGGGTTGAGGGTGAAGACCATCAGAGGAAGCTTCTGGGAAGCTTAGAGTGACAAGGGCGATGATCTTCCATACACACAAGTGTTACTCGGGGGACAGAAGATTGCAACCATAAGAGAAGGATAATACGTGGGGACAGACAATTACAATAGCCTAATAGACTGGCTGGTCATGATATGCTGGTTGGATTGCTCCTCAACATCCAAACACCGCACAAAGTGCCATCCGTTGAACACTTCGGTTCTGACTTCATGATGTGGAGAGGCCTGACTTAAACCCATGTGGAAAGGCTGGGTCTGTTCACGTGACAACATAACCGCGTCAGACAGCAACTTCACTAGCTTGCGATCGCGCCCGCAGTCCACATCAGAGCTGTTGCTCGAGGAGTTTGGCTTACCAAGTTCATTGCGGGTGATATTCTCTCATGGATTTAATAGATATATGGGTGCTGATGCCTATATCCCATGGACATTCATCTCTTGAGCCTAACGAGAGGCTGGGTTGCAAGTTCACTTCCATAAAAATTACTTCTTCGAGAGAGATGATCATTTCAATATATGCAGCGAAACTCTACTCAGTCAACTTGAGAAGTACTGAAATCAGAAACATTGTAAACAAGCAGAAAGAATGACTGCCGCACATAAGCCAGGTGCACACTGGGTCCTATTATCGTCGATACAACGGGCACCCAGAAGGGGAGATAAAGAGGGGCAAGTAGGTATGTCTCTATGCACGGCCACTGTGTCGGTCGTCCAATGGTTATTAATTCCTATCAAGTTCACGAGTTATTTCAGGAGCTAGAGCCCTTCGCGCCCTACGCTTCTTCTTTCCTCGCGACATGTTCTAGCTTGTACAAGGGCTCGAGATGGGTCTCCTTACGGAAGATGTAGCGTTTGAACCACCATGGAAGGACCTCGGTGACCTGATAACGAACGTGTCTCCAGGTTGGAACGGCAAAAATGTAATCCAACTCCTCCAAAGTACGCTGCTTGGTCTCGGGCACCCACATGTAAATCATGATCAGGGCAGTAACATTCAGACCACTAGAAAGGTTAGGGAAAAGCCTTGGTTTGACGGAACGCGAGCAGACTTACGCATAGAACCCGAATGCACCAGTCGGGGTCATTGCCCTCAGCATACGTGGGAACGTCATTGAGAGTACAGCCGCCCAGAATAAGCATGTTGCAACAGCCCAGGCCATTCCAACCTCTGTGATGGGATATTAGCTTCCAGCGCATATTCACCAGTACAAATGTGATTTTCCCAAACTTACCACGATGCGTAAGCGGGAACACTTCGGCAGAGTAGGTAAATGGGACTGGTCCTTCTCCCGGCGAATAAAAGGCAGCAAACAGGAACACAAAGAAGGCTATAACACCAAGGTGAGCTCTGTTTTCTTCTGGGATCCAGAAAGAGAACCCTGCAGCAAGCAATGTCCATGCCATTTGGGGGAATGTGAATAGCAGCAATGTACGTCGCCCATATGTGTCAATTGTCCAGATTGCGGGAAATGCAAAAAGGAAATTTACAAGGCCAAAACCCCAAGACGCTAAAAGAGCACCTGTTGCGTCCGCTCCTGCTTCCCTAAACACTGTGGATGAGTAGAATGCTATGATATTGATACCACACATTTGTTGGGCGATCATAACAGTGAATGAGGCGAGAGTGGCGCGGCGAACCCGAGGGATTGTGAACAGCTGGATGAAACGGGTGACGTAGTTGCTCTCTCCCGCCATTTCCTCCTCGAGTTTAATCTGGCAGTAGATATAATACAGGTCGCGAGCTGCCTGAATCGGATGGTTCCGAAGTCGGGTTAGAGATCGGTATGCCTGCGCCATTTTGCCCTTCTTGATGTACCAGCGCGGCGATTCCGGACAGAAGTACACACCCAGTAGAAGTGGCACTGCGGGAATAAAAGCTGAACCAAGCTGCAACCTCCACGAGATATCTCCGGTATCTTTTACGGCGAGGTTCGCGGAAAACCCGAGGAAAATGCCAAAAGCGGTCCAGCTATTTGCGTTGTCAGAGCTCCCATCGATACCAGCCGGTTAATCTGTGGACTTACAGCTGCCAACTCATCACTAAGCCTCCCCGAACACTCGCTGGTGTGTTTTCTGCACAAAAAATCGGGACAGTCGAAGCCTTCGCTCCCATACCAATGCCCAGCAGTAAACGGGTGATCAGGAGCTGCTCCCAGTTCTGAGAGACGGCAGATCCAATGGGTGGAAGCACGCAAAATACGGCCGAAATGAAGATTGCTCCACGTCTCCCGAAAAAGTCATTGAAAGGGTCTGAAAGCCAGCAGCCTCTGAAAAATCATTAGCAGCGATGCTATACTCTCTTGAGAAGGGGGGTTCTCACAGAAATGCAGAACCGATATAGGGGCCACTACGGCTATATATCAGCAGGGTGCATGCAAGAGGAGTCAGGTCTACGGGAACGTTACGCGTTAACCAGTCCGACGAGCCATTGATGTATGTGCGCGTTGGGAGTTCCCTCCCTATCGCTAATATTAAAAGCGTCTGGGAACGATAAATTTGCTCCGTTTGATCCGGTTTGATCCCATCCCCTAGTTACTGTCAGATATGCGATAGACCCAGCGAGTTGGTTGGTGATAGCTTACTGCACGGCAGCGCCAATTGAGCAAAGAATAATCGTGTAGTACAGCGGTCGGGGCTGGCGCCACTTGTGAACGACTTCATCTCGGATGACCTCGATTTCTTCCTCCGTAATACCTTCGACAGTCTCAAAATTTGCTGGGTCCTTGGCTATTAATGCACCTTTCTGTAAGTTAGGCAGGATGTCATCAAGTCCGTTCTTATTGGCAAATTCCTCGACATCTCGAAGTAATCGGTGTTTTGGGATATGCGCAAGAGGGTTTTTGATTCTAAGAGACGTCTATTTGTTAACGAGCGCAATGAGGTGCCAAGTGGGCTCCTTTTTTGCATCGAGAGAACGGCCCTACCTTCCCGAAACGTTGCTGTTCAAGTCGATCTTTTCATCTCCTTCTAACCCAGCATCGTCGAGATCACGATCGGAATCACTAAAGCCGTATAATCAGCAACTTATTGGAAAATTTCCTGTCGACACAAATAGCATAAGATACAAAGGATTCTAACCTTCTGTCGAGCTGGCTGGTATCCTTGTTTTCAGCCACTTTTATGTCGGTTTCGGTGTGTTTGAGTTCGTCCGCCATTTCGATGAGGATTTGACCTCCCAAGGGCCCTTGAGAACTGAGTTCAACTTGGCTGAGACTCTCTTTCTCTCAAGTCCAGGAGTGATTTCAATAAAATCGTCGTCCGGCCGACGACCTTTTAGCGGGAAATGCCGATATGGGGGAGGAAAAAAAGGAAAAGGAACCAGTGCAGATCCCCGTGGGCGAAGGGAAGATCTCGCGTTCTTATACGGCGATGCAAGTTGCCGGGGCCCCTGGCTGCCTGTGCGGGTGCCACTATCCACACAATACACAATATTTAGCCTTCCGCTCCCGATCTGTGCTCTCTTTCTTTTACTTTCTTACGGCCCAGCCACCGAGTTGCTTCTTTCTAAGTTTCTTTTTGGTTAACTCGATACCCTTTCCCCATGTTTCCCAAAGCTTGATCCTGGGGAAGGAAACAAAGGCAGATAGATTGGAGTCATGGACCCGCTGTGGACCCGGAGAAATGCGTGGGTGACAGCGAGAGTTGCGCGCCGTGGCCAATGAGCAGCGTACCGTCCTGTTGTGAGTACTTCGGACAGAGTATGGACTTCCGCTTTGGGATTTTCTCCACAATTACAAGGAATCGAAGGTGCCGAAAAGGAGTCCAACCATGCAATCTTGCTCATGCTTCGCGCAGAAGCACACGCCAGAAATCCAAGCCAGGATGTTACAGCCCTCCTCCCTCGCATCAAAGGCCGGGTTGTTGCTCTGGAACACGGGCCAAAATCTGGGCAGTTGGACCTCTCCCCGATAAACATTAATCACGGCTTTCCCCGTTTTGGTGTGCGAGGATGGCTTGACCCATGGATGTACACTCCGTGCCTAGTATGTATGTATACGGAGTACTGTATGCTGCCTTCCACTTTGCCGCTGAGCGACTTCCAGTCACAAGCTCCCGGCAACGTTTTCAATGACGTTACAATACTGGACACGAACATCTTGCGCCCACATTCGCAGAACAACCATAGCTCTGGAGAAAAGTACTCCGTATGGGAAGCAACTACATTTATACAGGACAAGGGTGGGATTACGGCGCATATGTTTGGTGCAGGGATGGTGTGGGTCTGCTCTCCCAATTTCAACCGCGTCCGTGGGCGAGCACACAAGGATAGCTGTATTTCCAACACATGCGGAGCTGTGCATCCATACGTACGTCTCGCTCGGCAAATGGCGCGCTTCGAGAGATCTCTCTCTTGGACGTTTCAAGTCGACAACATGAGGGTTTTTGCCGGCTCTCTCTTTCTCTCTCTCCCCATTTTACTTCGATGGGCGGGTTCTCACACCCAGGCCAAGCCTCCCCCATAAAGTGGCTGAGCCTTGATCTGATCAAGAAGTCGCTCAAGCTTGCCAAGCGCGTGTGAAGGCTTGATGGATGGCGATTTGCGGAGTCCGTGCATGTCGTAAAGCGACACAGCACGGAGGACCCCGTGCGTATGTATGTCTGTATGTACGGAGTATATCCCATACGGATTCTCAAGAAAAATCGTCTTAAAATGAGACACCCAAATCCTATTAAGCGCTCTCATCATTAATTCCTCCCCGATCCTGCGCCAACGAGGATCAGGAAACTCCCCCTTCGCTGCTATCTGAGTCTCATCCACGGCGCATCTTGGTTCTTGTCCTCGGGTCATCCGCGTCCCGGTGATGTCATCGACAGGGACGCGCGAATGAAAAGTGGGCCCATCTGCCAAGACATTCCGTGGTTGTTTGCAGCCACTCCTCCCGTGGAAGATCGACCAGGACGACCCACGCGCGGACCCGCCCGGCCCAGGGCTAGTAATTTATGTACAGTACGTATCTCCGGGGGTTGCTTTGTCTGGTCTGCACTTCACTCCCTTGCGACCCGCCGCATCCGCGCGCTTTAGGGCAGCGCCATACGGAGTCGTGATCGAGCACAATGCCCGCCGCATTTCGAAGGAACCATGGGAAGCCAGCCTTCCAGATCCTCTGAATTTCCAAATGCAGGCTGATCTTTTTCCGTACCAACGGAGCGAGCGACCTTTCCTTAAGAGTACCAGAATAAATTTGAGCCTCCCGCCAAACCGCGATGTGCACGCTCCGTATTCGAAACTGCCAATGACGATCAACGCCTCTGGGATCCTGGCCCTCCACAGTCACACCTTTCTCAAATTCAACTCCACAGGCCCCAACTTGTATTTTCGGCTCCAGCAAATCTCATTGGGAGTTGCAGCTTCTGATCGGTAGCTCGACACTCAACCCGCAGCAGGACAACCATTGTTCATTGTTTTTTTTTTCTGGAACAGAAGGGCACGTTCGAAGGGAAAAAAAAGCCTCATGGAAATGCCTCCTTCGAGAACAATGGGTATGTTTGAAACACTACACAAAGCAGATGCTTCAAGCAGCAAAGTGTACGGAGTAACTCTACGGAGTATTAGGTAGTTAGTGTATTGTACTCCCGATGTTTGTCCTTTGTGAAAACATGCATCCGTCGCTCGCCGTTTATCGGCGGAAGAGTGTGGTTCAATGGGCCGCTCTTGGCTGGTCCACAGCTCTCCACCGGGTGGATTCAGAATTTTCCACTCGGCTGCATAACGGGTGAATTTCAGTAACGAAAGGGGCGATTTCTCGCGCTCCATGGATCACAGCATCTGTCAGATGATCAGCTGGTTATTGAGAAATGGCATAGTAGCTCTTATCATGCCGGGAACAACGGACAGCAGATACAGAATGGATCACCTTTTTCGACATGAGTGGCCAACCTCTCACACACACACACCCACCCCCCAAGGCGACGCCAACTCGACTTCACGAGGCCGAAACAAGAGTTGACTCGATGGCAACTCTTGTTAACTCTTTTTTTCTTGGTTCTCCCGCTTTTTCATCCATCTTCGGCTGCCAACTCTGTGTTTCACGCCTCGTCATTCAACATGCAACAGCACCAGGCGCAATACATGAACGTCCACCGCCGTAATCAGGACGAAAATAGAAGTTGACTGAACTCCACCCGCCTTCTGAATGTTTTAATAGGGGTTTATTCTCGCTACTGGTCTTGTTAGGCATCCTGTCGACTCCGTATAGAGCGACCAAGGAGCAGAAACATGATCGCATGGTTGGCAATGGCTGTGCATATGCGGACTTCTCCCGTAAGGAGTTGTGGGGAGCAATTACCATGCCAAGAGCGGAGACATTCTTGTTCAGAGTTTTGATTGCGAGCTTAAGATGCTTGGATATACAAACGGATGCTGGCCGTTGGGATATCTGTCTCCCTGACTACAGCAAGCCCGGCGGCCAAACGGGGCAGGAACAAAAACCATCATAACATTTCAGCCTTGATGTAGGTCAAGCTATGGCGGCCCACTAGCCATAGAATATCCATATTAGATGATCACGAGCATGAGCGAATCAAGCTGAAGGCATTTGGAGTTTCGATATCCAGCGGGTAAGAGATAGACACGCAAATGGCGCCTCTGAGCTCGCCGAATTTCGAATCTGCCAAGTGGTCCTGCATATGTTGGTCGTACCAGTGCAATCGCGTATTCCAAAAATAGCCATGTACATCTGCACGCGCGGAAGATTACCTCTCCATCTGGCTATCCTAATTCGCCAAAGAGCTAAAGGCTGCCGCGCAAAAAGGCTCTCGAAGTCGTGCTTGATATTTCAGAGAAAATCTAAACCAGGCGTCACAGATTGCGAAACAGATATATGAATTGCCGGAGAATACTTGGTTACATCCGTTGAGTAGAGTTCGTGAGCAACTTAGCTGACTAATGTCTTGTGGAACTGCGCGTTGAATCGATTCCCCCATTGAATGAGCAACGCCCGCAATACAATATATTGCGACCATTCTGACCGTCTGTGTAACAGTGCCCATAGTAGTGGTTCTTTGTATGTTTGTTGCCGAATACTGGTGGGTACATGTGTCACCTGTTATGGGTCCTGGAAGCAGTTTTCTTCTAATAGGGCTGAATGGCCGCACCTATTCGTGCAATGGTGACAGCCGAACCATTGAAAGCTTCAAGTCCAAGTTTTATGAAACTTAACCCCGGTTATATAAATAGCTTGTTCCTCCTCTTTGAAGGTGAAGGACTTCTAGCTCTCAGCGGTCGTACCGAAGACGCGCACTTTTCTATGGCGACGACATCAAAATCGACAGGAATGGAGAGAATAGACGAACGTGCTGATTGCACAGACTCCATTATGATTTGGGACGCCAGCCGAACTTTGATATACCTTATAGGGTCTGAGAATCGCTAAAGCAAAATTCCGAGTCAACGAAACGTTGGAGATCAATCTAATCCTGGGTATCTCGCTCGCAAGCTGTTTTGGGGCTGCATTTGATGTGAAAAGAATAACATAGCCAGTATGACATGCCCAAATGAGCCTGCGTCCACAAAATGAGACCATCCGTACATCCAAGGACGTGGGAAAGTGCCTAAGCTGTGGAAATGATACTCCCTAGAGATATCCAGGGGAGGTCAAGTAAGCTAAAGGCGAAACTTGAAAGCATGGAAAGCCTCCTCCAGGTTGAAGGGAGGAGGAAAGCCTTCACTGCCTTGGCCTGCATATATCAGTAAAAATAGGTAGGGCAAAAAAAAGAAAAGAAAGAAATATGTTTGAGGAGACGGAGAATATATTGCATCGACAACGGCCAAAATGTGATGCAACACGTTACCCACGTACATGATAGGTGAGCGCTGCAGCCTCCATGCTGGGATTTTAGTTTAATATCCTGCTGCCTCATGCGATTTGTTGTGCTATTAGGTATCCCCGATAGGTAGAAGGTGTTTTCAAAACAACCATATACTCTTGGCTTCGCAAGCCACTTGGAGAAGTTCGATGTACACCACGCGAGGATGATTTTGGAAAGGGTATTGTGACATCTTTTCCTTCCAAGTCAAGTTCGAGTGGTTGAGCCTGGAAATCTGTCACAGAACTGTGAGTCTTGGACATAACTTATCATGAGCCCTGCTGGTTTCATGTTGGATAATACCCAGTCCTGTCATCATCAACGAAATTATTTCCGAGGACTATCATTTCTGCTATCTGCACTGAACGAAAATTCATCTTGCTTGCCTCTGCGGTTGTCTCATGGTTCATTCTGAATAGTTTTCTCTGGCAAGGAGGTTAGATCTCAAAACATAGCAAGCATATAGTAATTTGCTCTGATGCAGTAGTTAACTATTCACTGGGTTGCGCAACCCAGCCTCAGAAGAGTACCATCAAACAAGCAGCAACTTAAGTTTCGGGTTAATAGGTCTGACTACTCCGTACTTCCGAACCAACTGAATGCTCAGGGCACTCACATGTCTCACAAAAGCGATTTCGCTGCAGCTCATAGTTTCCAGTGTTTAAGACAAGTGTCTCTGTTGACAACAACTTCCAGGGCAATCAGCATCAGAAGTCAACTTAACACAAGCAGAGCAGTTGTTGAGACTATAATTGTTGAATTCGATAACTTTCTCCTCTGTATTCCATACTACGGACAGAGAATTGCCCTTTTCTTTTTTCCTTTTTTTTTTTTTTTTTTTCCCTGTAGGCCTGATGTCATCTTGGAGGGGTACAGCTACTCTTGTCAACTATGTAGTTTACTAGTTGAGGAGTTTTGTGCGGCCATGGATTGAAGCTCGGGAATGCTGCAACAAGGGAAATGTAAATATATCAAGAAATTATTCCCGCACTGCATGAACATACTATTTAGCTAGATTGTTCATGATTTGACTTCGGGCAGAGTGATCACATCAACAGCTCCCTCATGTTGCAGCAAAGGGGCTGGTGACATCTCACCGGGTGATGAAATCCCCCACTAGTTTAATCGCAACTCCTTCACAGCTCCCTCACCTCCCTATACAATCCTACAAGCTCACAAGAATTTTGGACAGACTTATTCTTAGAATAACATTTTAAATTTCATACTCTGCTATCCATTATTAATCCTTAATACTGGTGTTATTTTGAATTTTCCAACCATCTTTGCACTGCATCGAACATGTCCAACTCCACCGGAGAGGGGTCTGCAGTCCCCGCCGCAAGCCGGGGATCATGGTCTTCATTCCTTAAGGTAAGTGAACCTTGATTCTATTCCTGCGTTGTTGTCTCCCGAGCTCTTGGAGCTAATATTAAACAATCAGTCCATTGCGTCCTTCAACGGTGACCTGTCCTCCCTGACGGCTCCTCCTTTCATCCTCTCCGGTACCTCCCTCGTTGAATACTCCGCCTACTGGGCCGAACACCCAGCACTATTTGTTGCCCCCGCAAAAGAGCCAGATCCTGCGAAGAGGGCTTTACTGGTGCTGAAGTGGTTCTTGAGTACCCTGCACCAGCAATATGCAACAAGAAGCGAGAAACTGGGGAGTGAGAAGAAGCCATTGAATCCGTTCTTGGGAGAATTGTTCTTGGGGAAATGGGAGGATGATGGGGATATCGGAGAGACGAAGCTATTCAGTGAACAAGTTAGGTATGTTCACTTCTTATCTTCGTTGACTGGATGGCTACTTTGGCTCTGGTGGCTAATCCGAGGATACTGCGATATAGCCATCATCCACCTGTGACGGCGTATTCGATCGAGAATGCAAAGCATGGCGTTGAGGTATGTATTCGACATGTTACGTTAGTGAACCGGTACTAATAACGCGGTAGTTACAAGGTTACAACGCCCAAAAGGCCTCTTTCTCGAGCACGATCAACATAAAGCAGATCGGCCACGCATTATATTCATTCCCCACACCCGGTGCCTCCGCAGCTGAGCGTGAAACCTACCTCATCACTCTACCTTCCCTGCATATTGAGTCCCTAATATACGGCACGCCTTTCGTCGAGTTGGACCGCTCAAGTCATATCATCAGTTCTACAGGCTACATCGCGAAAATCGACTACTCCGGTAAAGGTTGGCTAAGCGGCAAAAAGAACACATTCAGCGCAGTCTTATACCACGAGAGCGAAGGAGAGAAGAGCCCAATCTACACCGCTGACGGCCAATGGTCGAAAGAGTTTGTGATCAGGGAAGCAAGAGGCAAAAAGCGAGAAATTGAAAAATACAACGCCAAAACCACGAAGACCACCCCCCTCACACTTGCGAAGCTAGAAGATCAGGATATATATGAATCCCGTCGCGCATGGAGGGACGTCGCCGAGGCCATTGAACGTGGGGACATGGACGCTACCTCCGTGGCTAAGACCAAGATCGAAAATGCCCAGAGAGAGCTACGCAAGATAGAAAGAGAAGAAGGGCGGGAATGGGAGCGTAGATTTTTCAGAAAGGTGGATATCGGTGATGATGACGTGTTCAAGACGCTGCTCCGCAGGTTGGGCGTGAGCGATCCTACCCCTGCGGCCATCGAAAGCGATAAGACGAACGGGGTGTGGAGGTTCGACCCCGCCTTAGCGAAGGATGCAGTTACGCCGTACTATAAGGATGCAGGCCTAGGCCTTGGACTTGAACCCATTGTCGAACCGGTTTCTACAGAGACTGAGAGTACGGCCTAAAAGGTAAAGCTGTATACCTCGTATTATTCACTTTCTTTCTCTACATCCTTTTCTTTCACAGATTCATGGTTATGGGTGACTGTGGCATTCCATTACATGATTCCCTCAAGAATTTTTAACCTCATACACACATACAAATAATAGCTTCCTACTCTATCCCTAGATGAGGGTTGTTTGTCTTTGTGGGATGGGGAGCTCTAGAGCGCCTCGGACCTAATAGATAGTAAGCATGGGCTTCACTATTAGAAATAGAGAAATTGTCGAGTACATTATTAAATATTCAGACCACATCCGAGTAACACTGTGGCTATGTATTGCCCAGTTGACACGAATTTGAGCGGTTCACAGATCACATTCTACAATGTATTGAGGCTGATGCTCAGGTAATTTTGATTTCTCTAAACATAGCTGGTATTCTTTTTAAGTATTGAAGGCAGTGAGTGGCCTGATATGTATGTACGGTTACATAGCATCGAAGATACCTCACATGCATCATTCATTTTTCACTACGCTTTACAAATTAGAACAGCTCTTGATAAAAGATAATCGCCTATCTTAGTATGATACCAAGCAGCAGTTACCTGTAGCCCCAGTTTTGCCCCGGTGCTGACCCAGGCGACGGTCTCTCTAACAACTCATGCTGCCCGAGCTCCTGCGCCGCGAACTGCTCAGCGTCTGTACTCAACTCCACATCATTTTTTTCTGTTCTCCGTCGAGCCCACCTCTTACTCCTCCTGCTTTCCGACTTCGTATCGTCCCTGTTTCTGTTTGCTTTCGATTTTTTCTGCTTTTTCGGAAACTCACTTTCCGGGCCGACGAGGAATCGCCCTGGATGAAAGATGCTGAAGAGGAATATGGCGACGGCCATGGTTGCTGCGTCGAGGACGTAGAACGCTGTTTCACTTTTGGAGAGCGGAGTGTCAACTCCCTGAGAGTATTCACAGAGTCGGTAAATGACGCGGATGGTGATTAAGACGAGACCGGCGTACACGGTATAGAGAAGCGGGCGCCATCGGTAGGCTGGCGGGTGAATGGTTTCAACGTAATTCATCTTATAGTGAAAGCGAACCGCAAGAGCAAAGAAAATCAGGATGAAGAATTCCTGGAAACCGATACCTCCCATATCTAGTGCGCATTAGAACTGTAAAAAGGTGGAAGAGATGCCTGGAAGAGAGCGCAGATAGATAGCCTAGTAGGTTGGATTTGGCCTTACATATATACTTCCCAAGATTTACAGTCTTTGGATCATCTCCCGACAGCATACTGCCGCCTGTACCCTGGACTAAAAATGCGGTGATATCCAGAATAACAAATAGCATGGTAAGTTTCTTCGCCGAGATACCAAAGCACCTTTTCTCCGGCAGGAAAAAATATATCATGCGGCCGAGGACCATGTAAACGAAGGCATTGAGCCATAAGGGCGACAGGATAATCAAGAGCTGAGACGGAACAACGGGCCCAATGGACCGTAGGTTCTGGGTTGAATATGCTCGCAGCGAAAAGCCAATGGTCTCCCATATAGCCGCCATGACAATAACCCAGCAAAACTTCTGCGATTGAGGAGTCAATTTCAAGAGGAAGAGACCATAACTAGCTGGATGCAAGGTCCATATCACACCTTTCGCGAAAGGAATAATTGAGCGGTATGAGCAATGGTCAGGAGACAGAAAACTGCCGCGAAGAGGATCGCCGCTGGAAACGACGGGCAGTACGCCCAAGGCACGTTGTCATCGTTAAAGTCAACAGCATCGCACCTGTTGGTCATAGTTCGGATCCGCGAACCCTGTATCTGCTCCTTTCAAAGCGAGGGAACCAGAGTAGGACGCTGCTCAGCGCAGGGGGATATCATTCCTTAAGAGAAAATGACCTGGAGGAAAAAGCACGACGAGAACAGGTGGGATCGGAGAAGCATATCACTTTATACTTCTCGCCACCACCACCACCCATCATCGCCGGACGACAAACGCTCTTCCATTGTGAATATACAGGATATGTGGCTGTAGGGGGCCAAGGTTTGTGGGCTGATGCTTTACCAGGCAACAATATTTCCTAGCAACCCTAGGGAGGAAGACACGAGAAACGTAAAACAAGTCCCTACAGAGTACGAGGTGTAGGAATCGAAGCGGCATAATAGAATGCACCATGGCCTTCTGCTGCAAGCGGCTATCGCGATGACAAGGGGGAGGGAGGCCTGTTGTTGCCCTTCTGGCCTACCCGGAGCGTACGTATGTTGTACGGGACCATGATGGGGAGTTATAACGAATCCAACTCGCTCCCTGTTGTTACTTCAAGTCCGTGTCCACTATCTTGTCCTCTGTAACGACCTATTCACAGAAGAAACACAGGAATAGCAGCAAACATGGTCAAATCCTGCCCGGATCTGAGCTTTCAGGTACACGTAGACCTGCAAGACGAGCCGAATATCGTCCGCAAAACGTCAGCAAGTTAGCGACGGGCGCGCGCAGCCTTTGGTTGAGACAAGCTTCGTCATCAGCCGGAGCTTGGCCCAGCCAGACACACCAATCAACTACTCTTCCCGCCCCTGTCTGTTGAAGCTGATGATGCACCGGACGCAGAGATCGCAAAGGTGACGCAGCAGACAGGCACTTGCGAATTATATGATGTTCCATTACGGAGTACGCAGCAAAAAGATGAAAAGACTTCTTTTTGGTCTTCCCGTCCACTAACTAGCTTTAAAAAAAAAGGTTCGAAATTTGTTCTTTTCCTCGCGGTCATTCCATTCCATCGAAACCAGACGTCCATGAAGCCAGCCAGTTCTCCAGAATACAAATCACTGAGTAACTAATAGTTGGTACATGTCCCCAGAACATAACATCAGGCCAAAAATATTGGGAAAAAGGATCAAGCAAAGCAAATAGAAGAGGAAAGAAACACATAAATTCATGCAAAACAGAGCATGCAGATCAGAGTCACATCATGTTTTTTGTTGTGGGCTATTAAGAAAACGAAAAGAAAAGAAAAAAGTCCCGTCCGACCTTGACCAACAATGAGGAGAGAGAACAGAAGATATTATAATGGAAACAGTCAAGCATAAACAAAGCATGAGAAAAAGACCAGCACTTCGTGTAAGAATAAAAGGCTTGTAGGTCATAGGGTTAGAGAGAATCCGCCGGGGAAATGATCTCCTGAAACTAAAGGGATAGAATCACAGAGGTCCCCTAGTTGATCCCTTAATGACCATAATTACCACCCCATCCACCGCCCCGACCTGTGTTGCCGTAGTAGTTGGTGCCAAAACCTGCGCCGTAGTTTCCATATCCACCGCCTTGGTGATGTGTCTGAGAGGCTCCGGTCTGATGGTGCGTTCCTAGGCCACCAAGTCCTCCGTACTGAGGGTTCAGATGGGGGTAGCCTCCGAACGCCTGCTGACTGCCTTGTTGTGCTGGAACGGGTGGGAGCCCGGTCTGGCTTGCAGCGGGCTGGTTTGGTACGTTGTTTGCCGCTGAGCCCGGTCTATTGGCATGAGAGACTGACGGGCTTGGCCCACCAGTCTTGGACGATTCGAAACCCTTTGAAGGCTCCTCGCTGCTCACTGGCTGTTGAGAGGCCACTGGCTGGTTCTGACCAAATTGTGTGCGTCCGAATACGTCGGGAATGCCGCCGAAAGCATTGCTGCCAGTCGATTGCTGGCCTTCTGCGGGTTGAGCAGAGCCCGTCCGACCATAACCAGAGTCACGAGCAGGCACACCCTGGGCAAAAGCACCGGCATTGGCAGGAGACGAGGAATGCTCGTATGAAAATGTATGTTGGGGCTGACCATACATTCCACCTTTGCCGTAAGGAGCATACTGGCTGCCGTAACCAAACTGGTTGCTGTGAGGCAGGTAGTGCTCTTCATACCGGCGGACATCATCATACATTGGGCGGTTTCTTCCGTATTGATGCTGTTGGCCCATCTGACCAATATATGTGTTTGGATAGTGAGGATTGGAATAATAGGGATAGCCATAGTTAAAAGCACCGTGGCCTTGGGCCTGAGGCATATGCGTGGGCTGGGTTGGTTGGGCCTGACTGGGTAATGTTGGGTTTGGAGTGTTTTGTCCACTATTTGTTGCCTCAACGTGACCATAACGGCCGGGAGCTTGGGTAGATGGAGGTTGAGACTGGGCTTCAGTTCCGGTAGCGCCGAAACCGCTGGCAGTTCGTTGGGTACCAACTTCCTGCGGTTGGCCGTAACCACCATAGTAGTAAGGGTTACGAGTTTGATCAGCACCGTAAAACGCAGAATAGTCGGCACCGGTAGTAACTGTAGGTTGGGATGGCAACGTGGCTTGATTGGAAAAGGGTTCCTGGCTTTGAGGATGGGGCTGTTCGACTTGTTGGCCGAACGGGTCGTATGGCTTTTGGGCCTCTCCGTATCGGTTGAAGTCATTGAAAGAAGTATCCGCGGCAGTAGTGGGAGGGACTGGAGGAAGACCGGGCGCAGCTCGAGGAGCAGGGGCAGCAGTTTCACCCGGAATTGGAGCCCGGGTTGAGGGGGGAAGAGAGGCACGAGGAGCGATGGGGGAATGCTGGGGAGGTTGCGGGCGTGTTTCAGGTTCTTCTCTTTGTTCATCGACGTCAGCATCTTCAGCTGATCCATTTAATCCCATGCTGCCAAACTGGACAGCAGCACGATCGACAGCATGATTGCCAGGCATGACGACTGCCTCCTGTTGATCCAAAATACGACGCTGGAAGTGAGAGCGGCCAGGAGTAGTTTTGTAAGGAGCTGTAGGAGTATATGGAACGGCAGGGCGCAGTGGATGTTCCTGTAAGGGGGGCTGCTGCTGGGGTTGCTGGTCATCAATGGTGCTCACACCCGCATCAACAGTTGTTGTTGGTTGTGGTTCAACCTGAACTTGGTCTTGCGGAGGCTTAGCTGCTTCTTCGCTTGGCTCAATTGCCGTGGTTTTAGGTATCTGGGTCTCGGGCGCAGCTGGCTCGGTGATCCGGGCGGGCTCTTCTAATTGAGTTCCATCAGGCTGGGGAGGCTGCTGCACACTTGGCTGTTCCTGTGGAACAGGTTCGGGAACGTTCTCTGAAATTGGAGCAGTGGGAGCTGGTGGTGGTGGGTTCTTCTGAGGAGGCGGGGTGGGTTTTGCAAACAAGCTAGCCCATCCTTTTTTCGTTCCTTCAGGGATCAAGCTGGGCTTTTGTGGTTGCTCCGTTGTGGATTTGGTAGCATCTTGGGTAGCCTTGTCAGCAGCTTCCTTTGCAGTTCCATCGACGGTCCAAGAGTCTGGTGGAACTGGTGCAGTTACGGGGAGTTCAGGAGCCTGAGTTGCAGGTTTGTCGGGCCTTGCTCCATTGACGTGGGCTGCAGCCCTGCCGCCACGGCCTCCACGTCCACGGTCGCCACGGGCACGCCCACGACCATCGAATCCTCCACGAGCACGGCCACCGCGGGATGAGGGTGCAGCTGCTTCGGTTGCGAGAGGCTGCGCTTCTTTTGGCTTGGTTCGGGGCCGATCGGCGTGTTTTTTCTTTACCTCACCCCACTGGGAGACATTACCTATTCAAAAAGCACCATTTTAGCGATGAATCTCTTTTGTCGACGCCAAGGAGTGGGGAGTCAAACCTTCAGAAATGCGCTCAATTGCTGTTTCGAGATCTCCATCTGCATCCTCTAAGGCGAATACCAAATCTTCATCTGTCCAGTCGGGAAACAGTTCCTTGATCATAGGCAAACTGCTCGAGTATTTTTTCTTCAGCTGACCGATTTCTCCTTCATCTTCAAATGATGATGATACAACGTTGTCCTGGTTAGCTGCTTTTGCTACTCTGGCACCACCCCGACCGCCTCTGAAGTTGTGACCGCCCCTACCACCACGAGCTGAACCTCTGCCACGAGGAGCGTGGGATTCCGACATTCTGGAGCAATGTAACAAAAAAAGAGATGACTTAAAGGAAAGGAGGAAAATATGAGTTTGCGTATCGAGAATGTGGTAAATTGGAGGGGGTCGTGTGAGCGGGTAGATGAGCTCGAGATAGGTGGTTGGAGGAGGGAGAGATTTTCAAGCACAAAACAGCTCGCAAAAATAAGGAAGCAAACAAGGCTCCCTATACGGAGGTCAAGCGAAATAGCTTAGACCAGGTAGTCAGATGTCAAAAGAATAAAAAAGTAAAAAAAAGGAAAAGGCAGATTGGGAGAACAAGGCGAAGGAGAGGACGTTTGGAAGAAGAGGAGGAAGAAGTTTGAAAGGCAACTTGGAAGGCGAGGTTTCGCGCGTTTCGTTTTTGGTACGGGAGGCTCGAAAGGCGACGAGAATGGGGGCTAGCGGGCGGAATTACAGGCAATATGTGCAACAAGTCTACGGATTTGCCGCCCCGTATTGTCGTAATTTGCGTTACAAGTGTCTTTTCACAAGCCACATCTGGAAGCGGCTGCAGTGAACCTTACGAGAGGCTGCTTTTGACTTTTCGCCTGGCGAGACGAGACGAGATCGACGGGAGCATTAGTGAATCGGTGTTACGGCGAGCTGATATCGGTTTTACTCATTACGCACCTTTGTAGCCCATCCTTGCTTGCGGTGACCGACGGATTGCGATTTGTGGGCGTTTTGAGGCCCAGAGCATTTGGCCCCAGAGGAACGGAAGCTCTGGGGTGGTTGGCAGGGTTGAAGCTGACTCAGGAACGTCTTGGCTCGCCCGCCTCCGAACTTTGATGGCTATCCATGGCATCACATCATGTGCACGTTGACCGTGAATCTGGAAACGGGTTGTCGACTCTTTAGATGGGTGTGACCAGAGCGCTTCTACCAGCACCTTTTATTGTTCTCCGACAACCATACCATGAAGATCACCGCCCCCCAGTCATTCAAGCTCTTCTCCTCTAAAATACACCCTCCCCTCCCTCGAACCCAACGAGAATCTCAACAGCTCCTCGCCGTCCTTACATCGTCATTCCGTCGCCAACTCGACCGCGAGCATCCCCCCGTGCAGTCAGCAGAACCACAGGCTCATGCCGCGAATTCCAGCAAACCCAACCGCACTATCAACGCAGATCAGCATTTGAGATCCATCCTTGACCACCCGTTGTTCAGTACCGTTCCGCACCGACCGGCATTAAGGCAGACGCAAAATGTTCAGTCGGGGTCATCAACAGAAGACCCTATCGTGGCATTGGATCGTGCCATAGCCTCTGGAGTTGCCAATATTAATACCATCCATGACTGCCTCCGTCGGCATCGTCTCCAAATTAACGGTCTCCCACGAGCGGAAATGCGCGCTAGAATGAAGAATTCAAAAATTGGTCATAGAATTATTTCATGGTTTTTATCTGCCGATGACCAGCTGAAGGCCAAATTTTTTCGGGATCAGCTTGCTCTCCGATCCGCAATGCCCTATTTAGTCAATGGATCCCATCGGAACACGTTGGTGAGGTGGTTAGAAGAAATTCGCCGTCAAACACCATGCATCTCTCAATTAAAGGAAGAGTTCACAAACTCACCCCAGTTTATTATCCTCGAAGCATACGTCTGGGCTGAATACAACTATGGTGATGGCATTGTCCCCGCTTTGCAATTTTTCTTGGAAGCCTGCCGTACCACAACTCACGAGAACGCCAATGGCCTCCCGCCTTACATGTTACTCATTGCTTCTCGCCTTGTCTCTTGGATATGTTCGGATTCCGGGGCAAAGGCCAAAAACATCCCTGTCCAGCTGTTCGATGATTTCAGCCAGATATTTGAAGATGCAGGGGCGCCGTCCGCCAGGATCAGGACATATTTTTGGAAAGCGCTTCTAGGCCTTTATCATCCTACCAATCCAAATCCCGATTTTGCATTAAAACATGCAGAGTCTTTTTCTCGTATCCAACCGCACACGAAACGCTTTTCTTCGGGACTCTTGCGGCTGTATCTTGACGCCGCTCAGCTTTGTATTCAGCAGGAAAAATACACCCAAGCATCAAGACTTATGTTAATTGCAAAGGACATTTTGCCAGATCGGAGACCTTCCAACTCCAAGGATATTCCATCTGAAAAGGGCAATCAAGATGTCCCTCCAACGGTCAACGATATACACGGCAGCTTGCTCCCTACCTGATAAGATGTTCAAGAGACGGAATCTCAGTCGATTTATGAATAATACCCCGGGAAGTCTCACTTCCACCTTCACACCTAAGGGCACATAAGGACATCGCCCATTTCTAGGCTGTTGCGGGAGAGGAAGACCCTAGGAAACTTTCGGCGACATCTGCTTGAGGACATAACTAACCACCCACCCCCCGCCCGGTGCTATGGTGTTTATCTCGCTCTATTGGCCTCGCTGTATTTAATAAGCAGACCAAGTCTCGTGTACATTAGGTACATACATGTATACCTCTTCCAGCCTCTCCGGTGTATATATTTCTCCCCGTGCAAGCAGACCGGAAGAACTGTTTTTATTCAATGAGCACTCGGGCCATGAAGCACGAATTGGATCATCTATGAAAATATCTGGATACACCTAGCCAACATTAACTTTCCACCTCCAACTCTGCGGGCGACCTCTCCGTATGGATCAGCGTGTTGTTGGGGTAAGGCCCAGCGCCAAGCTCTTCGTCGGCAGGTTGTACCGGGTTTAATAATCATTAGTGTCGGGATTAAGCTTGCCTTTCCGGCATTCGCATCAGTAAGCGACATCAGCTCCCCCAGACCTCGCACCCAGTCTCTTCACAACCCATCTCCTGTTTTATCCTTCCTGTCCTCTTTCATCCCTTTCGCATTGATTGTTCCATCGTTGCGCACACATTGAATCTAAAGTGCTATCTCAATTGGCCTATTCTTTCGCCCCGATTTGTCTATTTACTCTCCACAACGCGCTCCACTAGCTTACCAAGAAAGCTACATACAAACATGTCAGCCGAAGCTGTCAACGGAGGCCCGGTGGCCCAGCCCGGTAAGTTTTTTGTGGCAGTTTGTCATTACATATTATCACTCAACTTCCATCGATGACTGTTTATCCTTTTCAATTTCGAGCTTATTCTATATATAAACCACGCGGGACCCGGAGCACGAGACCTCTCCAGAAAGCACCGCGTCTGTATAGAACGTAATTAGTTCATGTTATACCGGCTAATCGTCTCATTTCGCAGTCCCCGACAGGGATGCCCAAGAAAACAAGGAGGCAACCCCGCAGCCCGAAAAGCCCATCGAAGTGAACGGTGACGCGGCGCAGCCTGAGGAGAAAGAGAAGGCAACTGAAGGAGAAAAGGCAATCGGCGAAAAGCGCGAACATGATGAATCTGGAACCGCCAAAGAAGGCAAAGCGACGTCTGAAGGGCCTCCTGAAAAGAAACAGAAGGTTGAAACGGAGAAGCAACCTGATGGAGAGGCAAAACCGGCATCTCCAAACAGAGAGAACGTCGATGCTGCAAACGGCATGAAGAAGAGGGGACCTGGCCGTCCTAAGAAGGGCGAAGCGAAGAAACAACAGAAGACTCCGACACCACGAAGCACCGATGGCATTGGAAGCAGAACCCGGAGCCGAACCAAGGCCTGAGCGGAATGTGGCTTGTATCAGAAGCAACGGAATGTTTTACTCATATTACTTTCCATGATCCGCGGGCTCAGATACTCAAAGTCGCTAGATCGGCAAACTTTTGACTTCGTTTGTCTATTTTTCGACCCTATTTCGACGCTATTGACCCGCCCGTGAGCAAGGTCTCTCTGAAATTCAATACCTTTATTGTCTTTTTGTTGTACGGATATTTCTCATATTGGGTGCATTAGTGGAAACAACTGGGGGTATCAAGCTGGATGGAAGGGATCTGTGGGATTTTGTGCAATATTAAGTGATAGTGTCCCCTTCAGGAAACATACGGGTCTGCTCTGCCTGGACTGAGCAGGAAACAGACATGTGTGCTGAGCCAGTCCGTTTTTCTATGTGTGTGATTTGGTCAAAAAACTGTTTAAATTAGCCAACAGGATCTGGAAATTGCCCGGTCGTGAAATCTGGTTCCGCTCTCGTAGTTTTATATTCTTTTGCTATGGAGTCCTAGAGTTTGTGGAGGACCTTTCACCAGGTTTGCTCCGATATAGTCCCGAACTTCCGAAGATGGGATGGAGATTTACGAATTTCGTTGAGCTTTCCAAAAGTCTTTTCCGTTTTGCATGGCTAAATAATCATGATATTATGATATCAACACCAATAAAATCCCATGCGTGTTAGCAATATTGGCTATCAGTATTTTGGATATTGCTCATCCTCCGGATAGAAGGACCCAGGATAATCCAGACAACAGTCAACACATTTGTCTCTTTGTTCTGTCATCATTACCAGCTACCTTTCTGTTGGGATGTGATGTAGTTATGCATGGAGTCTTCCCTCTAGAATCTGCTTTCTTGTGAAGGCTTCGTTGCAATGAAATTTGATCAATCACTACCTGGGAAGCAAACTGTTTGTCCAGTGTTGCCAGCTCATCATTGGCAATCATGTGAGGGCTAGGCTAAGTATCCAACAGAAATACGACCCAGCACGTCACAGCCGCTCTCCAGACCTGAAGAACCTCCCATGTCAGCTTCTTGAAATCAGGCGGTAGCAAGAAAAGCTTTACGACCGGGGCGGCCTGTTGTCCGAAGAAGCCATGAACAAAGGGGTGCTCGAAAATGTGTATCAGAGATTAGAGGAGTAGGGGACCATAACTGTCGCCAGAAGCATAGAATCTGATTTTGCAGCAACCCTACGAGTTGCCCTGGACCGAATGCTTGAAAGGGAACCTGAAACTGGGAGACCAAGTACTACCTCCCAATGTATGGGCAGCTCTTTCAATCCGTACGGAACTGTTCCTGGAATGATCCCGCTAAATTTATATCAGGTTTTACATGCCAAAGCATAGTTAATATCATTGGGTTATATGTAAAAATATTGGCCCTGCTAAAAAGGCTGGCATCATTGCTCGTTAATTCCACTGTGAATGAAGGCAAGACCATAGCTGCACACAAGTCATGTGGTGTTGCTGGCCATTGCTCACATTGTTGATTCCATGCAGTTAGGTTGATATGAGTTTCTACACCAGTTTGGAACCAATATGACAACGGGCATATCATACTTCCCTCCTTAACCAAGGCTGTGGAGAAGTATCATTCAGCTGCCCCCAGGCCACTATGAAGCCACCAAATATTTTGATGTACCACACAAGGACTGAACTCAGAAGGCTGTGAAGTGGTTTTGCTGTGCACAGCACCAGCAATTAAAAACATATAAATCTGCAGGTTGTGCATCAGCACCAAGTTTGTAGACCACCAACTTTTATGCCTGTGCGGATCTACTGCAGCAAACAACGCCACAATATATGGGGGGAATCAAGAGTAAAGAGGGCCTGTTTGATACTAGCCCGCCCATCAGCTGCTTGATGTAGCCTTCATTGCTTGACCCAGGCGTCATCACTGGAAGCACAAGACAGAAGTGTGTTTCCATTGCGCCACCGTGCTTAAAATGATCCAGCAGTCCACGAACATGCTTTTTTGCCAGGATGGTCTAGACTGTGAGTGAACAAATAAAGGAGAATATCAAGCTCTATTCTGAAACATCTGCTTTCAGTATCTCCATGGCAAGCTATTTTTGGGGAACGACCTTCTCCTGGAAAGAGGTCTCATGACTGGTCAAATACAAAGCTATCTCATCGAGAATTGGCTAAATGCCCAACCTCCCAATAATAACTAAGCTCAAACCTGTGATTCAATTCGTTGAGGTGTACAGGCTGATAGCCTCACCAACGATACCTTTCAACCAGTTCAGCAAACATCACGAGTCCTCGCTCGATATGGTGCTGCCTGGATTCGCTGCGGGGGTGGCGGGAATAGAGGAAGAAAGGAGAAGGGTACGGAGTAGATTAACAGAGATAGAAGATGATTGTGAGGGGGTGTATCGTTCCATATTTTGATTTACCTCTATTCCAGAAATCTGAACTTTCAGATTGGTGTCGTTATAACGTATTTATTCCCGTGGTTTATTTTGTCACCGAACCCGCCTTTGCTCGGCACTCTCGCTGCCGATTTTTCCGCCACCGCCCCGTTAGAATACTTTCAGACGTAAGTTACCAAACTCCGGACTCCGGGGTCTTTCCACAGAAGTACGAAGTACTCGGTTGCAGTGACTAACGAGGCCTCAACACCCCAGAGGATCAATTGAATTCCAAGGATACATCAGATTACGATTTTCACACTACTCCGTTTCACTTCCCCTGAGAAGCATGGCCACCTAATCTCCGAGATACTGTCTTATGCCGGAAAAACCCGCAACGATAGCAGCTTATGCTGCGGGGGCCTCCCTCGCGGCGATTACCCTCTTCTACGTTTTCGGGCCGAATTTCACGATTGATGGCGACGAGTCGACGATTAGTAGCAGAAAAAAGGGCATTGTCGGGCTGTCCAATCCCGCGAATGACTGCTTCATCAACTCCGTCCTCCAGGCGCTTGCGGGCTTGGGAGAGTTACGAGTATACTTGATAAGGGAGTTACATCGAAGGGACCTCGAAGGGAAGGAAATATATGAGAGCTTGCCCGATGATGAAGATGTGCCCAGAGGGCGGACGCCGGAGAGCGTCAGGCAGATGCAGCTGGCGCCCGTAACGAGGGCGCTTAAAGAGATGTTGGACAAGCTGAATGAAAGGCCGATCTATCGCAAAACTATCTCCGCCCGCGGATTTATACAGGCGTTGGAATTCGCGTTTCGAACACGGATTAGTCGGAGCCAACAAGATGCGCACGAGTTTTTGCAGGTTGTAGCCGAACGACTGTGCGACGAGTATCACGCCGGGGTAAAAGCTCGAAAAAGAGGTGGTGCACTTCTTGGTGTGCCTCCGCTGGTGGATGGGTCATCGAAATCGGTTGAATTAGATGCAGAGAAGCTGCACATGTCTCTGCCCAACGGTATGGACGTTGATTCTGCAGATTCGTTGATGGCCGGCACCCCACTGAAAGAAGCAGTCAAGCAGGACGTTGGGTTTCCTCTAGAAGGAATGCTTGAGTCGCAGGTGGAATGCCAATTCTGTCATTATAAATACAAACCGAACCAAACCTCCTTTGTCAACGTTACGTTGCAAGTGCCCCAGAAGAGCACCACCACTCTTAGTGCGTGCTTTGATGGGCTTCTAAAGACCGAGTACATTGATGATTTTCGATGCGACAAATGCCAGTTAATATATACGCTTGATCTGAAAACGATGGCGCTGCAGAATGCAACTTCTCGACGAGAAATGAAAGCAATAGAAGACGAGATATCGCTCCTCAAACATGCAATTGACGAGGACCCGGAGGTACCGTTAGAAGGAGTTGTGATGCCTGATGCTAAGAGTATACCACGACGGAAGATAGCACGGCATATGAGGGTCACTAAGTTTCCAAGAGTCCTTGCTATTCATTTATCGAGGTCTATATTTGACCAGAGTTCGTCGACGAAAAACGCGGCCAAGGTTTCGTTTCCGGAACGCCTGCCACTGGGCGGGATTCTTAACCAAAACTGGTACAGATTGTTAGGAATTGTCTGCCACAAAGGGAGCCATCATAGTGGACACTATGAATCTTTCCGACGGAACCACGTCTATGCACCTTTTTCGACGCCGGATGCCTTTAGGTCCTATGCTCAAAGCCGAGCTGCGAGTGAAAACCCCTCAGCCATGCCCAGTCCAAGAATCCACACTCTCCATAAGGCGTCCGATGCGGACTTAAGTCATCTCAATATCTCCGACTCATCTTCAGCTTCCGTCTCCAGTTCTTCTTTACCAGTGCCATCGCCATCCCTGAACCAAAGGAGGCCACTTACACCAACCTCCACGGACCGACCACCCTCTGTCTCTTCGAATAACAGGATACCACCTAGATCATTGCCAGCGCCCGTACCCTCAACCAGACTCGAAACGAGCTCTAAGGGACAGAACCACAAGTCAGGGTACGGCGACCCGTCGTTATTCCGACGAAAAAAGCGCCAGCAGGAACGTTGGTGGCGGATCAGCGATGAAAAGGTAAAGGAGTGCAAAATAAGTGACGTTTTAGGGATGCAGCGAGAAGTATACCTATTATTCTATGAAATGGAACGACCTGGCGAGGAACCATCCGTGGCATGATTATGACGAAAACGCCCCTGATCATTTGAGTTTCGCAAATTAGCGGCGCAATAACGTACATAGAATGATTCCCCCTGTTTTGGCTTCTCATTCGCTCATTTATATCCCATTTTGAATTTTCTCTTCTTTTGTATCTGACTTCAACGCGGGCCGACCTGGGTTGAAAGCTAGCCTTGGATACCGTTCAATAGAGGTGTCCCTACGGCTTTTGATTCCCCGTTTTTGGTATCACCATGCTTTCTGTGGGAAAAAGGTTAGAGGGAAGGCAACTTGGCGCCATCGCCATCATCATCATCATCACCATCATCATCATCTTCTTCTTCTTCTTCTTCTCCGATAACCCCTGATCTTGTGATACACTTCTCGCTCTGGCAAGTGGGCCAATTCGTCTTGCAGTTGTTTTTTTCATCGCTTGCGATAGAACAAATTGGATCGCCAGGCAATTGGGAAATAAATAGGATTAGATAATGCACAAACGGAGTCTTGTCGTTAAACTAATCCGATTGAAGGTATAATTTTCTTTCCTTTGGTGCAGGGATTCGAAGGCCTCAACTGCCCGGCCCTCTCTAATTCCGAGATGCATCGCGGTTCCCTAGTCTTATGCAGCTCGGCGGGTAGGAAGTTGTCAAGTGCGGAAAAAGAAAAGAGAACAAGAGAATTTTGGTTCGACGCCGCTTATTTTCGGGGCCGTCCTTCGTCGCCAATCGTCAATCGCTCCGCCGTGAGCCCTGACAGAATTGCCGGCGGTTGCTTTTGAAATATGCGGGAAAAATAGAGATGAACATGCATATATATATGTCAGGGCGGTCCAGCCGTCAACATATTGGTAGTATATCCACGGGACAAGACCAGTACGATAACAGAAACGTTGTGGCTGTGAGTTTATCTCGTCGTCATAACCGCTCCACCGGCTGCATCTCGCGTCGCTTTGAGGAGGGTTTGGAGGGGTAAATCGGCGATGGAGGGGTAGTTAAACTAAGCACCGGTTCCGTGCCAAGCCCTATTGCACAACCTCCCACCCTCTAGGTTCTTTTTACCGCAGCGGGGGGTCCGTCTGGCCACGGATAAACGTCACTCGAGCGCGAGCAGTGTCTTACTGGTCCCAATAAAAAAATTGCTTATCAAGACCGGATGTTTCTAGAATGCTTTAAGTGTAAGATGAAAAAAAAAAAAGGTAGAGCAGTTGCAGGTGTGTGAAGCAATATCAAAATTGAAATCGGTTGCCGGGAAAATCCACGGCAGCAAGACGGGCAACCGATAGGCTGCAGGTCAACTGGATGCTGTCGCTCTGTTAGAGGCCCCGAAAGGATTCAATTAGCATTGACCTCCCGTAGACATTGCTGTAGCGCTCAATTGCATGCATACATCCCGTCTTCATATAGGTGAAGCACGGGCATCGTCGCTGGCATCATAACCCGTTTTAAAAGGCAATAATGTCATGATCAACGACAGGTTTTGAGAGGATGATGTTGTTGTGCCAGGCAAAGAGTTATTGCGGGGAATTTCGGAAAACTGGACCTTGCATCGACCCAATTCAACGAAAATTAATATGGACCGCTGGCTCGTCATCGATAAGTTGCCGCAGTTAAGCTAGACTGCCGCTGTTGAGGTCACGCTCCCATTTAACTTCTTCTTTTCTCCAACCTTGCTTCTTCCCTTTTCTCTCTTCCTCTTCTTCTTTTTCCCCCTTGCCCATTAACCTCTGTGCCATACTCCAAGGTATGAAGGCATTCCCCAACTCCACCATCCCACACACAACACAGCCGAAACCCTCTTTTCGGTGAACTGACGAAACTCTCCTCACTCCCTTTGTTCTTTGAAAATCTACTCCTAACAGAAATCAACATCTTCCAGGACCATTTCTCGAATTTTCGAATTCGACATCAATCTGCTCCATTTCGAGTTCAATTTCAAACTAGCAGGTGAGTGAAAATTGAAGTTTGATCACATAGATTGCCGTTGTACCCTTGGACTCTGTTGCCCCTCTCTACCTTGCTCCGAAAATCGCGGGGTATTTTGGTGTGATAAAATTTCCCGACTCTCGAAATAAATAAACTCTCACGTCACCCGGTTGTGATAGCTAACTGACAATCGACCATCTATAAAGTTAATCCTCATCAACCGCAAAAATGGGTGTTGTTGACGTTCTCTCTCGCAAGTCCGGTGTCATCGTCGGCGATGACGTCTTGAGACTCTTCGAGTATGCCCAGCAGAACAACTTCGCCATCCCCGCAGTTGTAAGTAATCGCACATGATTCCTTAGGCGATTAAGAGAGGTGAGCTGATCCATGGCCATTCTGGATGTAGAATGTGACATCCTCCTCAACCGCTGTGGCCGCACTCGAGGCTGCCCGCGACAAGAAGGCCCCCATCATCCTCCAGATGTCCCAAGGCGGCGCCGCCTACTTCGCCGGAAAGGTAAGTCCAGCGCTGCTAGGGCTCAACAACTCTTTCTGTTTCGTTTGTAGCCGAGCTAATATTGTTCTTCAGGGTGTCACCAACACCAACCAGGAAGCTTCCATTGCCGGTGCCGTTGCTGGAGCCCACTACATCCGCAGCGTTGCGCCAGTCTACGGCATTCCCGTCGTCCTCCACACCGACCACTGCGCCAAGAAGCTTCTCCCATGGCTTGATGGTATGTTGGATGCAGATGAGAAGTACTTCAAAGAGCACGGTGAGCCGTTGTTCTCCAGCCATATGATTGATCTCTCCGAGGAGACCGTCGAGTGGAACATTGAAACCACCGCCAAGTACCTTAAGCGTGCTGCCCCAATGAAGCAGTGGCTCGAGATGGTAGGTTTCATTCTGGAGCATCAGCCTTACTGCTTATGCACGGACTAACCGAACATGTTAGGAAATTGGTATCACTGGTGGTGAGGAGGATGGTGTTAACAACGAGAGTGTCGACAACGCTGCTCTCTACACCCAGCCCGAGGATATCTTGAACATCTACAACACTCTTTCTCCCATCAGCCCATACTTCTCCATCGCCGCTGGTTTCGGAAACGTCCACGGTGTCTACAAGCCCGGAAACGTCCGGTTGCACCCTGAGCTCCTCAAGAAGCACCAGGCTTATGTCAAGGAGAAGACCGGCTCCCAGAAGGACAAGCCAGTTTTCCTCGTCTTCCACGGTGGCTCTGGTTCCTCCAAGGAAGAGTACAAGGAGGCTATCAGCTATGGCGTCGTCAAGGTCAATATGGACACTGATATGCAATACGCATACATGTCGGGTGTCCGCGACTATGTTCTCAAGAAGAAGGACTACCTGATGACCGCTGTCGGCAATCCCGATGGCGACGATAAACCAAACAAGAAATACTTCGATCCCCGTGTGTGGGTCCGTGACGGAGAGAAGCAGATGTCCCTTCGAACCCAGGTGGCTCTCGATGACTTCAATGCCACCAACCAGCTGTAAATAAACTAATTCACCATGTTTTTGCGCCTCCCATGCTGGAGGCCCTGTGTCAATAAAAGGACAGGCCATTGTGCTTCATGACATGTTTAAAATGAAACAATTAATTTCTTTCTTGGATATGCATGCCTTTTCTTGTGACAATTTTACCCCCTGTAGAAAATCAGGATCCAGATGAGGGATTTCGAAGACCAAGAAATAGAACCTTCCTACATTGTATGGCAGTATGCTCATCGATACTTCGGATATAGATTGTCCGGTACATTGTAGGTGCGCGTCCTTGATCGCTTGAGATAATCCTGTCCTGAAACCACCAACGCTGGGCTTGGAAGGAGGAAAATTGGTTGGCATGCTGAAACCACAGTTGCCCATGGGAAGCATGAAACGCAAGATGGACATTGCACGGGTGGGAAAAAAAGCCCAAGCTGAAACAGTTGTTTCCACAGGACAGCAAAAATTTTTTGTGTGGTAGGTTGGGGGAACAGCCCATCCCCGATCCAATCACGGAGACGATTCTGGATTCACTACCCTTCGATCTGACAGATGTTCTCCCTTAGGGTGACCTGATCCTCTAATCCAAGACCCATGGCTATAAGATCAATGGCTGGCAGAACTTTATTCAGTTGGTAGGCATCTAACATTGGGGGGGGGAAGGGACAGGAAAACGTGAGCCCCAAAATCATCTGGATATCGGGCGGAAATCGTTCTCTGGTCTTAGCCGATAACAGATTCAGGGCGATGGGAACAGCCGGGAAAAAAGAAAATAAAAAAAAAGGTATATTGTCGATTTGCACCACGCTTAGGCTGGAATGGGCCTGTCATTCTCCTCTTGCGGTATAGCGCGCGGCGATATTGGCGATGCTCGCCCGCTGGCTCTCAAGGGGAAAAGCGGAGCTGTACGGATGCCAGGCATGCCAAACCACTAGTCCCAAATAATAGAACGCCAAACTAGAACAGGACTAGTGTGCCAACAGTTTCAGAGCGCAAGTCACCTCGCCACAGGTCTGCTGAGTCAACACTTTATGGGGTCACGTGGTGATAAGCAGCGGAATGGAACCCTCAATCAGAGGTCCAGTTATTCTCTCGTCTCTAACTTTCTCTGGTTGTATTCCTCAACCTTACAGTGCGGCTTGGTCGATATCCTCCTGTCCATTCCCGACTTCCTCCTGAGAGACCACCACAAGTATATCCATCCATCTCCCGACTCGTCGAATAACCTTCGCTGTATAAATATGTCTGACAGATCCACATACAGAAACATCTTCCTGCACCTTGCCTCAACAGGAGCCACTTTTGGAGGCTTATACCAGGCGGGCTCAATCACTGAGGAGATATTCCTCTGGATGCTCCAAAATGTGCTTCTAGTTGCAGAACAGCCATTAACTGTCACACACCGAGCTTCAAGTCGAGTCATCACCCGTACTACACATGTGGTTGAGCTTGGAGATTATGATGTCTCCTCTGCAGGTATGCTACCTTCCCCCATTTTAGATTTCACATAGGAAACATATTTAATTTTAACTTTTGTTTTCTTCTTCTTTTTTCCATAGGGCCCATTCAAGTGACAGATGAAGTTTCTTCTTTGCGAGTCCTGAGCTACTCTGTTTCAGGCCAAGAGAATCACTTCCGGGATGGGGTCCGCGCAAGGGATGGAAGATGTGTCATTACCGGAGTACTCAACCAGTTCGCGCCATTTGGCAGGTGGAATGCATTCAAGGCTGCACATGTGTTCCCCCTGCAGCATGAAAGTATATGGATTGATCAAGGCTACGGCCGTTGGGTTACAAATATGGCAAATGAGGTTGGACTGTCGCGGATAAACTCAACCCAGAACGGATTGCTGCTAAAAAGTGATGTCCATGATCTTTTTGATTCATATATGCTTTCAATAAACCCTGATGTAAGTGAATTGGAAAGCACCCCCTCCCCCAGAAAACAAATCTTATATTGCGGTACTAACACAAATATAGGACGGATACAAAATCATATCATTTGGCCCAGATATTCTTGGGGTTGATGGAAGGATACTCGACCCAATTTGTCGCAACCCGAATGATAATAATCGTGTGTCCGATGAATTACTGCAATGGCATTTTCGGCAAGCTGTGCTTGCTAACATGAAGGGCGCAGGGGACCCTGTTTTTGAGTCTGATTTTCCCCCTGGCACTGACATGATAGCAGATATCCGCAAGGGCCCATCTAGCCAGCAAAGGTTTGAAATGGAAATGGCGTCAAGACTACAAGGCTTCTCAAGCGAAGGCCAGGTCTGATACACAATCAAATAGCAACAGGGAGGTATCCGGAGCAAAAAGGGAAGTGGTTGACACCAAACACATATAGATTTAATACCCCACAGTCAGATTGACAACAAAACCAGTATCCACAAACAAAATTTCCAATCTTTGTATCTTGCACATCGTCTGCCGTACAATAAATGGGAAACCCGGTGAATTTCCAGAGTAAAGAGTACTTTGATGTGGTGGTTGGGTGGGGCGGTTGTGGACAGACCTCGCTGCTCCAAGGCGTCAGGTTTCTTGTTTCAAAAGCGGCTGAAATACAGTAAAGCCTCTATATAACGAATCAATTTTTGGAAGCCTTTTCAGTTCGTTATTTCCGGAGTAGAGGGATCCGTTATATAGAGCTAGCATACAAAATACACTGTAATATCCTGCTGCTGCTGATTTTCAAGCCTCCGAGCCCCTAATCTTCTCTCATAACAATTTAACTGTTGAATTAGCTCTGTATCTCCCTTATCCTGCCGCTCTTCATACAAGCAAAGCTTTTTCACCATGTCATCAAGGCCTTGTTGGAGAGAGAAGGATTAAGAGCCTTGTGGGAGTGTAATTTCTTCTTCTGCCCAATCAAAATTGTGGTTCGGTGGGGCATTTTGGTCTTTTTTGGCCTTTATAACGATATATTAAGAAATCTTGAGAGATATTCAACGAATCTTGTAGTATACAGGTTAATGAATATTTTATATGGAGATTTAATTTTGGAAGAGATTTTCGTCTGTTATGTAGAGGATTCGTTATGTAAAGTGATCGTTATATAGAGGCTTTACTGGAGGACCGTCTGGAGCAAATTGAAATTAACAGTGAGAAGAAAAAAAGAAAAAAGCGTGCCATCAGCCACCCAAGACAAGACCCATCCAGTTCCAAGTCCAGCCAACCAGCCAAGGCGACGGCCTAGCGCCCATTCTTGCAGGTGAATCGTCGCCAATGACAGCCCATCCCTGGATTCCGCTGAGGGATCCGTTTTCTCCCAAGGGCGTTTTGGGGCGGTGGGATTCCAGGAAAAGCGAACGAGGGACGAGGGAAAAAAAAAAAAAATAGAAACGCTGCTGTCCACAGAACAAGGCATTAAATTTAATTTTCCCCATTCTTTTCGTCCTTTTTGCCTTTCTACACCGTCGTTCTGGTTGTTGAAATTGTGGTGAACCCATGGGCTGATGAGACCAGGTGGGTCGGTCACCCAAGAGCAAACCAGCGCCTCGATCCTCACGCGATGGATGGCGACGGGCATAGCGCCAGTTCTGGACCCCCTGTTTGGCGATTTTATGCCAGAGTGGGCTGCGTTGCGTTAGTTAAATAGTGCCAGTGCTCTTACGTAGACCTCTCTGGCTTGCCCTCCTGGGTGAGAGTTATACTTATCTCTTTCCGGGGGCAGAAACGGAGGAAGTCTCCTTGGGTTAATTCGCTTCTGCATGGGGCTCAAAGGTAGTTAATAATGGAGTGAGTGTGAGTTGGCAGCCCCCTCTTCCGCTCTTCTCCGGCGATAGTTACGATTTCCATCCTTCGTGTGTTTCCTATCAAGCAACCGAGAGACCGCTGGAGGGCCGGATGAGATAACTAACTAGTCATTCCCTTGCCATCACTGTTTTTTTACAGTCTGCCGAAAAGTCACTCGTTCCAGTCCTTTGTTCTCGATCGTCATCGATCGCCAGATCTTCTCCCCACACTCGTGCAAGAAATCCTGCCACTCTTCGAGCTATTAATAGCTTTTGCGTGTTTTCGTTTCAAGAAGGACAAGAAGGGAAACAATCATTTCACTGTCATTTCTTTTTCACTAACATTCTCTTCTATTCCGCCGCGACCAGTCATTTTTACGGCCTTACCACGCCCGCACTCCCATCAGAAAATCCGCCCTTCCACCACTTCGCAGCGTACCAAACAGTCAGACAGAAATAGGCCCCTGGCAATGTTGATCTGATGTGTTGAACTGAATGTGCAATTTGGTATTGCTTCACGGACGGCGAACATTCAGCTAGGGCGCTGCGAAGCGGATTAGGACTGTTCTCGGAGATGGAGAGAATAATTTCCAGGCAGGACCCTGGCGGTTCCTCTCCTACGGACAAATTTTTGGAGTTGCTCCAGGACCCTTTCCAGTCGGCGGTAAGTTTGTCGCATTTCTGGTTCTCGCGCAAGGAACCCGAGAAGAAACTTTGCTAAGGTGGCGACATGTACTGACAGTTCGCCCCCTTGTCTAGTTCCAAGAACGTGCGTTCTGGGCTTCTTTAGGAACGTCGCTGGGTGTTACGTTTGGCCTTGCGCTTCTCTTCTCTCTCTTTCGGCCTCGAAACTCGGTGGTTTATGCGCCAAAGTTGAAACATGCTGACCGGAAGCATGCGCCTCCGCCTTTGGGAAAGGGGATGTTCGCTTGGATAACGCCGATTATAAAAACCAAGGAGGGTGAGATGCTGGATAAAGTCGGGCTGGATGCGACGGTATTTCTGCGGTTTACTCGGATGTGCCGAAACATTTTCCTTGTGCTGAGCTTGATCGGATGCGCGGTCATGATTCCCATCAACGTTACCGGAAGTGGTGGTCACAACATAAAAGGGCTGTCAACCTTCACGACAATGACACCGATGTATGTGACTGATCAGAAAGTCCTTTGGGGTCATATTGCCTGTGCCTGGGGCATCGATGCCATCGCTGCGTATTTCCTTTGGCACAACTACCGAGCAATGTGCAGATTAAGAAGACAATACTTTATGAGCACGGACTTCCAACAGAGCTTGCATGCGAGAACGGTCATGGTGACCCATATTCCTGCGGCGTATAGGACCGATGAAGGGTTGCTACGTTTGACAGATCAAGTGAACCCGACGGCTTCCATACCTCGAGCGTCAATCGGTCGAAATGTGAAAGAGCTTCCGGATTTGATCAATGAGCACGAAAGAGTGGTGAAAGAGCTTGAGGAAATCCTGGCAAAATATTTCAAGAATCCCGATCGACTCCCACCGAAACGCCCCACTTGCAAGCCGATAAAGGGTTTCAGAGGGGAGAATACTCCTGAGAAAGTCGACGCTATCGACTACTATACGGTTCGAATTCGAACGCTGGAGGCGGAAATTAGACATGTTAGGGAGTCGATCGATAAACGAAACGCTATGTCATACGGTTTTGCTAGCTGGGAGTCCATTGAAAATGCCCACGTGGTGGCCTTCGCCGCGAGGAAGAAACATCCGCAGGGAACCAATATCACATTGGCCCCAAGGCCTAATGACATTATCTGGGAAAATTTGGCTCTGAGTAAGGCAGATCTGCGGAGAAAACGGTTTATGAACATTGTTTGGTCGACAATCTTGACGGTTGTTTGGATTGCACCTAACGCCATGATCGCCCTCTTCTTGGCCGATCTATCTCACCTAGGTTTGGTCTGGCCAGCTTTTAGAAGATCCCTAGATAAGAATCCCAAGGTCTGGTCGGCTATCCAGGGTATAGCATCCCCTGCCATCACATCTTTAGTCTACCTCGTTCTTCCTATTATATTCCGGCGCCTTGCAACCCGTGCTGGAAAGTCTACCAAAAGTGCTAGAGAGCGCCATGTTCTTCATAGTTTATATGCCTTCTTTATATTCAACAACCTGATCGTCTTTTCGGTATTTTCTGCGATATGGGCGTTTGTGGCCACTGTTATTCAGGAAGCGAAGAATAACAAGGACGCCTGGGAAGCCATCTCTTCTGGAGCCTTTTACGTAAACGTCATGACGGCGTTATGCAAGGTGTCACCGTTTTGGGTGACCTGGCTGCTTCAGAGAAATTTGGGTGCTGCAGTTGACCTCATGCAACTCATCAATATGGTATGGACGTTTATTGCCAGGAGGTTCCTTAGCCCTACACCGAGAAGGGCCATTGAATGGACCGCCCCCCCTCCATTCGATTATGCCAGTTATTTCAATTACTTCTTGTTCTACACGACAATCGCGTTTTGTTTTGCATCCTTGCAACCTATTGTGCTTCCTGTCACGGCTCTCTACTTTGCAGTGGATTCGTGGCTGAAAAAGTATCTCCTGCTATATGTTTTCATTACCAAAACGGAATCGGGAGGTCGTTTCTGGCGTGCCATTTTCAACCGCATGATATTTGCCCTTATACTCGCCAACTTCATCCTTGGATTGGTGGTCAAGGCGAAAGGCTCGTGGAACATGGTTTTCGCGCTGGTTCCGCTTCCACTATTATTACTAGGGTTCAAATGGTATTGCAGGAATACATTCGATGACGAGCTATTGTATTATCATCGCGCGATCCTGTCAGATCCAGAATCTTCGGCCGATGGCAAAACAGGGAAGAAGGCTGCGGAGCGCTTAAGCTCGAGGTTTGGCCATCCTGCACTTTACAAACCTCTTACGACGCCTATGGTCCATGCAAAGGCCGCCGATGCGCTCGAGAAACTGTTTCAGGATCGCCAAGGACTAAACGCTAGCACTAGCGATTATTCCGATATTGCAATGCATAGGATGTCCGCAACTGAACCCGGAAAAACTTCAGAGAACCATGAAGCGCCGTTTGAGGTTGTGGCGGAGAATCAATTGGATTTCTCCTACTTCAAAGACCGCCCTGATTTCCGGGAAGAATTCGGTGGCGGTATCTATGGAAGGCCGGATGACCTGATAACTGAGCGGTCTCATACGCCGAAGAGCTTCTTTACCGGGAATGGATCCCCAGCATCCTCTCGACCAAGTTCACCTGCGCCATCAAACCGTTCCGTGACCTTCAATGGGCCTCACGGACGCTACCCGAACATATCAGACCACCCAGCGTTCCAGTCCACGGACTTGGGTGCGTCTACATTTTACAAGCAATCCAACGAAAGCGAAAGAAACCTCCTGAATAACTCTCAAGGACAACCAATGCGGAATTCGACAGACGTCGTTGATAGGTGGCCGTCGGAAGGATCGACAGCATACACTCCATACCGCAGTCCGTCCCCGTACGAGCCATATCGGTCTCGCTAGCGGGCTTGCTTCTTTCATTCTCTCTGTAAGTTTTGGAACTATATGCATTTTTCGGGAAATATGGACGGTGGAGTCATAGATACAGGATGCTTATAAGTATATACCTTGCTGTAAACGGGTGCTGCTTTTTTGTGTATAGCGCTTCTTGTGGGGAATATTCGTTGGAAATGTGCCTCTTTTGATTTTAGACGAATAAATATACATGTGTGCTAGGACAGCGCATACTTTATTCTCTTTTACTTGTCTTCCAGTAAATAGACTTGGAATATATCTGAAAACGCGTCTCTGTTCGTTATAAGGTGGCTCAGCGGGCTGTCGGCAAAAGGTTCCAGGGGCTGCACCCGAAGTGGATAGAGGTCGAGGATGCCGATCACCTGATCGAGCTACCAGGCACCTCTCAACTTCACCAAACTCCGCACGACACCAGCTTTCTTTCTTTCCCACCGCATGGCTGAGATGGCAGTGAGAAGATAGTGCAACCCCGCACTCAGTGACTGGTGTAGGTTTCAGGGGCTGTCTATAGGTCACTATTTTTGACTCTCAGCTGTGGCGTATCCGCCTGTTTCCACTTAAGTGATATTTACCAGTTACACCTGTGAATGCTCCCTTGTTGTACTATACCTGAAGGTTACACACTTATTGCCGTGACACAGATGGTTTTTTTGGAATGGAAGTTACATCATTGTTTTCAAGTGAACTAGTTTATACCTTTGATATTAGACTCCCCTATTGCTGTTAATTTCTTAATGACCTGAAACAGTTGTTCTTCGGTGAGAGAAGAGGAGAACGCCAGGTAACGGTCCACGGCATGGGAAAGAGCTGAATTCAACTGTTACTGGCTGAAGTCAGAGAGGATGACCTGGTATTCTCTTCTCCCAGCGGAACTCACGGCCTTCGAGGGATGGCTCATTCGCTTTTTTGTAAGGATGACCCCCGATTATTTGTTTTCCATCCATCCCACTTCCCTCAGTTTGAGCGGAACAAATGCTAACCTGGGCCTTGCTCTCTCAACTGAGAGCGTGCGTTTGTGCATAGGTCATCCTTGGCACCTTGACCATCGTTCCCTGGGCCTTCTTCATTGTGTATGATATCCTCCTGTATATATGGCGCGCGACCACGTATGAAATTCCCGTTATTGGAGGCCGGGCAAGAGGTCGACATAGACCTGTTGTGCCCAGTCTGAGTGAGCGGCCAAGTGGAAGGCAGAGAGCGTTTAGTTTAACGGGTACGACGTCTGATGGAGGGAAGGGGACACGGTTGGATGATCGCGGAAATACTTCTGTTTCTTCTTCGGAGCTTTCGCTTTCGAGCGAGGGCATGACCGAAAATGAGGCTAGCCCTACTGGGAATGGTAGCTGCATCCATTACGCGGGAGAAGTGAAGAAAAGGAAAACAGGCTAATAAGAGCAGTGTTTTGAGAATGGCCGCAAAGACACGGCACTCGGCACGATGATATCAGTATCCAGCCCGTGTATCCCTTCTGAAATGCCACGAGGACGAGCAAGGATCGGGATTTCTAAATTTCAAACCCTCGTCCCTTCGAGCCGACCATATTGTCCCACATCATCCCACATCTTTCCATCCCCTCTTCCGCAAGCCTCACCATATGTTTGCGATATGCAGCCAGCCGAGACCTAGTTGCCTTGGTTCGTTACGAATCCGGAATTTCTAGAAGATTATGCGATTCGAAATGGGCCATGTTTCCTCGGCAGACGTGGATTACTATTAAGTGCGCTTTCTCGCAGTCAGGATCTAATTATCAAGGTTAGAGATTCTATGGCTCCCTTTTACACATATTCTAACAAATATAGGATATTTTCTGGGTGTTCCTCTGCGTATCTGGTTCTCAATACCGGTCCTGTTTGCAGGCGTTACACTATTTCTAAATATCCTCTCCTGATGACCCGTCGAGCAATCGATCTATTACTTGTCCTTGCGTACAACTCATCAGCTTCCATCAGATCTATGCGAGATATGTCCACTTATTTGCCTTCGCTGATGCCGCTTATGTCTCCTTGCATTATGCATCCCTAAAGTTGCCACTTGAAGAAAATGGTTTTCACCGCCCATATTTACAAATAATGGGCTGCCCAACCTCAGAATTCGTACAACGAAGCAGACGGCTCAGATGACAAGAAAATGTGACCTAATCCGACCGATGCGACCAACAATACTACACCTGGATGCCACTATGTTCGGATTCCGCAGTCCGAGATTCCAACACGTGTGGGTTCCTCGTCCAAAGCTCACTGCGGACACGACCAACTCTCAGGCCCACCGGTGAAATATTGACCGCACCCGGATTTTGCCCCGGAAATTCCGCCTCTGGCCTGCTTCTCTGCAAGTACCCGGTAGCCCTGGTTCAGCACTTGCCGCAGAACCAAGCCATGGTCCTTGACAAGTCAATTGCGGCCTGATGTTCATCCCGGAGAGTCTACATACCCGTTATCCCGCATCGTGCTTGACCGAGGCAGAGCGAGCATCCGAAATAGATATTAACTCACAGCAATTTCCCTAGAAGCTCCCACTCGATTTGACTTTGATATTTAGCCTTTGGTTCTTCTGCAGACACGAGTGTTTTCGATCATTATACATTAGAGTTTACCCTGAAGAGATATATAGACGAAACTAACTACCTTAAATCTCCAACCATAGCGAACATGCTTCCTAGAGATGAAAGATATCGATCTACGCTTTCCAGCGTGCCATATGGCGTCAGTCCTCGCACCATGCCCTCTCGGGATTTTGATGTTGCCCTCCAACAAGCTCAGTATGGAATTCAAGGACAAGATTATGCTAGTTACGCACACAGTCACCACAACCCTCCATCTATGCCAATGAATTATTCCCTCCAGCACCGGTACAACGAGATGGCGCTTTACACCAATTATGGCGCGAATACCACGCAAGAGCTAGTGCGAAGGACTAATTTGGCGGTCTCGCTGGCAAACCATAACGTCAATCCGCGGTCACATGTTTCGTTGGTGCATCCGATGATGCACACAGACGGGAGGTTTCCGGTCGACTTTCGGACGCCAAAAACAATTGAGGAGATCAAGTTGTTGGACTGTAAGATATGCCTAGATCTATTGACGTTTCCTGCCTGTTCCGTGTTTGATGCGAAGTTCTGACCCGGTTTCGTGATATCAGCAACACAAATTGATCGTATCCTTCAAGATTATAAGATTCCACATGATATGCGGTCGCTTCTTAATATACTGGCGTCTTCGGGGATTCATGCTGGTATTGTAAGCTCGGGCCGATTAAGACGGGCAAAGCTGCAGCTTCTTTTTGAACACTTGGGTGCAACGAGGGTTGTTGAAGAGGGCGGATTCAAGAAATCTGGACGTTGAGTCAAATCTGCACTCGAGCTGCGTTTGCGTTTTTCATATTATTCCTACAGCATGGTCGACATTGCTTCTGGAGGAGTCTGCTGGTTTGGCTGTGTGTCATTGCCGGCGTGATAGGTCTTGTTCGGATTCTCTTTTCAGGCATTTTTTTTTCCTCCCTAGATTACGGCACAATCTTTCGGTGGGCTTGAGGCGCTGATAAACAAGAGCCCATTTAATTATCTTTTAATTATTTTCTTCTATTTTCTGTGGGCGAGCGGGTCTAAATTATGACGTGCCGGAGGATCTAGGCCTCATCTCAAAATAATGAAGCGTGGAAATTTAAAGCTCTCCCAAAAACTTTACAAGTCAACTAGGTGACATTGTGTCAAATTTTACCTTATTCCTCGTCAAGAAATCCCCCTAGTTACCTGCATGATTCGCACTTAGCCTTCCTTCTTGATTCTCCCCTCTAGGGCGCCTTATCTTCTCTTGACATAACCTCTTACTCTTAGATATCAGTTTTAAGTCACAAAGTCATCGTGGAAAGGACCCCATATGTTCTTTGTTGCTGAGGTATATTGGGCATCGTTTGGCTTTCTCGACGCCACAGGTATTTGGGTCCATTATAGAGATAAAGAATGGTTCAAGCTTAATATGCGCGATTTATGAACTCTCCTACGGCGTAGTTATGTACGAGGGGGGAAGGAAATGGTGAATGTATCCAGGAATTTCTCCCTTTTTGTGAACCACGGCACCCCCGTTGATATTTCCATAAGGCGCCCCGGACTTCACAGAGGGGCCTGGGCTTTAGTTAAGCTTGGCCTGGCCTTGTCCCCTGTTTCCAGTTAAGCTTATTAGCTGCCAAAGCCGAGCTTACCCCACAGTCGAGACGTGTTTTCTCCGCATCGTGGATTTTCAAACCGTTGCCGGCATTTAAAGCGACAGGAATATTTCTCTTCGTTACTGCATTTCTTCTTTTTTTCCAAATAATCTGGGATATTCAGTGATATCTGTCAATGTACGAAGTGCGATGCTGATATATGCGTTCGTTGAGGTGGTAAGCAGCTCTCAACTTCCCGTTTTTTGGTCATGCGGAGAAATACGACGCGCTTCGGGGCTGACTTCCCATGCAAGGCGCGGCGCATTCATCTTGATTAAGAATTTGAGATATCCTGCATCTTGATCTTTGTTTTCTCTGGATAGAGATCTCTGAGTGCAATACGGAGCATAGAGTCCTTTGTTTTTCTTTATCTTTCTCTAAAGGCCACTTGGTCTCTTCCTGACGCCTATTAGTCGTCCTCTGGGGAAAAGACAAAGGCCTTTTGAGGATTTCGCAGAATACAGCCGTTGAAGGTCACTATAGTTTACCACGATGAGCCAAACAACCATGGCCGGCTTGGACGTAATGCCTTACTGGCTGAAGATCAAGGCGCTCGTCGACTCATCCCAGGTGAAGCCGTTCAATATCTTGATGTTCGTGGGGCTGCTGTCGATGATATGGTACCGAAAATGGGTAAACGTGGTATGTCAAAGCTGCCAGCCCCCGTCAAGCTCCAAATCGTTCGCGTCCGCTAGAGCTAAAGAATTGAAATAGCAACATGCGAAGAAATTGCAAAAGATGCGCTCCCAGAGCGCATCCAAGTTTCCGGAAATTGAGCCGCTCGAAGATTTTGAGTGGGAGAAAACGGAACCGTTGCAGTTTAGACCGTTTAAGCCGAAATACCATCTGACAATGGGTAAGTACATGATGTCAGGCTGGGAATCCAAGTACATGTTGACATACCGGGAGCTAACGGATCCCACAGCACTTGAAAACCTCGACCCAAGTGAACTTATCCCCATGGATAACACATATAAAGAGCGAATTGATATCCGTCGACAATTGCTTAAGGATCATTACGATGTCGTTCTAGGCGTCAATAAGAACAAGTTAGGCGAAGAAGATCCTCGGGTCCGCGCTGCTGTGGGAGAACTCTATCAATTCGTTTTAGGAAACTATTTGCCAACTAGATACCCGAAGATGTTCAAGCTTTTAGAAGCTAATTTCGAGTCAGGAAAGACAATGCTCGTTCAGAATCAAATTACAAGAGAAATGCTGCCTACGACATTGAGTCCTGGTAGACCCACAATCATGGCGCTGGAGACCTTAGCGAAGACTGTGGATGAAGAGATGTTGATCCTATTACCCGAAATCAAAGAGTCGAATTCGGAGAACAAGAACCAGAAATATGGACAAGGACGTGGTGAGAAGGAAGGATCTGATTCCCCATCACCTGATGACGAGAATAAATATGTCCTTGAGGCGTATGCAACATGTTTCCCTTCTGGTTTCGATACACGGACGAAACTCGGGAGGAAGCTGAGTGAAATACATGATCCTGTGCCTGGATATAAACAGAAGCTGGAGAAGAGTATGGATCGATTTTTTGATAAATTGGAAGTGGGCAAGTTTGTGAAGCGGTTGAACTGGACTATGACTACGGATGCGGATTTATTTTCGGCCTTTGGCGGTATTCATGCTGGACATGGAGAGGATATGACACCCTTGAAGGTTGAGGATCTTGATTTGGATAATGTGAGCTACGTCTATTCTGTTTCCGCTTTTATTCTTCTAGTTCTCGGCATATATGGGGGGGTTAAACGTCAAGCTAACATTGCAAAATTTCTTAAGACATTCTTGCGCTGCGAGAGACAGACTCTCTATCGTCTGCCTACATCAGGGGCATTAGTGTTCTCGTTCCATACATACCGCTATCCAATCCAACAAATTAAGGAGGAAGGGTCCGGAGAGGATTTGGCGGCTGCCATTGATGGATTTGAGGCTGGAAGTACACCATTGATCGGCCGATATAAGCGCGTCCCAGCATGGGGAGAGGCTGTCAAGGCGTATTTAAGAAGTTAGTTTGGCACAGATTTAAGTATCATATGGAGCATCTTGTTTGATGCTTCGAGGTTAAAAGCTCATTCCATGGCAAACGGAAACCCGCTACAGGTGTGTCCAATTGTCAATCAGGGACTTTAATTATGACGGATTCTGTAATGGTACTTATATACTCCGCAATGGTAATTAGAAACTTCCTTCAGGATCTTTATCGCTCCCTATACTTTAGTGGGTGTGCTTTTTTATCTTCAATTTAAAGACTTCCCGGTCAAACCACTAGCCGGCGTTGAGATGAATAGGCCAAGGCGCCTATCTCAGTCGCTCCAGAACCTTGATCAAATCTGCTGAGACACCCATTGCCGTTACAGCACCGCCGGCACCGGCGCCCTGGACAATAAGAGGTTGCTCACCATATCTCTCAGTGTAGAAACTAATGATATTGTCACTTCCCTTCAGGCCAGCAATCGGGCTTCCCTTATCAAATTTCTCAAGTCCAACCTTGACCTTCTTTCCAAGGACGTCGATGCTGCCCACATATCGTACAACCTTGCCTTCGGCTTCAGCGCTGTTCTTGATTTCTTCCATCTTATCGTCGAATCCACTTAGTTTGCTCATGAACTGGGCTGCTCCCTCATTGCCAGAGGGTAGACTCGCGAGTTCGGTTGGGATCAAACTCTCAACGGGGAAAGCCTCAGGGCTTTCGACATCCAAGCCAGCAATGCGCGCGAGAATGGCTAGCTTACGAGCCACATCCATGCCGTTGAGGTCGTCGCGGGGATCGGGTTCAGTGTAGCCCAATTCCTTGGCCTGGGCAACAACCTGGCTCCATTTCTGAGGAGGAGAGGACAAAGATGGCGAGACAGGGGCGAATTGATTGAAGAGGAAGGATAAAGTGCCTGAGAAGACGCCCTCGATGCGTGTCACTTGGTCACCTGTGGCCACAAGGTCGCGTAGGGTAGAAATTACCGGAAGCCCGGCGCCGACCGTGCTCTCATGGTAGACGAAGGCATTTCCCGTCGAGGCCGCGGAGAAGATATCCTTCCATAGCTGTAAGGAGGATGAGAATGCCTTCTTGTTGGGGGTCACGATGCTGATTCCTTTGCTAAGGAAAAGCGGGTAGGCGCTGGCAAGGGTGGGATCAGAGGTATTGTCGACCAGGATGGCACGGCCAGGTGCTTGCGAGAGGTAAGTAGCTATCTCTTCAGGAGTCCAGGCACCAGATTTGATGAGCGAGGCAGAGGAACCAGCAGATTGCCAATCCGCGGCAGGGATTGCGGGGCTGTAGGATGGGGTGGGTGAAGTGATAGTTTGGGAAGAACGGGCAAGGAGAGCGAGAGACGGGGCATTTGGTAAACGGGACAGCTGAGAGAGGAAATGAGTTCCGACGCCACCGACACCTGCAGGTTGTAGTAGAGGTCAGCGTATATAGTCGTTCACGGAGCAGGGTTGGGGAGAGTCGACGAACCGATGACTCCCAAGTAGACTTTGTTTGACATGGCTAAGAGGTCAATTGAATTACAGGTTGCGGAGAATGATTTCCTAAAGAAAGTAGAAGGTGTCTGAGATGAAAGAGAATTGAAAGGACACAGGCGATTGAAAGCAAAGAAATGTTGGTCGATTTCTGGATTGCGTTATCGGATCTCTGAAAGTGCTGCGGGGCAAACCTTCTGGCGGGTCAAAATGGCAGCGATAATTTGGGAGCTTCCCGGCCTAGCTTCCACCACATTAGTTACTGGTCATTTCTGGCCACAAGTCAGTATTTCGAGCAAGAAAGCGCAGAGAGACGTCAGGTGTGAGTTTTCACTGCCTGTAAACTCGAGTCTCATTATCAAACACAGGCATATCTTTTATGCTACAACCCAATGGATGGCTACTTAGTGAGCCGTCAACAGCTAAAGACGATGGCACCACAAAGCTGTCGACATCGTCGCGTTGTAATCCGTGCCCTGTACTCCGTACTCCATACCCCGTAGAAACTGGCTATGGCATTGCGAGCCTGGTCTGGAGAATGCTACTCCGTGCTGGGCGCAGGAACGAGTGCAGTTCTACGCCTGCCTGTGTGTTCGAGAATTGGCATTCTATGAAGCCCAGGTCAGAAGCATTCCTTGAGTCCCGAGAACTAGCTGCAGGACCATCAGCA